TTCGGCGGACACAACATCTTTGTTTGTATGTGGTGCTGAGGATCAAACCTGGGCCGCACGCATGCCAGGCGAGCGCGCTACTGCTTGAGCCACATCCCCAGCCCCTCAATAGTTACATTAGGTCACTGGCATCAGTAGTACAGTAGTGTTCATTGTGTCACTTTGGCAGGTTACAGGTTAGCAACATTGTGCAGTTTATTCCTCAGTTACATACTATAGTTGCAACATGCAATGTTAGGAGCTTTGTGTACCCCTCAAAAAGTCCATTGTTCAAGTTACTGTTATGTGGACAGGTTAGGTGCAATGGAGCTTGGTGAAACATTGTGATCGTCTAATGAGAGAGTTTCTTTAATACCCAGAAGCTGAGTGCCTGAGATCAAGGTGTAGGCTGATAAGACTCTAGCATGGAGCCTCCTCATGCAGGGCATTGCCACAGCAGCTAAGCATTCTGTACCTTTGCCCAGAAACTTTCTTAGCAGCTAAGCATGCCACAGCCATGAAGTAATCATGATGCATTTATCTATTGATGAACATTCAGGTTGTTTCCAACTTTGGGCTACTGCACGTAGAAGAATATGACATCTTTAAACAGGATAAGAGAATCACTAATTTAATGGAACTAATTAAATTAGTGCCATTAAAGGTGTAGACTGATAAGACTCTAGCATGGAGACAGGGACTTGTAGACCACATTGTATCTCAGAGCCTTTTCTTGAGGTCTTGTGTCTGAGGTGACAGTTCATTCTGGATGGATGGTGGAATCACCAAACTCTCTTCACACTGGGCCCTGGACCTTCATCAAAGACCCTGATCCCAAACATAGAACCCTTACAATACACACAGCTCCACCTCCGCTCTCTTATGCTGATTGTGGTTGAACACATTTGTGATATTAGTGCCATTAAATTAGTGATTCTCTTATCCTGTTTAAAGATGTTATATTCTTCTATGTGCAGTAGCCCAAAGTTGGAAACAACCCGAATGTTTATCAATGGACGAATAGATAAATGCATCATGGTAATGATATTTCTATAAAATGAGATATTGTTCAGCTATAAAAATGAAGTATTGAGGGGCTGGGGATGTGGCTCAAGTGGTAGCGCGCTCGCCTGCCATGCGTACGGCCCGGGTTCGATCCTCAGCACCACATACCAACAAAGATGTTGTGTCCACCAAAGATTTAAAATAAATAAATAAATAAATATTTTAAAAAAAAATGAAGTATTGATAAGATGCTACAACATGGATGAAACTTGTCATGTATGGTGGTGCATGCCTGTAATCCCAGTGGCTTAAGAGGCTGAGGCGGGAGGATCATGAGTTCAAAGCCAGCCTCAGCAACTTATCAAGGCTCTAAGCAAGACTTTGTCTCAAAACAAATTAAAAATAAAAAGGGCTGGGGATATAGCTCAGTAATAAGTGTTCCTGGTTTAAATCCCCAGCCCCAAAATAAACCACATGCATACAAAAACAAACAAACAAAAGCAAATCCTACATGGATGAAACTTGAGCCAGACACATGCGACTACATATCATATGATTCTTTGTATATGAAGCCTAGAACAGGCAAATCCATGGAGAGTAGATGAGTACTTCTTAGGGCAGGGGAAGGGGATAGAGAGCCAGTGCTTTGTGCAGGGGATTCCCTTTGGGCACTGAAAACTACAACTATAACTAGAAGATGGTTTATAATACTGTGAATATGCTAAGTGCCACTGAATTACTCAGCTTTAAAATGGTTGAACAAATGCCAAATGCCCAGGAGACAGGGACTTGTAGACCATATTGAATCTCAGAGCCTTTTCTTGAGGTCTTGTGTCTGAGGTGATAGTTCATTCTGGATGGATGGTGGAGTCACCAAACTTTCTTCACATTGGGCCCTGGACCTTCACAACCACTCTGTGAGGGAGGGTTTTATTTTATTATCATTTAATTTTAAAGATAAGGAATTAGAGGCTCAGGGAAACTATGAAACGTGTGCAGGGTTTTAACAGAGGAGGGAACCGGCCCAGTAGTTTGATTTGCCTAGGATGTTGGCTGGGCTGGGCCAGCCTTGGTTTCCTGTGGTGGGAGGAATTGGAGTCTCTGCAGTGAGTCCAGGATGGTGGGACCTAAGGTCTGAGGGCAGAATTCCAAGCTCCAGGCACATTCTGAGCTGGGGTCAAGCTCAGATGGGCATTTGGCCACTTAGTCAAAGCCCAGGATAGAGATCTCTAGACTAGTGTCTGAGAATGCAACCCCAGGACCCTGAGCCCAGCTCCACTGTTTTAACCTTCATGTGGGGGTTATAGTCAGCATTAGGAAGGGCCATCTGTCACTGCAGGAGCTCAGGAAATGGTACAGAATTTAACATTATTCTTGCCACTGTTGAGCTCTTCTCTGGTGGGGTAGGAACACCACAGTGGAAAAGACTGTAGCAGATATGTCTGTCTGCCCCACCTAGCCCTCTGGAAACCCAAGTGTGAAGACTGATAAGGCCCAGCTTCTAAGTGGCCTCCTACCCCACCCCAGGGGCACCCAGGCTAGGAGGAAGGTTGGGGGTTTCAGTTTCCAAAAGTCCACTTCTTTCTGGTTTCTTTCATTGAAGCAGGTTATCAAAACTATTTAAATTTAAAATAAGGAAGACTTCTAGAGGTGTCTGTCCTTAGCAGAGAAGACTCTGAGGGTGTACCCTACTGCACGCAGAGACCAGCCCTGCAGTTTCTTATCCAGGAAACAATGTGAGAGCTTTAGAGTAAGGACTACATTTCAAAACCATTTACTCCAAACCTTTGCTGGTTGAGGAGCTGCAGTCCAAGTGTGGGTCCCTGCCCCTCAAGCCAGGGCACTGTCCTGAGCTGTGACTGTTATGCCAGATTCATGGGACCCCAATAGACCTCCAGGAGCTGAATTCGATGCAATCACACAAGAGTCTTTATTGCAAGCTTGAGCCTGGACTCACAACCGTTCCGACGCAGCGGTCCCAGGGAGTGAGTCCCAGTTCTTTGTTCAGTGAGAATTTATAGGTTTTTGGGGATACTCTATGTGTCACAACATCACACAGCAAATCATTCCATACCTCGGGAAAGTCAAACAACAACTCTTAACATTGATTAGCACATTCACTGGCGGGAACAAGTTTGATAGGGGTGATTGGTTAGTACAAGAGGGGAATTCCTTTGATCTGATTGGTTTAGGCCACAAGGGGTGTACGTGCTAAACTACATGGTTTCCCAACATGTTATCAACCACCATAAACTACTTGGGGGGTCATCTGGCATTCCAGGTATTTTCCCTGTCTCATGCTGATTAGAGGTTGCTAGGGGGGTTGCTATGGGTCCTCACTAGCCTAACTGAGTCAGGGACACCTGGCGCCTCAGACCTCTCCTGTTATATTCAGCAGGGTGGGTATGTGCTTAGGAGTGCTCTGTGGGTTTTTCCAAGGACAAGGCCCCCTTCCTTGGACAAGCTTTGCTCTGAGGTAGAGGCTGGTTTCTCAAAAATGGAGTCACATTAGTTTCTCCTGACGTCTCTAACAGCTGATGAGGTACATGAGCATGGGGCTGGCGAGGCTGCCAGGGAGGTGCTGGCACCCTCCAACAAGCACCATGGGTCCTGTACTGAGCCCTGGGAGGCAACCTGGGAGGGTGCACCCTAGACTTCTGTGGGATGCGAGCTCATGATCTTCCTGCATTTGGCACCAATGCCAGTATCTTTGCCATTTACTAGTCTGAAGTAAACCATCCATAGTGCTGTGAAGGTTGTGGCAGGAAGTAGGCCCTGAGAGGATAACTGGGGGAATGATGGCCTCCTCCATGTCTGGCCCTTCCCCTAGTCCAGAGATTGCTGGGCTGGAGCCCCAAGGGTCTGTCCAATGAGCAGCACCACCAGGGAAATCAGAGGAGGGAGCCCTGAGCCATAGTCTTGCCATATGGCTGGCAAAAAGCCCCTATGACCACAACTGGCCATCATCCCACGCACAGGCCTCCTGCTCCTGCACCCTCCTTTCCATTCCAGGGACTTTGGGGACAAGCATGGGAGAACCTCAGGTCTCTTTTACATCAAGACCTGAGATTGGGATAAGGCTGTGCTAAGAACTCATTCACACCATCAGAGGACAAAACCCCCAAGGAAAAAAGAAGGCAGTGCTCCCCAATGGCAAATAACCAGCTGGTACCATTTTCTTTCTCTCAGTGATAACCAAAAAAAGACACTATTTTCCTTTTTGTAAATTTCAGAAAAAAACTAAAAATGCATTTTTTGGTACAGAGGATTGAACTCAGGAGTGCTCAACTACTGAACCACCATCCCCATCCCTATTTTGTACTTTATTTAGAGATAGGGTCTTACTGAGTTGCTTAGGGCCTCACTAGGTTGCTGAGGCTGTCTTTGAGCTTGCAATCCTCCTGCCTCAGCCTCCCAAGCCACTGGGATTACAGGTGTGTGCCACCGCTCTGGCTGCTTATTGTTATTTTTTGAGACAGGGTTTGGATATGCTGCCCAGACTGGACCCAAACTCCCGGACTCCAGCAGTCCCGCGTGGGTCTCCCCAGGAGCTGGGGCTACAGGTGTTCACTACTGTGCCTACAAGGTGTTCACTACTGTTCCTGGGTAATTTTATAGTTCTACGTTTCAACTTTCTGCCAAACAGATGCGTTGGTTTTCTTGGCGGTCTGGGGGCTGAACCAGGGGCGCTATTCCACTGAGCTACATTCCCAGCCCTTTTAATTTTTTTTTTTTTTTTTTTTTGAGGCAGGGCCTCGCTAAATTGCTCAGGCTGGCCTCAAACCTGCCATCCTCCTGAGTCGCTAGGATTAGGCCAACGCGCCCCGCGAGTGTGCTACTTTTACATCGCAGAAACTGGCGCCCCGGGAACCAGCTCAAAAGCCGGGCTGCGCCGCCCGCTCCGGGGCACTCGCGCCTGCGCACACGGCCGCCCGCGCGGGACTTGGTGGAAGTCTCGCGAGCGCGGCGCGGGGACAGCGGCGGCGGGCGCGGGGCGTGTCCTGGCCGCGCGTCCTGTCGGGCCGCCCCGCCCCAGGCAGCATGGGGGACAACACCAGCCCCATCAGCGTGATTCTGGTGAGCTCGGGCAGCAGGGGCAATAAGCTGCTCTTCAGGTACCCCTTCCAGAGAAGCCGGGAGCACCCCGCGGCGCAGACAAGTAAGTGGGCCGGCCGCGGGGACCCCGGCGCCCGCACGGCCCGCCGCTGCTGCCCCTGACCCCGGACGGCCTCTTCCTGCGGCGGCGGTGGCCGTGCGCGCCGGGGCCCGGGCTCAGCCTCTCCGGAACCGAGCCCCGGGGACCCGCCCGGCGCCGAGGTGTGGCGCGCTGTTCAGCCGGCCAGAGTGGCACCGAGCCTTAAAACCACACACGGTGGAGGACGCACCCGGGCCTCCAGGGTCCCTCGCGGAGGCAACTGCTGTTGCAGTGCCTTTCCCGACTGTCTGCGTGTGGGCGAGCGCGGGCCCGGGGCCGGGCCCGCTGCCCTGTCTAAGCACAAGTGCAAGCACTCTGGACACACAGGTCCCGCCCCGCTGTCACAGTGCCCCGGAGCTCCACCCTGGACGACCCTTGGCGCGGCCTCGCCCTTACAAGGCCGAGCCAGTTCCGCCCGGTGAACGTTCTGACTGTTTACTCTGGTCCTCTGCTCTGGGCCGTTTACGTTTTCAGTCTTTCGCTGATACACACTACACAGTTCTTTGTATGTATCATTTTGTAGAATATCTGTAGCAGCCAGTTCCAGAAGTAGCCTAAGGGAGAGTGAGTTTATTTATTTGGTAATGGGGATTGAACCCAGGGACGCTTAACCGCTAATCCACATCCCTCCCACCCTTTTATTTTTTAACTTGAGTTAAGGTCTCATTAAGTTGCTGAGGCTAGCCTCCAACTTGAGGTCCTCCTTCCTCAGCCTCCCAAATTGCTAGGATTTACAGATGTGTGCCACTGCACCTGGTACATGTGGATTTTTTTTTTTTTTTTGAGTTGTCGATGGACCTTTATTTATATGCGGTGCTGGGAATCAAACTCAAGTGTCTCACACATGAGGTAAGCGCTCTACCACTGAGCTGCAACCCCAGCCCCCACATTTAGGGTTTTTTTTTTTTTTTTGGTACTGGGAGTTGAACTCAGGGGCACACTGAGCCACATCCCCAGCCCTATTTTGTATTTTATTTAGAGACAGGATCTCACTGAGTTGCTTAGAGCCTTGTTAAATTGCTGAGGCTGGCTTTGAACTCTTGATCCTCGTGTCTCAGCTTCCAGAACCGCTGGAATTACAGGCATGCACCACTGCGCCCTGCCACATTTAGTTTTAATACACTAAGTTTTCAATTCTTGTTGATCTAATAGGTAAAGAATTGAATCTGATAGAGTGAATGTGTTTTCTGTTTTCAGAGCCTTTTACATTTCCTTTCCAGTGAATGAACTGTTTGTATCCTTTGCCTCATTTTCTCTTGGAATTGTTTGATTTTGATTTTTTTTTCAAGTTGTAGAAAATTGAAGGAGCTTTTACATATTTAAAATAAAAGTAGGCTTTTGTGACAAAGCTGTAAATATGTACGCAGTTTGCTTCTGTGTTGAACTTGAGATCCTCCAGCCTCTGCTTCCTGAGTAGCTGGACTGGCAGGTGTGTGCCAGGCCTGACCTCTGCAGGTGGCCATTAGCCTGTTGATTAACTGGGAAGAAAAGGCATCTTCATATTTATCTTCCAGAAAAGGGTGTGCCTGCTGTAGCCTCTGTCCTAACATCTTTCCTCTTCTGACAGAGTGTTGATTTTATAGAGTCAGGTTTTCAGTTTTGTTATGCTTGAGGACTGCTGCTCACTCAGATTGTTAATCAAAGTCTTCTGAGGGGTGGGACTTTAGCTCAGTGATGGAGACTTTGCCTAGCATGTGAGTCTTAACACCAAATAAAGATAAACAAATAAAATAAAGGCATGCTGTCTATCTACAGTTACAAAAAGAACTTAAAAAAAAAAAAAGTCTGCGGAGTTTTCCTTGGATGTTTATTGTCTCTTATTGTTTGTTTATTTTGTGTGGTAGTGGGGATTGAACCCAGGGCCTCACACAAAGGCTCCACCACTGAGCTGTATCCAGCACTTTTTATTTTTTGTTTTGAGACAGGGACTCACTAAGTTACTTATAGCTTCACTAAGTTGCTGAGGTTGGCCTCCCACTTGCAATCCTCCTGCTTCAGCCTCCAGAGCTGCTGGGACCAGAGGCGTGGCTACTGTGCCTGGCTGATTAGCTTCTTTCTGTAACTTTCCACTATATTATACTCTCAGGGTTTGTCATGTGTTGTTTTTTCCTTTTCACTGTTGTCCTGGTCATTTTTTTTTTTTTTTCATTGAAAACTTTTCACTGAAAGAATTGACTGTGTTAGGCCCTACTCCCAAGCTTTATTTATTTATTTGCTTATTTATTTATTTATTTTCAGTGCTTGGGATTGAACCAAGTGCTCTGTCATGAGCTGCCTCCCCACTGCCCCCATTTGTTTTTATTTTGAGACAGAGCCTGAGTTTGCCAGGCTGGTGTTGAATTTGAGATCCTCCAGCCTCTGCTTCTCGAGTAGCTGGACTGGCAGGTGTGTGCCAGGCCTGGCCTCTGCAGGTGGCCATTAGCCTGTTGATTAACTGGGAAGAAAAGGCATCTTCATATTTATCTTCCAGAAAAGGGTGTGCCTGCTATAGCCTCTGTCCTAATATCTTTCCTCTTCTGCTTGTTACTATGTTTAAACTGTATTATTCTAGTAAAGTATTATTGTTTGTGAATATGAAGGTTATTGAATATAGTTTAAAAATTCTTTTGTTTTTTTTTCTAACACAATTGCCATCTTGCACTGAGAGTGTGCATACGTACACACATATGCAATGTATTTGTCCTTCTTATAAAGTTAACATATAGCTGGGTGTGGTGGGAACATAGGCTATCCCCAGTGCTTTAGGAGGCTGAGGCAGGAGGATTGCAAGTTGGAGGCCAGCCTCAGCAACTTAGCAGACTCTGTCTCAAAAGAAAAGGGCTGGGGATGTGGCTCAATGGTAAAGCACCCTGGGTCAATTCCCAGTAGCCCCCCCACCCCGAAAAAAAAAAAAAGAATTAACATCATAGCAAAAATATCTCCTCATATTGTTATAATTTCTTGGAAACCATCATTTTTTTCTGAAAAAATATTTATGGTATAATATATATAAAACATGAAAGTTGCTACTTTAGCCATTTATTTTATTTTATGTTTTTTTTTTTAGTTGTGATGGACCTTTATTTTATTCATTTATTTATATGTGGTGCTGAGAATCAAACCCAGTGCTTCACACATATGAGACAAGTGCTGTACCACTGAGCTACAGCCCCAGCCCAAACTTAACCATTTTTAAGTGTATAATTCAGTGGCATTGATTACATTTGTTATATTGTGCACCTTCTCCTGTTTTCTGTTTCTAAAACTTTGTCAGCCTCTACATGGAAACAGTAATCATTGAGCAGTGACTCACTGCCTCCTGCTCCCAACCCCTGCTGACCTCTGCTCTGTCTGGGGATTTACTTATTCTCAATATTCTGTGCAATTACAATATTCATCCTTCTGTATCTGGATTATTTCATTCACCATAATGTTTGCAAGATTCACATATGCTTATTCCTTTGCGTGACTGCATGCTGTTCCATTGCATGGATGTACTGTATTTTGGAAACTGTAGATCTTAGGGAATCCACATTCGAGTGTGGTAAGATCCTGCTTTCTTAGCCATTCTCCCTTTTTTGCTCACTCAGATAAGCCCCGTAGCAGATATGCTGTTAACAACGCGAGTGACCATGCTGATGACCAGGACGGTGACTCCAGGTAAGGTGCTGAGGGCAAGAATGGAGTCCTGCTCCTAGGCATGGGCAGAGCCCTGCCCTCCCTCTGGTGCATACGTTGGCCCCTGAGAAGTCTAGTATCCTCTCTGCTTGGTGGTTGCTTCCAGGTAGGGCAGAGCTGATGGTTACTTTGCCCATCTTTTTGGCTTGCTGGGTACTCTGGGCACCCGCTCCAGTCATGGGCTGTGTGGCTGGTAAAGTAGGTCTGAGAACAGGTGGGGCTGTGTCTGTGAAGGATGTTTTTCTCCTATTAGAGGAAAGCAGACCCCTTTGCTGTCTGCACACCTGGTTCCTCCAGTACTTGCTTGAGTTTAGATGTAGGCACACAGGTACAGCACAGCCAGCCAGGTCCCTCTTGGTGCTGGACCTGGGGCTGGCCTGACCCTCAATACTTCTTTAGGGTCACAGAAAGATGGGTCCTGCTCCTTCCCAAGTTTGCTTTGCTGCTCTTTCTGAGAGGCAGTATTAGGGTAGAAACTTCAAAAATGACCACTTCTGCCTTCTCATGTTCATTTTAACCTCCCAGGTGCAGGAGGCAAGGTTGTAAAGTACCTACCCTGAGCTCCCTAGACACAGACAGGCCTGTGTGGGGTGCAGGGCTGGGCCTCCGAGACCTTGTGCGGTGAGTTAGTACCACTCCCTCTGGTTCTCTGACAGTGCCTCACACTGGCATGGTGAGGTCAGTTCCAAGAGTCTTTCACCCTCCATGAGGGTGCGGGGGCCTATGACATGACCTGAGCGTGAGCTTTGGAAGAGGGACTGGCCAGCAGGGGCTGCTGGGTAGTGGACTGTGGGCTCTCTAGGGAGCCTTCATGTAGAGGCCTGTGATTGTCTTGCTCTTTAAGGTGGTGGCCTGGAACAAACTCAGGTGTTACAGGCACATGGGAAGCTCTCACCCCTGCACACTCAATAGGTGCTTCTTGTGCACACTTCTCCCATGTTCTCCTCACAAACTTCTCTGAGCACAAGGGTTGGTTTGAAGGTGCAGAGATCTTGGAACAGTCTGGGTGGAGGGATTTCCTCAGAAGACGGTACACCTAATTCCTGCAGTTAATTTTCAGAGACTTATAATAACCATAAAGATGTTTTCTAGGGAGTTCATTCAGTGTTTAACATAGTGAAGAGGGAAACCCCTGGAGCGGAATGCTTCTTTTCAGAAGATTCTTTATTAGTTTAAGAATTGCTTCATTTAGGTCTAGGGCTGTAGCTCAGTGGTTGGGTCTTGCCTAGTGCACTTAAGACCTGGGGTTCCATCCCTAGTACTACAGGAGAGAAAAAGGAAGGGCTTTGCTTGGTGATGTAGCACATGCAGGTCTGCTGACCTCCTGTTCTCAGCATTAGGGTGAGTCCTTTGGGCACCCAGTCCCTGCTGCGTGGTCTCCTCCAGAACCTGCCAGGCCCCTGCTCTTCCTTCCTGTCATAGCTCAGCAGCTTCCTGAGGTGGTGTAGCAGTTCCACAAATCCACCCCCTGTCCTTGTCAACTGTCACTTGGAGTTGCTTTTCTCTCTGGGACCCTGGAATGCTCCTGCTTGTCAGTTTGCCAGATCGTGGCCTTAGAGGAGTGAGGGTGCAGAAAGTGCTGCTCACTATCACAGCATGACCAGCACAGCCATTAAATGGAGATTTGCTGAAATTGAATAGAGTAAAAACTCCAGCTCCTCAGAAGCACTGGTGTTGTTTCAGGTGCTGGTTTATTCAGGTGTACCATCAGGATGGGCTTCAGGGGTAGGAGTTAACTATTACTCCTTTGTTTAAAACCCTCTTCTGGAATTCAGTGGGAACAGAAGAAAATGGGGACCATCCTGTGTCTTGAGACTTGCAGTTAAAGATCATAAAAGTGGCAGTGTTCCTGTGGACTGGGTGTCAGGGGCTGGGGTGCTCATGTTGCCGTGTCCCCTGGGGCCCCACACTGGTTGGGGAAGCCACTAGCCTGGTATGGGCAGGTCCCCTCCTGAGGTAGTAGGTAGTGTCTTCTGGCCCTCTGAGATTACAGGCAGCCCTCTGGCCACTCCCTCCTGGGGAGTCAGGGACTTGGAGGAGACTGGGCCTCTTGGTGTGAAATTTTCCTGGAAGTTGTGCTTTAGACACTGTCTAGAAGAACCCCCCCCCACCAGAGCTGTGGTGGGCTTCCATCAGTGCGTGTAGCTCACGGGTGCCTTCGGTGGGGTGCAGTCAGCTGGTGCTTCTGCCCTCCTTGGGCCTGGCCCCACAGCAGCAAGTCCAGCCTTGGGTGCTGTTGGGCTGTCACCAGGTAGCCCAGCTCCAGTACTCTCTGGCCTGTGGTACACCTGCTTTCACCTCAGGCACACCTGAAGCTCCACCAGGCTTTTGGTGGCTCTTGGTGACTTTGCCCCACAGTGTGCTGAGATGCTAGAAGAGGGCCACGTTCTCCCCGTTCTGGCTACTTGTTTCACAGTAAAGGGCACCTGCTGGGGACAAGTTCAGGCTCCAAGTACCATTCCAGCTTTGCACACTTGGGCACCTTCCTTAGGTTGAGGCTTTGTCTGTCTTCTGTAAGTTTCCTGTGGGTAGCTGGGCTCTGTTCTCCCCCACCGGTCTGGATCGCATGGGAGCATCCTGCCTTTGTCAGGAAGTGGAACCTTGCCCACACCCAAAGCCCTGTGTGCTTGCTGCTGTGCCTTTGGAGGTATAGGTAGCATTGCGACCTGTCTGGTTGCAGGAGGTCCATCTGAGTCAGACTGGATCTGGTAGGATCCTGGCTTTCTGGTCAGCCTTTGGAAGGTATCGTAACCTCTTGCACTGCACAGCCCAATGAGCTAAGGTGTGGCTTCACTGTTGTGTTTCTTGGGTGGGTCTCTGGCAGTGTGGTGAGTGGCAGGGAGCCCTGTGGGCATGGTGCCCTTCCACTCCCAGGTGTGAGTGTCTTCTGTCTTTAGGATACTTGGAAAACAGCATGCCCCAGAATAAAAATCTCTGTCCAGGAACATAAATTCTTAAACTCTTTCTAGAAAGCTCAGGTTGGGTAGTGCAGAAGCTCCAGATATTTTCTGCACAAATGAACCTAACATGCCCGGCTGGCTCTCCAGGTGGAAGCTCAGGGAGCCGACGTTCACCTGGTACTTCAGTTTTCAGAAGGCTTTACCTAGGTGATTCCATTTTGTGCTCTACAGATGATTTCTTGTCATACAGAGGAGAAGTCCATTTTTGGAAAGATGAGATACTGTGCCCAGGTGTCTGGCTAATTCTTATGGCCCTGGTGTCTGATATATGTTTCCCAGTGTTGAGCTTCTTTTTAAAAAGCAACTCTTGAGCTGGGGATGTAGCTCAGTTGGTAAAGTACTTGCCCAGCAGGCATAAGGCCCTAGGTTTAACCCCCAGCACCACAAAAAAAAAAAAAAAAAAGGCTAGTGACTCTTGCCTGGTGCAATGGGCACCTGTGACCCAGCTGCTTGGGAAGCTGAGGCAGGAGGGCTACAAATACAAGGCCAGGCTGGGCACCTTAGCAAGACCCTGCCTCAAAGTTAACATAAAAGTGGCTAGGTGTGTAGCTCAGTGGTAGGGTGCCCCTAGGTTCAATCCCCAGTACTGTACACACACAGAAAGAAAGAAAGAAAGGAAGAGACTCCTGTTCCCCACAGCCTGCGCACATGTGTAAGAGTTTGAACTTCAGGGAGAATGCCCTGGGGTAAGTAGGAGTGCCTGTGTCCCCTTTCTTGTCTGGTAAGCTGCCTGGTCTTGACATTAGCAGTTAATGCTTATGGTGGTGCTTCTACTAGACTTTAATACTTTTTTTGTAAAAATAATCTTGTAACTTTTCATGGTTTTGTAAAGCAGTGCTTTTGTTTGGTCTTGATGGTCCTGTTCCCATTTCAGCGAGCCATGTCCTCCAACCGATGAGCAGTTGGTTGCAGGGTAAGACTGAGACCTCTCCACCATCTTTCTGTCTTGATTCTGGCTGCCCTCTCTTCTTGTAATTGTGCTTAATTCCTGTTTTCACTCAACATTGAAAAAAGTCACTAACGAGGCACACAGGCCCTAGCTTGTCCTCCCACAAGAGCCCAGGCTTCTTCACTGTCCCTGCCCTTTCTCCACCCAGAGTTATTTAGCTCTTTAACATTGTCTGAGAGGCCAAGGCATGGTTGATGGCACCAGAGAGTCTTTTGGGACCAGGTGTGCCTTCAAACCTCTTCCTCCCTCAAGGAGGAGCCAGTAGTCCTGTGGAGGTGGTGGGTGAGCAGGAGTGGGGTTTCTCACCTCCCTGCCCATTGCCACACTGAGACCTGTGGCTTTGGCTTCTAGTCTATGGTTTTCAGGGCCCTTAATAGTGTCTCTACCAAAGTCTGGGTGTCAGGTGTGATGCTTGGGTTTCAATGTTATTGGCTGAGCTCCATAGAGGCAAAGACGTTCCTGGGAGTGATCCTGAATTACTGCAGGAGGGCAGGGATGAGATGGGATGGCCCTGTGCCCCCGACAGTGCGTCCCTCCTGTGCCTTGGAGGTACTCTAGTGTCTGTGAACTCCCAGCAGGGAGGCAGGGAGCAGAGCTGAGATCCCTTCCAGGCTGCCTGCTCCTTTCTAGCCCAGTCAGAGAGCAAGCCCTTCTCCAGAATGTCTGGCAAGGAGAGAAAATCTGGCTTGTCATCTGGCTGGGCTGGTAGAGCTTCCTAAGCCTGCTTTTCTTGGGTTTCCAAGTTAGTCCAGAGGTCCTTAGTTTTTGTAACAATTTTTATTTATTTTTTTGTTGGGTGGTGCTGGGAATTGAAACTAGGTCCTTGTGAATGCAAGGCAAGCACTCTATGAACTGAGCTATGTCCCCAGCCCCTAACAATAATTTTAATGTATTACATTTACCAGCTTTTACAGGAAAGAATTTTGTAACTTTTGGAAGCAACAAGCAATTGTTGCCACTTGCTTGTGGCAACTGTGAGTTGTCTCCCAATCTCATTACACTGCTGTGTCTGTGCTCCTTGCACCAGGCCCCATCTGAGGTATGAAGCCACACAGATTCTCATCTACATGGGTGCTAAGCTGTAGCAAGTGGGTTTCTGTGGGGGGCAAACTTGCTGAGATGAGCAGAGTGGCCAGCTGTCATCCTGTGGGCCATCTGAGGGGTCTCCCCAGACAGCCACTTAGGGGAGTGTGACTTTTAACTTAGTCTTCACAGGACTTTCCAGTTGGCACTATCTGTGGACCCTGGCAGCCAGGATTTGGCTCTTGCAGATTTGGCTCTTGCAGGGCACTTGGGATTTGAGTTTTATAGACATGAGCTGAACTACTCCTATTTGCCTGAGGATCCCAGGACCCATCATCACTCAGCCATGTAGCTTGCGTCCCTGGACTGGTACCTGAGGGCTAGGGCCCAGGCTGTGTGCCTGTAGCTCTTAATAACAGAGCAACAACTTTTAGTGAATATTTTAGGCTATTACAGGAAGAAGTGAGCTTTCTGGAGTGGCAGGGGTTGCTTTTCTGTCTGCTAGTCCCTAGTCCCTGGGTTACCACCCAGTGGAGGGTGTTTGTTCAGAAGGGACATGATGTGCTGACACTGAGTCAGCTACTCAAGCAGGAGTGGTGTAGGGATTTCATCCTCTGAACCACCTTCCACATCACTGTCCCTCAGAAGGGAGCTACAGGGCAGAGTGAGTCTTTAAGGAAAACCTGTGATGCCTCTGGTCTGAGACAATAGGATCTGCTGTGTCTGCTTTAGTTGCTCCAGAGAATAATGTTTCAATGAAGCAGAGACCAAGCATGCCAGTGCGGGTCCTGCATGTCCCAGGGTGTTTCTTTTCTCTTCTTTTCTTTCCTTCCTTCCTTCCTTCCTTCCTTCCTTCCTCCTTCTTTTTCTCTCTCCTTCCTTCCTTTCTTCCTTCCTTTCTTCCTTTTCTTTCTTTCTCCTTTTATTGAACCTGGGATTAAACCCAGGGGTGCTTAACCACTGAGCCACATCCCAGAGACAGGGTATTCCTAAATTGCTTAGACTGGTTTTGAACTCATGACCCTCCTGCCTCAGCCTCAGCCACTGGGATTACAGTGTGCGTCAGCACGTCTGGGCCCCAGATGTTTCTAACAAGATCAGTCTGGGAACTTCGACCATCCCTGACTGCAAGAGGCGAGACAGCCCCTTTGGCCCGTGTTCTGTGTTGGTGTGCTCAGGGCGACCCAGGACTGCCACAGGGTCTTGCCAGTTCTGGAGGGAAGGCCGGAAACATCATGAGCCCTTTGGCTTGGCAGTGGAATGCCCCTGGCCCAGGAGACTGGGAGAACTCACAGATACTTGTCTTACATGTCATCCTGGGTCAGTTGGCCACAGCAAGGCCCTTGGTCCAGGGTCTCCTGGAATCCATGGCCCCCAGACCTTTATCTGGAGCCATCTGCTCTTTCAGAGAGGGGCTATAATCACTGTTGGAAGCTGGCCTTCATTTTTCATTTCTAACAGAGGGCTTACAACGATGGTCCCCACTCTGGGAGGGCATGACGAGGTACACACTGCAAGTCTGTCCAGTAGCCTGTCAGGACTGTGGGGTTCCTTGCCCAGGGGCAGAACATGTTCCCTGGAAGAAGGAGAAGTCTTCCCTGAGACACCATGCCCTCTTTCTTAGACGTTAGAAGTGCTTTCCTTGGCGTATAGAAGAGTGCAGGTGTTCTCTACTCTTGGATGCAGTGGGAGCAATGGTCTAGCACACCCATTCCAGAGCAGAGGCCAGGCCCTGGGCTCTGAGATAAGCGGCAATGATGCACCCCAGGTGCCCCTCCCTGCAGACCATCTCCCTTATCCAAGTCCCCAGCCGGGAGGGGCCAGTTTGCCAGAAGGGAGACAAGGGTATAGGTGTGCCTTGCAATGGCTAAGCTCCCATGCCCTGGCTGTTCTCACCTCCCTGTGGCATCCTGGTGCTCCTGTGACAGGATGGGTTTGCACTGTCCTTCCCGAATGGAAGTGGGAAAGTCTGAGTTCAGGATCAGAGAAGTTGCACCACAAAGCACAGTTCCTGCTCCGCATCAAGGGTGCAGGCCAGCAAGCCCAGTGGCTGCTGGGAGGGTCCCCTATACCTGTGAGGCTTATTGAACTGTTCCTTAGGACAGTGCCAGCTCCAGCCAATCCTCCTCTTAAATGCAGACTGCAGCTGTTCCTCTCCTAATTTCATAGAGCATGTAGAGATGATAGCATGTGCCTCCAACCTCTGCTTCTCATGCCTTTTATCTGTGATTTTGGTGATTTTGCCTCCCTAACCTCGGGATTGCTACAAGAAAGCCACTGGGGCAGAGCAGTTCACATGACTGCCATTCACAGAGACCTCCCCTCTGGAGGTATAGGGCATGGTGTCATGATCCTTGGTTAACCTTATTTTCTATTTTACCTTTTTTCATCTTTAAGGTTTTCAGATGTTATTTTGGCAACAATTTTGGCAACCAAATCTGAAATGTGTGGCCAAAAATTTGAACTGAAGATAGATAATGTGCGGTTTGTTGGGCACCCGACACTGCTGCAGCATGCTCTGGGGCAGGTATGTCCCTCCCTGGTCAGTTGTGATCCTTGTCAGGCAGGTAGGGCTCTCCCTAGGTAGGCCTGGCCCATCCTGGGCTCATGAGGCTCAGAATGGTGCTGACACTGGCTCTAGTGAGGGTGACTGTTAGGCAGCAGACCTGATCAGGCACTTGCCGTGAGTGTGCACCTCTGTAGATCCTGGGGGTCCAGCAGAAAAGTGAGGAGCCCTTGCCAGTGGTCTGTGCTTGGCTAGCAGGCACAAGGCACCCTGGTGCTTCTGTCCCTGCCACTGTCTCCACTGCCCCATGCTGGCATCAAACCCAGAGCATTGCACTCGGCCCCCAGCTCCCCTCTGTGGTCAGCTTCTACTGTTCGCACTCTGGGTCTCTGTGGACGTGGCTTTCTTTGTTTACAGGTTACCTGTTTCTAGGGAATCCAAGAGAGTAATTTGACTAGCATCTGCCAACCCCTGAGCTTTCTAAAAATGGTGCAAGCATTTATTTATTTATTTGTTTGTTTGTTTTTGATGGTCCTGGAGGTTGAACCCAGGTACTGCCTGTGGGTGGTGGGTGGGAGAGTTGGCAGCCAGCCTGTGGGAGTGACTGGCAGGGAGTCTGGGGCTTTGGCTCCCCCTTGTGGTGTCACTTGTGGTTGGCTTTGCAGAGTTCCCTCATGCCCTAGGAGTGCTTCTGCATTTGTGGATACAGAGCTGGGAACAGAGATGAGGACTGGGCTCTGGTATGAGGCCAGCTGCCCTGTCTCCTCTGAGCCTGTTCAGGCCTCTGCTGGCCCTGAGCATTGTCCTGTACCTAAGTGGGCCTGAGTACTTGTCATGCCTGGCAGAAGTAGCTGGGAAGGTCAGGTGGACCCTGGGGCTGGCAGTGGAATGGAAGTGGAGGATCAGAGAAGGTCTGGGCCCCCTACTTCCCAGGTCCCTCTACATCCTGTCACTCTGCTTCCTTCCGTTGACTGCCCCACTCTTGTCACAGCTATTTGTGCAGCAGGTGCTCCTCAGAAAGGAAGGCATCAGTCACTTCTCAAAGACCTGGGAGCTGTTTTCCTCTTCTGCTAGTCTTTGGGGTCTTTCCCATGCATGGCTCTCAATTTATTGCAATCATGCCTCTTTTGTAGGTCTCCAAAACAGATCCATCCCCGAAGAGGGAAGCGCCTACCATGATTCTTTTTAATGTGGTGTTCGCCCTGAGGGTGAGTGTTGGTGTAGGCAACCTGGGTGGGGAGGAGGGTAGAGCAGGAAGCAGCCCGTTTCTGGTGAGTGTCATGACTGCTCAGACTGTGGTGGGCACTGCGCTCGCCTTCCCTGGCATGCAGGCAGAGTCTGCCTTGTTGTGTGGTCCTCTTTTTTCCCAATACAAAGGAGAATATTTACCATTTCTAAGGGTCCAGGTTAGTGGCATCAGAGGTACTGAATTCTTATCTGCCACTCAGCCTGCTCCTGGTCGCTGTCCAGATCCATATGCTTTCACTCTCCAGAGAGAGACCCCTGTGTCCTTACCAGCTGTTGCCCCCTTCTCTGCTCTGTCCAGGGTTGGCAGGCTACGGTCTGCCTCTGTGGACTCACTGCTGAATTGCGTACAGAGGGATTCGTGCATCTGGGGCCTGGCCTCTGGCCTTGGTCCACTTGGCAGGTTCTGTGGTGTGTGAGCCATGTTTCTTTGTGGCCATCACAAGTGTCTTGTGCCTGTACCATACTTCACCCATTGCTGGGCACTAAAGGGTGAGGGGGTGTTTGGCTGCAATGAAGGATACTGCTGGGGGTGTTCCTGTTCACATTTTCTTTTTTCCTTTTTTTTGGTACCAGGGATTGAACTCAGGGTCACTTGACCACTAAGCCATTTCCCCAGCCCTATTATGTATTTTATTTGGAGACAGGGGTCTCACTGAGTTGCTTAGTGCCTTGCATTTTATTTTTTTTTTTTTTTGTAGTTGTAGATGAACAGCATACATTTATTTCATTTGTTCTTTTTTTTTTTTGTGGTGCTGGGGATTGAACCCAGGGCCTTGTACATGCAAGGTAAGCACTCTACCAACTGAGCTATATCCCTAGCCCTTATTTGTTCATTTTTATGTGGTGCTGAGGATCGAATCCAGTACCTCACATGTGCTGGGCAAATGCTCTGCCACTGAACTATACAGTCTCAGCTAGCCCTAGCGTCTCGCTTTTTGCTGAGGCTAGCTTTGAACTTGTCTCAGCCTCCCAAGCTGCTGGGATTACAAGCGTGCAGCACTGCACCTGGTTCTTGTTCATATATTCATGCCTCTTGGATACACACCCGGGAGTGAAAGTTTGGGTCCTCTGGTTCTTGTTGAGACTGAAGATCTTCTGAACTGTATGCTGTGGCGGCTGTACCATTTTACGTTCTCACTAGCAAGGTACAAGGGTTCCCACTTCTACACATTTTCACCAGCACTCTTTATTTTTCTTTTTTTTCTCCCTCCCTCCCTCCCTCCCTCCCTTCCTTCCTTCCTTCCTTTTTAAATTAAAACTAATTGTTTTTTTCTTTTCCTTTTTCCTGGGTATTGAACCCAGGGCGTTCTACACTGAGATACACTTCTGGCCCTTTTTATTTTTATTCATTAGGTACCAGGGATTGAACCCAAGAGCCCTTAACCATTGAGCCACATCACCAGCCCTTTTTTTTATATTTTATTTAGCAATAGAGTCTCAGTGATTTGCTTAGGGCCTCACTGAGTTGCTTAGGGCCTCGCTAAGTTGCTGAGACTGGCTTTGAACTTGCCATCCTCCTACCTCAGCCTCTGGAGCTGCTGGGATTACAGGCGTGCACTACCATTTATTTTGAGACAGGGTCTTGCTAAGTTGCTGAGGCTGGCTTTGAACTTGTGATCCTCTTGCCTCAGCTTCCTGAGTAGCTGGAATCACAAGTGTGGCCACTGCACATGGCTAAGCCTGATTGTTTCTTAAGGCAGTTACCAGTTCTTTCTGAGTTTGTTTTCACTAGTTAAGGAAATACCTTTGTATTAAACCTGTCAAAATGTAAGGGATTCAGCTGGGAGCGGTGGCATACACCTGTAATCCCAGTGGCTCCAGAGGATGAGGCAGGAGGATCGAGAGTTCAAGACGCTAAGCAACTCAGAGAGACCTGTCTCTCAATGAAATACAAAAATAGGGCTGGGGATGTGGCTCTGTGGTTGAATGCTCCAGGGTACCAAAAAAAAAAAAAAAAAAAGTAAGGGATCCAAATAAATAGAAATGTATCCCTAGGCAAGGATTGGCTTCTTTATTCATTGTTTGGTCCTGGGGACTGAACCCGAGGGTGCTTTAGCACTGAGCTATATCCCTAGCCCTTGTCATTTTATTTTGAGACAGGTCTTCCTGAGGAGCCCAGGCTAGCCTGGGACTTATGATCCTCCTTCCACACAGGGAGCACACTGGTTCACCTTGAGGAGTTTTAAAAACACTCCTCTAACATTCTGACAGCTTCATGCACCTGTCCCGGAACCCATAGTTGCTGCCTTTGCACTTGGCTCCATCTGTTTCCTCCCCCTGTGTTTCACAGAAAGGCCCGACCTCATGATTGCTCATTCCTACACACTTGTGAAGGCCTCTCTACAACGTGTCCGCCCACCTTGTGCCACAGTGTCTTTTTACTGTGTCTACTTTTCACATTGGTGTCTACTGGCACTTGACATGCTGGGGCTCCCAAGCCAGACATGCTTTCCATTTGGTCTATGGCCCGGTCGAGCGTCTCTGCCAGCTCCTCCCTTGGTCCAGCACAGGTTCCACATTTGGAGCTGGCTCCCTGTGCAGACCATCAGGCTTGCTCTCTGCCTCTGTTTCCTGTAAATTGGAAGTTTGTTTTGGGAGCTGGGGTACATTTGGGATGAGAAGCCTGTTGGTGGTACTGCCGTGAGCTGGGTACTACTCTGAGAGCCATGTGCCAGGTGGAGGGCTTCTCACGTGTCCCTGCACGGCTGGACCCACATACGCCTCAGGTGCTCTCAAGACTGAGCAGACAGGACACCAGATTCCCGAAGTGCAGTCTAGGACCTCACCCAGGGCAGCACCTGGTCAGCACATCAGGGATCCTGGGGGGGAGGCCAGTGTGCCTTCTCTGGCAGCACTGGCAGCAGAGGGTTGAACTCTTGGGGTGATGGGAGGGAGTGTCGTATGTCTAGGATCATTCTCTATCCCCCTGCTTTGCTGGTGTATTTTTACACAGATTCTGAGTGTGTCTTTGTTTTGAGGTAATGGCCTATGCCCTGTAAATTGGCACTGCAGGTCAGGGATGCTGTTAAGAGGCCTCGAGAGAGAGGGCGGGCGGTGCTACCTCTCTGAGTCTGCCCAGATGCAGGCTGTGTGTGAACATGGATCTGCTGGGAGTCTAGAATTCTGCAGGTGAACCAAGTGCTAATGTCTAAGTAAGGTCCCTACACCCACACCCAGCTCTGAACCCAGGGGTCTGATCCTGCCTGCTGGTAACAGGGATTTCTAATCAGTGGCACCACCTATCCTGCGCCCTCTCTCCACTTCCCCAGGCTGACTCAGCACCTCTGTTGGTCTCCAGAACCACCAGGTCATGCTTGGCCCAGTTATCTGCCCTCTGGAGCTGCTCCACAGATCCCACAGCTGTGCACTCCACCCTGGTCCTGGGTGGATACATCTGCCTGGCCAGCTGTGGCCCCTGATAGCTTCCAGAGGGGGTGGGGTCCACTTCTGTTCCTGAGAGCCTCCTCACCCTCCCTCCACCTAGTCAGTGTGGGTGCAGAAGGAGCCCTGGGCAGGGGCCTTGGCCTGGGGCCTGCTGGTCCTCTTGTTAGCTGGGGAGAGCTGCTCATGCTTGAGGATAGAAGAGTACCATGTGTCCTGTTGTAACATAGCCAGGCGTGTCCAGCATGCTCATCAGGACAGTGCTGAGTGTGGACACTTGCAGGGCTTTTCTTAGGGCAGGCTCTGTCTGAGTGCTTAATGTGTCTGATCCTCATTGAGGGAGGTGCCCTTGTTGTCCCACCACTCAGGGTTACACAGCAAGTGGGTGGGTGGAATCTGCCCTTAGCCACAGCCTGCTTTTGCTTACCAACCTAGCATGGTAAAATGTGTGTGGAGCCCCCTCTGTGCAGCCATCATGCAGCCCTCCCAGGAGCAGGGAATGGGGGCTGGCAGCCAGTGCTTCTGGAGGGACATAGGAAATTTCTGGCAATCATGGCTTCCAGAGGCACCTGGAGGAGAGGAGGAGAGAAGATTTCTTTCGTGGTCTAAATTTTGGCTGTGCATGTTTTTGTTTTTCTTGGCACTGGTGATAGAACCCAGAGACATTTAACCACTGAGTTACACTCCATCCCTTTTTATTTTATTTTGAGACAGGGTCTTGCTGAGTTGCTGAGGCTGGCTTTGAACTTGGGATCCTTCTGCCTCAGCCTCCAGAGCTGGAAGGACAGGCAAGTGCTACTGTGCCTGGCCTGTTACTTCCTTTGCACCTGTGGCACATTTAGATCTGTGTGGCTTCTCCCCTGCAGGCCAACGCTGACCCTTCTGTGATCAACTGTCTGCATACCCTGTCCCGGCGCATTGCTACAGTGCTGCAGCATGAGGAGCGCCGCTGCCAGTACCTCACTCGGGAGGCCAAGCTGATCCTGGCACTGCAGGACGAGGTGTCCGCTGTGGCTGACGGTGAGCAGCAGTGAGAGTGGTTCTGGGCTGGCTGATGGCATCTTCTGATGTGGACAGCTCCAGGTTTCCCAACTAGCATCGTCAGAGCACTTGGGTGCTTGTAGTCTCCAGGCTTTCAGTGCACTGGGCATGGCTGAGGAAGTGCTCACAGCAGCCTTGTGCCTCAGGGACTGTCCCCTTTTTGTGGAGAGGCTGTATGAGCTTAACATTGGGCAGGTGAGCCCAGGGCACATGAAGACTCCCAAGGGACTCATTCAAATTAAGTCTGCTTTCTCAAATGGATGTGCCCAGACTGACTTCCCAACTGGAAGGATTCCCTTCCCCACATGCGGCAGCACCCTTCAGTTAGCACTGACACCTCTGCCTGGCCCTGCCCCTGTTAGAACCTTGGTCATGGGTGCGAGTTGGGGAGAGGCTGGCAGGAATGTCCAGTCTTAAGGTGAGTGGTTTCCATTCCCTGCTTTTAGCCAAACTGAAGGTGGGTTTAATTGAATTATGCACTAACCAGTTATCAAAAATAGTATTTGCAAGCTGGGTTTTGGCTTAGTGGTAGAGTGCTTGCCTGACATGCATGAGGCATTGGATTTGATCCTCAGCACTGCATAAAAATAAGTTAAAGATATTGTGTCCACCTAAAACTAAAAAATAAATATTAAAAAAAAAATAGTATTTGCTGGCAGGCCACCATATAACTTTTGGTATACCCATAGTGCTAAGCCATGGGGTACATGATGATAAACTCCACTCCTTTCCTAAGGTCAGCAGCTCATTTGGAAGATGCAGGTGGAACAGAGTTGCAGTCAGGCTCAGCCTTGGTAGCTCTGAGTAGAATTGGTGAATGTCATGCACAGACTGGCAGCAAGAGCGGCCTGGACTTTGGTGTAATTTCACTCTGTTTGAAAATTCACCGGCAAGGGCTGGGGCTATAGCTCAGTTAATAGAGTGCTTTCCTCACATGCACAAGACCCTGGGTTCAATCCCCAGTACCCGCCTCCCCGACAAAAAAAAAAAGAAGAAGAAATACAAAAGAAAGAAAATTAGCTGTCAAAACTTGTGATGTAGGGTGGGGCACACTGGTGCACACCCATCATCCCAGTGACTTGGGAGATGGCAAGTTTGAGGCCAGGCTCAGCAACTTAGAGTCTGTCTCAGAATAAAACATAAGAAGCTGGGGGTATGGCTCAGTGGTTAAGCACCCCTAGGTTCAATTCCTGGTACCCAAAATAAGTAAGTAAGCTGCATCAGCATACATGTGTGAGAGGAGGGCCTGGAACACACCAGCCAGCAGGGCAGTGGCCTGACAGTGCAAGGCACAGGCCTTTGGGACAGGGCAAAGGTTTTGGGCTAGTGTGTTCCGTGAGAAGTGGTAGGACAAACAGCCCGTGTTCAGTTCACAGGACACAGGTTGTGTGAGAAGCAGGGAGTTCCCAATGGGTGGTTTTAAGTGACTCAGTTGGAGTGTCGGCTTCTGAATGGCCTGTGCATAGTTCCTTGCTGTGGAAGCTTTGAAATCTTCTGTGTTGTGATTGTTACAGCAAATGAAGGCCCACAGTCCCCGTTCCATCACATCCTGCCCAAGTGCAAGCTGGCAAGGGACCTCAAGGAGGCATATGACAGGTAGGCAGGTGGGCATGCTCTCTGGCTCTCCAGGAGCCTGGGGCTATCCGCACCTGGGTCCCTGATGCTGGACACTGTTCTGGTATTTGGATGCTGGCGCTCCACTGAGATGGGGCAAGAGCACGAAGACTGTGGCTACTCTTATGAGAAGTGACCTTGGTAGCCATTTTCAAATGATAGCCCCTTTGCTAGGTTGCATGCGCCTATTTGGAACATTCACCTCTGGACTCTCCTTAACACAGAAAACCAGCTAGAAGCTGTGGGTGAGAGCCTGGAGGTGCTCTTGCTGAGGGGGACAGTGGAATTCTGGTCCCACCTTGGTTGGTGGGTTCCACTTTTTTTCACCCATGAAGAAACTGGCTCAGTGGACAGAGCTGGGTGGGGCTGGCTGTGCTATTTCCTGCTCTGGGAGTGTCTGAGGGCAGCAAACACTGGGGGGCATCAGGGAAACCCTGCACCATCTGATTACATTGGTGGCTGAGCACCAGCTCTATTAAATGTGGACCAGCATGACGTCCATTTCTTCTGCAAGGTCTTCTGTCTGACCACTGCTCCTGTGGCCCCGAGATGTTCCCTGGCTCTGAAGCTGCAGCGAGAGGTGTATACCCAGCTGCCACCCCTCCTAGAGCTTTGCCTTCCTGCTCCTGCACCTGCAGCACCCATTCACATGCTGCCTTGTCACTGCAGGGCCCACACAGTGCCAGCACAGTGCCCGGCAGATGCTGCCTGGCACACCTTTCTGCGCAGCACGGGTGGGTCTGGTGCCTCTGCCTGCCCTGCATGGCCTCCTCTTATCTCCCCCTCCTGGTGAGCAGCTGTGGTTGATGTAGGGCCCTGCGTTCCCTCCCTCCCTCCCTCCCTCCCTCCCTTCCTTCCTTCCTTCCTTCCTTCCTCTTAACTACTTAGAAGGGGCACTTAACCACTGGGCCACATCCCCAGCCCTTTTTTTTTTTTTTTGTATTTTATTTAGAGACAGGGTCTCACTGAGTTGCTTAGGGCCTCACTAGGTTGCTGAGGCTGGCAATCCTCCTGCCTCAGCCTTCTGAGTTGCTGGGATTACAGGTGTGCACCACCACACCCGGCTCCCTGTATTCTTTACATGGCTGCTGGGACACGTGCTGCTCAGTCATCTGTGGATGTCATTTTGTGCTTGTGCCTCATTGTCCCTGAGGTGGATCCTGGAAAGCATCACACATGGTTGATGCGTCTCCTCTGGGATGTGTGCTTGATTTGCACTTGAACCAGTGGCAGCGTGCCAGGTGCCTCTCCCTGGATTTGCCAGGGAGCTTGGTAAATTTTTCATTTTAAATGATGGAGAGGTGGTGAGTCTTCTTGCATGTTTAAATTGTCTCATTTTCATTTCTCTGAGTGCTATTTGGATCCCTCACCTGGTTGGTAAATGCAGGTTTCTTCAAGGGGGAAGCAACTGTGCTCTCTGTGACCTGTTGGACTTGCACTTATGTCACCTGGTAACCTCTGGGTGATGGCTTCCCTGTGTCAGAGGACTTCAAAGCATCTGCAAGCAGCCACTGCCACATCCTGACTAGAGCAGGACCTTTGAGGTTGCACAGGTGTTTTCTTTGTGGCAAGAGAATGGCTGCCCTCTGGTCTTGAGTTGGCTGAGCTGGAGATCCCTTCCTTGGAAGTTGGTGGCTTGTTCTGAGTGGGAATCTGCAACACCTCCAGCTTGAGACTGAAGCACAGGAAAACCTGTGGCTTTCTGTTTCTAGAGAAAGAAGGGAAGTGGTTTCTTAGGTTTGGAGTGGGGAGATTGGAACTTGTCCACCAACTGCTTGTGTGACTGTAGTGCCATAGCTCAGAGCGTCAGGCGGCCTGGGCCACCTGGGGGACACAGTTTTGAGGAGCACACACATTCAAGGTTCAGGTGAGAATGCTCAGCCCTGGTGTTCTTCCCTTGACCAGGCACCCTGTGTACTGGGAGTTCTGGCCCTGAGTCCTGCCCCAGAGATGCTGGGAGCTGCACTGTTTTACGGGAGAAGTTCCCACCCCCACTTGGTACCTGCATAGCTCTGGAACTGCCTGAGCATCCTCTGGCCTGTGGCCTGCCGTCCATCCTCATCTTACCTGGTCCATGTGGGTCTTGAGACCATGCCCAGAGGAGAGGCTGCATATAGAATCAACCAGGTAGCTGAGAACACAACATAGCTCCTTTCTTCTGACAGTGGCCTTCTGCCAGATCCCCAGGGAATTTCTCAGAGCAGAATTGAAAGACAAGAAGCTGTGAGGCTTAATGAGACTGTGGATCTGACTGGGGCATTTCAGAGAGACTAGTCCCGAGTTGATGTCTTCATCCAGAGCTAGGGTTGTGCTATAACTGAATAGCCTAGTCATCCTGGTCACCTCTGGGACCTGCTATGCCTGTGAATCTAGGCTGGGAGTGTGGCTCCCTCAGGAGGCCACCTTGACTGTTCCAGCACATGCTTCCCTGGGGAGTGCTATGACCTCAGTGAGAGCGTCTGCCTTGTTCATGTGACCACTGGATTGTGTCCCCCAGGAGGGCAGGGACATCCCTTCAGTAGCAGCTCTAGTGCTCAGCATGTGGAGGAACACTGCTCTTCCACTGTTGGTGGAAGGAACTTAGAACAGCAGGAGGGCAGTGATGTGGAAGTGTCCTATGGAGTTCTCTCAGGCACAAGGGCCTGAGGTGGACCTGGGAGGGCAGAGCCTGGGGACATTATGGGGGCCTGGCCAGATAGGAGGCACGTGGTGTTGGGCCTCACACTGCTGGTTTCCACAGCAAGGCCGGCCTGCACAGGAGTGTGTATTTCCTGTGCATGGACTTCTGCATGACGTCACCAGCTGGGCTCTCGCAGTGCGCTTATGCTTCTTGGGTTGCACAGTGCCTCCCACGTGGAGCATAGCCCAACCTGAGTATGGGGCCAGAGGATGCAGTGCTTGGGATAGCATTACAGGTCTCTGTCCTAGGGTAGGAACATGACCAGAATGAGACCACAAAATGACCTTTCAATTGTTAGCTAACGGTTGGGAATTGGCATCCTCTTCCAGATGCTGAGCGTGAAGGGGGTAGGTTGGCTTGGGCACACCCAACTTGGGTGTGGAAGATAACATGTTGCCTTTGCACAGTCATTGTGTGGGATGCGGGGCTGTGGCAGGATCATCTATCTCCCCTTGCAGACTGGGCTGGGCCCTCCTGGTAATGTGAGAGCTGGATAAGCCTGGGGCACTGTGTTTTCAGCCAGACCATTAAACACCCTGAAGATAGAAGTACAAGCTAAGCAGCAAGCCTTTTAGGACCTAAACCATGGGTCTGTTCTTGAAACTGGGCTTTCAAACCAGGGACAAACCTTTCTCTTCCCTCCTCCTGGCAGACTTCACTGAGGCTCCTGACTCCCTGGAGTTGGAGGCTACAGTCCACAGGCCCTTTCCTAGGACTGTTGTCCCCGGCTGCTGCAGAGCTTTGCCTTGGGTGCTTCTGGCCATGGCACTGTGCCCCACACTGCAGAGCTTGGAACTTGTTAGTCTGAAATGAGCAGCTTCAGTGCCTGGTGCTCAGAGGTGCAAGGCAGCTGCAGGTAAGCAGATGCTCAGGAGAATAGAGTTGAGTCCACGTGGAAAGCAGGGCACCCATCATAAGCAGGCCCCATGCCGTCAGCAGTGTAAGGTGGCCAAACCTGTGTCCCAGATTTCCTTGCACCCACAGGGGGTACTCGTCCGGCTCTCCCCGCCCCAGGCCCCTGCTCCATGCACGCATCTGTACCCTCTTCTCCTTCACCTGTCTTGTAACTCTCTAGTGTTTCTCACAGCTGTGCAACTTGTTTATGGTCAAGTTCATCTTCCTCGGTACTGCTGAGTTTGAGCCCCCAAAGTGCAAGGCTGTAAGTATTCTGTCCTCTGAACAGTGTGGGAAACAGTTTTTGGTGCCTCAGCATCTCTCAGGTGGTTTTCACCTGTGTGCAGCATTGCTGAGCTCTTTGAGCAGGAAATAGCAGTGAGTGAAATGGTAGGAATCTTGGTGTTCAGTTTTGATTCTTGGCCAAAAGCAACCATGAGCTACTCTGGTGACTGTGGCAGGAGGAGCCAATGTTCAAAGCCAGTCTGAGCAGCTTAGGGAGACCCTGTCTCAGAATGAAAAATAAAAAGGGCTGAGAATGTAGCTCAGTGGAAGTGTGCCCCAGGTTCAATCCCTAGTACCACTAAAAAGGAAAGAAAGAAAAAAGAAATAGAAGAACTTTTTACTTTTACCATCTGACCACCATTGAAGTGGAGGAGCCTGGCCAGTAGTTCCCATGGAGCCGGCCACTGAGCAGCCAACTGGACCTCCTTGTCGCTCCTCTCTCTTGCTGCTGTGGATACTGAGATCCTAACTGTTGCTTACTCACATTAAGCAGCTAACAAACCTGGGTCCCCTGGCAAGTCTCACACAGTGTCATTTTTGATTCCTTAAGAGGCCAGGCTGTTCCTCAGTATTTGACATGAATGCCAACCCTGTGGAGAACTTGAGAGAGAAACTTGAGCTATTGGTCTGTTTCTTGAGGATTTGGGGACAAGGCTGTAAGAATGTTCTACAGGTGCCAGGAGGGGTTGAGGGGCTGCCTACACACTGGCCATCTCAGCTCTAGATGCTAGTGTGTTCCAGAGATCCGAGGGGCTTTGTGCATTCTGACCTGGGGCGGGCTGAGCTCCTTACCCATCCTGGAGCTGCTGATCTGGAGCCTCAGCACCTCTCATGTGATTGTCACCTGTGTGTAGCATTGCTGAGCTCCACACTTAGCCCGATGTAGATGTCTTGGCTTAACCCTAGTGGGAGCTAGAACCAGCAGAGCAGGTTGGAGGTGATGGGAAAAGCATTTCTTGGCTACTCTCTTGAGTGGAAACAGGATGGAAGGAGGCCCTGTCTCAGTGGGTGGTTTGGAGAACTGTCCTGAGCTTTGCTCCTATTTGAGAACTGAGTTGTTCCATAGAGGGACACAGGAGGGCCATTGACTTTCACCTCAGCCAGGTCAGGATGGAGCCCAGGGAGCATCTTCCCCAGAGGCTGACACATCCCACCACTATAACTTTCTAGGAACCTTGACATTCCCTCTCCTACTCACTTCTCCTCTTGGGACACAGCCTACACCCTGCCTGGCAAACCTGTGAGGGCCAGCACCAGGTATTCATGGCAGGCCCCTTCACAGGATGGACATGCTGTGTGTGCCAGGTAGGCAGGCAGGGGGCCAGGTTAGATGCCCTAGAGGTAGAAGAGGCTTCCGTTAAACCCTAGTAGGCTGAGTGGGCCACAGACACCCCTTTTCTAGTGAGAGGTGCATTTGTGTGTGTTCCTAACAAGCTTTCTTACATGCACTGAAAAGATGCTTTCTGGTCCATGAAGTTTCCCCCTGCAGTTTCCTCCACCCAGCAGAGCAGTGTGCTGGGGCCACACTGGGTCTGGTGCTGTGATCTGTGCATGCACTTAAGAGTGTTGCTGTGTGAACAGTCCTGACTCCACTCTCTGCAGCCTGTGCACATCTGGTGTGGTGCGGCTCCACATCAACAGCTGGCTGGAAGTAAGCTTCTGTCTGCCCCACAAGATCCACTATGCTGCCTCCAGCCTGATTCCCCCTGAGGCCATCGAGCGGAGCCTGAAAGCCATCCGGTGAGAGCCCTTCCCTGTGGTCACCACCTGAAGCTTTGCCTAAGACTTGTTCCAGAAATTCTCTTTTCTGAGCTGGGTGTAGTGGTACACACCTGTAATCCCAGGGACTGGGAGACTGAGGCAGGAGGATTGCAAGTTCAAAATCAGTCTCAACAATTTAGTGAGGCCCTAAGTAATTTAGCAAGTCCCTGTCTCAAACAACAACAACAACAACAACAAAACATTAAAACTATTTTCTGGGTGTGGTGTTGATGCAGGTAGTCCCAGCTACTTGGGTGCTTAGTGAGACCCTATCTCAAAAATTTTAGATAGATAGATAGATAGATAAATGGGGCTGGGGGTGTAGCTTAATGGTAGAGCACCCCCTAAATTCAATCCCTAGTACCGCCAAAAAAGAAAAAAATATATTTTCCTCTAAAAGTTGGCAGGTAGAATTCTGCTCTTAGTAAACCATGATTTTGTGTCCAGTTCGGTTCAGAAATGACCCAACCCCTCTCCCCTGGGCCTCCCAGCCAGCCTGGGCTGTGTGGCTGAGCATGAGGAGGAGCCAGTCCTGGGCCAGGGCAGATGTCATCTCATGGTGACGTAGATCCTAGCTTCTCGGCTACATTGATTTTCTCTGAGGGGTGAGCTAGACCCAGTCTTGCGGCTCAGGCACACATGCGCCTACACCAAGTCCCCTATTTCCTTGAGTACTATCTAAATAGTAAAAAGAAACCTGGGGGCTGGGGTGTGGCTCTGTGGTGGAGCACTAGCCTAGCCTATGCGAGGCTCTGAGTTTGATCCCCAAACAAAAGAAAGAGAAGGAAAGAAACCTGGTATGCTAAGGGCAATCCCAGCACCACCAAAAAAAAAAAAAAAAAAAAAAGGAGGAAAAGAAAGGAAATCTGGACGCATTCTTGAATGTTTGGAAACCAGGGAAAGCAAAGCATGCCTGGACCCTCCCCACCCCCATCAGTGTCCCAAGTGACGCCTTCCCGCCAGTCCCTTGCTAAATGTATTTTTAGGTAGTTCTATTCGTAGTCTGTGGAGAGGATTTTGCTTTTCCCATGTTTGAGACCATTTACTTAGGAAAGATTCTTTGATTCATTCAATCAGTAAACCTGTGCTAGGCACCCCAGAGGTAGAGTATGGCCCACCTCAGTTTTGGTCTAATTTGTTTTCTCCCAAGGGCAGCAGTGAGCCTTGCAAATTTTTTATGAAGGCTCCTGGACACTGCTGCCCTTCTCTTTGGTTCCTCCCTCATCCCACTTCTCCACAGTGCAGTGAGTTCCGGGTACCTGCCTGGTGCAGGGGCCCTGTGATTCACAGGCCCACTGACATGACTTTGCTTCTCAGCCCCTACCATGCCTTGCTGCTGCTCAGTGATGAGAAGTCCCTGCTGAGTGAGCTCCCCGTCGACTGTTCCCCAGCTCTGGTGCGGGTGATCAAGACCACGTCTGCTGTGAAGAACCTACAGCAGTTAGCCCAGGATGCTGACCTGGCTTTGCTGCAGGTAGGGCCTGGGGTACTTGGATTGCATGCAGAGCAGGCAGCCCCAGGGTGGTGGTGGGAGGCACCAGGAAAGCAGGTTGCTCACCATGCTGCCTCCCAGGCCCTCTCTTCAGCTGAGAGCTATTGCATTATATGCCCTGACCAGGCCAGTTCCTGGGGTGCTTGAGGTTCTGACATCTGAGTCTGACCTAAGTTTTGGGTTGACTTCTTTGGTCTTGAATGCAGAGAAATGGAGGTGAGCTATGGGAGGCAGGAGGGAGGAACTCCCAGCACTGGGCAAAGGTCTGGAGGACAGGACCCAGGGCTGGCTTTGCGGGGGAGATGGCACATAGTGCACTTGGCCAGTGCATGAAGTCTCCCAGAGGCACAGGAACAAGCATGTGGGACATGAGGGCAGAAGCTTGCACATGGGCCCGCCACGTGCTGAGCCAGGGCCTGAGCTGTGGCCTTTACACTGTACATTTGTGCTGCCTCTTCTTTGTATGAGATGCCACCCTCTTGCTGGGCCATGCACTCTAAGGGAGGGACCCTCAGCCTTGGCCAGGGTGGATATGATTGGAGTGCGGGCGGGGCACAAGAAGAAGCTGGCAGGCAAGGACCCAGCTTTTGATGGGGTGACATTGGCCAGGGCCGTGGGTACCATCCAAGGAGAGGACCAGGAGTGCCTGTGGATGGCCCAGGGTGTCTGGTGTTGGTATGCACCACATGGCCACCAGGCGGCAGCAGATGCCAAGGCTAGGCCACTTGGGCTCTGCTTGCCCAGGTTCCTAAGCTCAGCTTGGCCTGTGAAGCTCCTGCAGTGACATTTCTGCCTATTTTTTTTCCCAAAACAGCATTTCAAATTCTCTTTCAGTGTGAGTCTGGATGTGCTCTGTGTGCCCTGACCTTTATCTGCTCTGCTAGAGCACGCACTGGAGTCTGGCTTTGTGCTTCACTCTGGCTCCTGGACTGGACAGGACCCAGTGAGGACCGCATCCTGTTCACCCATGTGGTCTCACCATTCCCACACTTGCAGGACAGGGCCAGTATGGGGAAGGCTGAGGCTTTGCATACCCTGAAAGGAGCCGGGCACTCAGTCTTCACTGTGCTGAGCCTGCGCCTCACCCTTTCTTGCTGCAGCAAGGCTGTGTGGAAACCCTGAATGAACCCTAATGGCTCACCCTGCCAGCCTTTAAGCAGGGTGCCATGCCCCCAGGTGGCGCTAGTCCTTTGGGGAGCATCTTCCTCAGGTGTGAATGTCACAGGATGTTTTAACATCACTCATGCTCCATCTTAGTGCAAATAGTGTTTAATGGTAAAATCAGTATATTCTTACTCATTTGGGCACAGTGGCCACACCTGTAACCCTAGAGATGTGGGAAGCTGAGGCCGGAGGATTGCAAGTTCTAGGCCAGCCTAGGCAACTTAGTATGACTCTGTCTCAAAATAAAAAATAAAAAAGGGGCTGGGGTTGTAGCTCAGAGGTAGAGCGCTTGCCTTCCACATGTGAGGCATTGGATTTGTTCCTTAGCACCACATAAAAATAAATAAACAAAAGTATTGTGTCCATCTACAACTAAAAATTTAAAAATAATAATAATAAAAATTAAAAAAAGACTGGGGATGTTCCTCAGTGGTAAAGCACTGCTGGGTTCAACCCCCAGAGCCTATAAATAAGTAAATAAATATATTCTCTATTGAAAATTGAAATGTTACAGGTATTACAGAGACAGGAAGAGGAAGTCCCTCTAATCTAATATTCCAGAACCTATAGATCTAATCTAATATTCCAGAACCTGTAGATCCATCTAGTTTTTTTTTTTTTTAAGACAGAAAGAGAGAGAGAGAGAATTTATTTTAATATTTATTTTTCAGTTTCGGTGGACACAACTTCTTTATTTTACGTGGTGCTGAGGATCGAACCCAGCGCCCCGAGCATGCCAGGCGAGCGAGTTACTGCTTGAGCCATATCCCCAGCCCAACCCGAGATGGGGTCTGTATATATTGCCCAAGGTCTTGAACTCCTGGGCTCAAAGGTTCTCGTGTTTTGGCTTTCTGAGTAGCTGGGACTATACGTGCATGCCACTGTGCCCTAAAAAAAAGCACATAACTTTGAAATAAAGTTATGGTCACATTGTATATTATTTGTTTTTTTTCAGTATGGGGAGTTGAACCCTACCACTAAGCCAATCCCCAGCCCTTTTATTTATTTATTTATTTTTAAGTAATTTTTTAGTTGTAGATTGACACAATGCCTTTTTTTTTTTTTTAAATGTTTATTTATTTTATTTTTCCGGCAGACACAACATCTTTGTTAGTATGTGGTGCTGAGGGTCGAACCCGGGCCGCACGCATGCCAGGCGAGCGCGCTACCGCTTGAGCTACATCCCCAGCCCGACACAATGCCTTTTTATTTATTAATTTTTATGTGGTGCTGAGGATCAAACCCAGTGCCTCATGCATGCTAGGCAAGCCCTCTACCATTGAACCACAACCTAGCCCTATTTTTAATTTTGAAACAGAGATTCACTATGTTGCCTAGTCTGGCCTCAAACTTGTGGTCCTCATGCCTCCGCCTTCTGAGTGTATGTTCCTTATGACTGACTGAATATTGACCCTCACAGATCTACATCCGAATCCCAGCACCTGTGGGTGTGGCCTTTTGTGGGACTTCACAGATGTTAGGATGTTAAGGATCTTGAGATGGGGAGATTTTCCTGGTGGGCCCTTAATGTAATCACAAGGGCCCCATTAAGCAAGAGTCAGAGTGACCATGGAGCCACCAGCTGAGAGACACTGGCAGCTGGAGGAGGCAAGGGCAGGTTCTGTCCTGGATTTCAGAGGGAGCATTGCTGGGTTCTGGCCCTGTGACTTCTAGCCTCTAGCATGGTGCTCTGCTTGTAGAGATGGCCTGGAAAAGCAGAGACCAGGCCAGCTGCTGCAGCAGAGAGAAGAGTGGAGACAAGGAAAATGGGCAGCTCTGCATTTGGGTTGAGAGAAGAGGGGCAGTGATGGACCTGCTGTTTCCTCCGTGTTGATACCACTGGGGCTCCCATTTGCTGAGCTGAGTAGATGTGTCCTCTGCAGCACAGCAGGCCTCTGTCCAGGTAGGGGTGGTTCAACACACTGGAGGCCCACCTGCCCCAAGGACAGAATGTATCCAGGGAGACACAGGCAGGAGCACAACTGTTGCTCTCAGACCTCTCCTCCATGAGAAGCTGGGGTGCTTGAGGTTCCTGGAAAGGACTCCTGATGTGTGAGGGCCCAGAAGAACAGTGTGGCAGGATGTTCTCTAGGGGAAGGTAGGGCCCACAGGAACAAATCTGGGGCCTTTGGGTGTGCAGGGGTGTTAGGCTAGTAACTCCACATCTACTCCTTCTTGGGGAGCCGAGCTGGGGTCCTGGTGGGTGTGGGTAGGGCTGTGCCTCTGCTGGGACACCCAGCCAAGCCCCCTGCCTCGCTGGGTCCACCTGCACTACTCTACATTCCAAATGTCCCCATGCTCTTGGGCTTGAAGCCTGGGCCTGACAGTACTGTTCCTCAGCAAGAGCGCAGCAGCACAGGGTCTGGCCAGGAATTGGCAGCGGTAGATAGTGCAGGCAGCAGTGATGAAAAGGCTCTGGTCCCAGGAGACACTGTGGGACCTGCCACCTGGTGGGAGGTGCTGCCCAAGTCAGGGAAGGGACTCCAGGGGCCATGGCCATAGGGTCTGTGCTGCATGAGCTTTGGACCAGCTTCTCCAGAGCAGGAAGACCATAGTATCCTAGGCCTGGTCCTCCCAGCCATCTGTGGCCTGCAGGTGTTCCAGCTTGCGGCTCACCTGGTGTACTGGGGCAAAGCTGTCATCATCTACCCGCTGTGTGAGAACAATGTCTACGTGCTGTCTCCCAATGCCAGTGTGTGTCTGTGAGTACCACCAGTGCCCATGGTGGGGAGGGCGAGTCCCGCCAACCCTTCTGGGGATGCTCCCTGGGCTGCCAGGCTTCAGAGGCACTGGAGGCCTCGAGGCTAGGCTCCCACTCCCACTGAGTGACTGATTTCAACTGTGCCCATCCTGATTCTGGTCTGGCTGGCCCTGCCTGCATCAGGACCACTTCCTCCTGACCAAGATCAGAGAGGGGTTTGGGGTAGCCGGTGCCTGTGGCTTCTGCTACCCCTTAAGGGAAAGTGCCAGGACTCTGTCCACCTGAAGGCTTGCCCAGCTCTGCCGTGTCACCTTACATTCATTCTGTCCTCACAGCGGCTGGCCCACCCAGCACAGATTCCCTATTGCCCACTGAGGGCCTGTGCTGAGGGTGCTGCCCACAGGTCTGCTGTGCCCACCACTGGACTCGCCTATCCCCAGGTATTCCCCACTGGCTGAGCAGTTCTCCCGCCAGTTCCCATCCTGCGACCTGCCGTCCATCCTTGCCAAGTTCTCTTTGCCTGTCTCCTTGTCCGAGTTCAGGAACCCCCTGGCACCCCCTGCGCAGGAGGTGAGTCGTGGCAGCTGCAGGAGCTGTAGACTCTCAGTGCTGCTGCCGTTCTGCCTTGTTTTGGGGGGCTTGCTGTTGCAGATGCCATGTGGCAGGTGAGCACTGGCTGTTGTGCTGCCTCTGGGTCTGGGGTGCCCACAGATGGAAGGTTCCCCCCCTCCAAGTGAGTTGGCCTCTTGCCCACTTCCCTGGGTGTTCAAGGGGGTCCTGTGGCCACCAGGCCTGGAATCTTCTTATCAAAGGGTCCTGGGTTGGGTGTGGGGAGGCTTCCTCCTGACATGGCAGATGGTATGTGGCTTCCTGTGTGGACTGTAGGGTGTCACTGTTCATAGGTGCCAGGCAGGTTTGCCCCTTCACTGGTCAGATGGGATAGGACCAGGTGTCTGAGATAGGCTGGGTGTTCTCAAGGCTTTCTTTCCAAAAGCCAAGTATTTGTTTTAGTTAAATCCAGATCTACCAGGCAAAAACCCGTGCTTAAAATCAAGCCCTTTTCCTTCTCAAATTGTGAATGAGAGCAAGATCCTGGTGTTTTCAGCTCATTTAGACGCTGAGCGTGACAGAGCTCTAAATACCGTCTTTCATGGAGCATGGTTTCTAGGAGCCCTGCCAGCTTCTTCCAGCTGAACAAGACACTCTGCATCTGTACCCTGCCTCCTCTGTCCTGGGCAAGGGCTGGCAGTGCTCCCACCCAGCAGAAGCTTCCCAGTATTGTGTGATGGGGTGGGTTTTGCAGGTCATTCCCTAGTGGCTGCCCCAGACCCTGTAGGGGCTCAGGTGGAGCCAGGTTTGTTTCCCTCAAGTCCCTGGGATGCATGCTCTAGTGCTTATGAAGCCCCTTGCTGTTCTTTCTTTTTTCCCCCCAATACTGGGGATTGCACTGGTACTCCACCAGCAGCCCTTTTTATATTTTATTTTGATACAGGGTCTTGCTAAGTTGCCCAGGCTGGCATCCAACTTGTGATCCTCCCACCTCAGCTTCTGAGGTGCTGGTATTATGGGTCTGCACCACCATACCTGGCCCTTTATTTCTTTTTTTTAATATTTCCTTAGTTCTAGATGGACACAATATCTTTATAGATTTATTTTATTTTTTTAAAAATATTTATTTATTTATTTATTTTAGTTTTCGGCGGGCACAACATCTTTGTTTGTATGTGGTGCTGAGGATCGAACCCGGGCCGCACGCATGCCAGGCGAGCGCGCTACCGCTTGAGCCACATCCCCAGCCCTATAGATTTATTTTTATGTGGTGCTGAGATTGGAACCCAGTGCCCCACACATGCAAGGCAAATGATCCACCACTGAGCTACAACTCCAGTCCCCCTTTTTTTCTTTCTTTTCTTTTTCTTTTTTTTTTTTTTTTTTTAGGAGAGAGGGGGAGATTTTTTTTATTTTTTTTTTTGTTCTCGGCGGACACAACATCTTTTTTTTTTTTTGTTTGTATGTGGTGCTGAGGATCGAACCCGGGCCGCACGCATGCCAGGCGAGCGCGCTACCGTTTGAGCCACATCCCCAGCCCCTTTTTTTTTTAATATTTATTTTCTAGTTGTAGTTGGACATAATACCTTTATTTTTATGTGGTACTGAGGATTGAACCCAGGCCTCACACGTGCTAGGTGAGTGCTCTACCGCTGAGCCACAATCCCAGCCCCCCCCCCTTTATTTCTTAATTTCACTTTAAGTTTATATATTTTGCAGTCCTTTTGAGTTTTGTTTTTTTAAAGGATTAGCACATACATTCCCCCATTCCCCTCCCAACCCTAGCCCAGGTGACCCTAGTCAGCAGTTCCTTGCAGGCCTTCAAGGAAGAGACTGTCCATACATACACCTTGCTCTGGGTCTGGGACCTGCACAAGGCACATTGCTCTGTTTTAGGTCCAGCCACAGAGGGCCTGGCCTGGACCTGTTGTATGGTGAGAGGGGCACTGGCTCCACCCTGAGCAGGGGACCCTTTCCTGGCTTCCTTCTGGGTCTACTTGTGTGTCCAGTGCAGACTTCAGGTGTATCCAGAAAGAGGACTTTCTGCCAACAACCTCTTTCCAAATGGTGTCTAGGTTTGCCCAGGGGTGGACTGGCTCACTAGGACCAGCAGCAGCTCCCAGTTATCTGAGGCTGAGGGAGGCAAAACAGAGATGGTTCTAGCTCAGAAAAGGGAGGGTTGCATCCCAGGCCCTGCTCCTTCACCAGACACTAGCACAGCCCAGGTGTGTGGTAGGAGCCAGTGTGGTGTGATTAGGGACCTCCCTTGGGGCAAGTAGGCATTGCAGAGCTTCCCAGCAGCTGTGGGCTCTTTTTTCTGAGGTGAGGAGCTTTCCTTCCAAGGACTGAGCACCAGAGTATGCCAAGCCGTTTGGGGCCATGGCCATAGGAGGTTGACACTGGGATGGGGGAACCGGCCTTACCCACTGCCTGCCCACAGACCCAGCTCATCCAGATGGTGGTGTGGATGCTGCAGCACCGGCTCCTCATCCAGCTGCACACTTATGTCTGCCTGATGGCTTCCCCCAGTGAGGAAGAGCCCCGCCTACGGGAGGAGGACGTCCCCTTCACTGCCCGGGTCGGCGGCCGCAGCCTCAGCACACCCAATGCCTTAAGCTTTGGCTCTCCAAGTAAGGTTCCCTCACCTGGGTCATCTGTCTAGCGATGGGGGAGACATGGGGTGGCAGCTAGGAAGTGTGACAGGTGCCTCCACATGGCTGCACACGTGTGTGTCTGCCTCCGTGTCTCCCGTCGAGACCCTTCCTGTCTTCTCTGCCCACCATGGCTATCCTGGGCCTCTCTAGCAGGATCTTGCTGGCCAGGAGCAGCCCCAGCCTGGGATCAGAGCAGGATTTCACTTCACCAGGATAGTTGAAACTCCTGTGCCTGAGGGCCCATGAGGAGACTGTCTGTCATGGTCACTTCTAGGAAGATCCCTAAAGGTGGAAATCCATTGCCAAGTGCTGGGCCCCAGGTTAGGGGCAGGCTGTGGGCTTCATGCAAGGACCTTGCCTGTACAGATGCTCCATCTTCCAAGCTGGGTGAGGTGGCATCTCACCCAGACATGCCTAGGGATACAGGGGGTATACCATGGACCTATTCAGGGTCCTTGGGCTGCTCCCACGTTCTAGGTCAGAGCCACAAGGGGGAATGTCACACCTAGGGGATGGGTGTCAGCCAAATTTCTGGGTAGGGCAGCTGGGGAACCAGGAGGAGCCCTATGTGTGTCCCTAGGTGGGGGCTGGCTCTGCCCTCACTGCTCCCTTGGCATCCTGGAATCCACCCTGACCTGTACTGCACACAGCCAGCAGTGATGACATGACCCTCACCAGCCCCAGCATGGATAACTCCAGTGCAGAGCTGCTCCCCAGTGGGGATTCACCACTGAACAAGCGGATGACGGAGAGCCTGTTGGCCAGCCTGTCAGAGCATGAGCGGGCAGCCATCCTCAGTGTACCCGCTGCCCAGAACCCTGAGGATCTGCGCATGTTTGCCAGGTGGGGGCTGGTGGCTGGGTGGAGCTGTACAGAAAGTGGAAGGGGCATACCTGACATGACATGTGCCAGGGTGAGATGGCATCTCAGCACTGTCACTGAGGTCTGGGGCCTATATGCCTGTCTTTGGAAGTATCCCCTGCAAGTTCTTACCCGAGTAGGACTTGGCAGGGATTTGCCCAGGACCCCTGCATCTTATAGGCCTGACAGCCTGTCCCCCAACCCTGACTGGAGGTGTGTGGTTTCCTGGGAGAGGTAAGGCTGCCAGCATTAAGTGTGAACCACACTCTAGACCCTGGAAAGGACCATCTGCAGCCTTGCTTAGGGACTCCCTGCTACAGCAGCATGGGAGAATGGAGCCTCTGGCAGCCTCTTTCCTGCTCTGGGGTGCAGTCTTCAGTGGCTCTAGATGTAGACAGCTGTACTTCTTGTTAGGACCACTTCATGCCCACTGCTGGTCACCAGGGACTCCAGTGGGCACTGGGTCCAGGATGCTGAGCTAACCCCCACCAGTGTTTGTCAGAGGCATTTCAGGGTGCAGGCCTTGTCTTGGCTAATGCCACCCCTCCTCCAGGCTCCTTCACTACTTCCGCGGCCACCACCACCTGGAGGAGATCATGTACAATGAGAACACTCGGCGCTCCCAGCTGCTCATGCTCTTCGACAAGTTCCGCAGTGTGCTGGTGGTGACCACCCATGAGGACCCTGTCATTGCCGTCTTCCAGGCACTGCTCACATGAGCCAGGCAGAGAATGGGGTGTGAGGGTGGGCACTGCATGGGTGGCCAGCCCTGGCCTGACTGAAGGCTTGCAGAGCCCTTGTCCTTATCCTTCCTTACCACAGGCACCTTGGTTCAGCAGCAGCTGTGAGGCCATCATCCTCTGTGCTCTTTTAACTCTCACTTGTCCTCGCAACAGCCTTACCATCACCAAAAGCTGAAGGGTGCCTTCTAGACTTACATCTGGTGAGGACTGTGTCCTTACATGTGCACATAGGCTGTTTTGACCCTCATCCTAGCCCTGGCCACATTTGCGGTGACCTTGCCCCACTTTGTGTGCTATCCTGAGGGATATATATTCCTACCTGCCTTCTGATGGCGTCAGCATGTGTGGCCACCTCACCCAGCACCACCTCTGCTCACCATGCACTGCATCCCTCCCAGATTGCTACGATCATCTCCTGGCCCAGCCTCTCCACAGCACCACATAGGTCACCGTTGTGGTGGGTGGCAGCTCAACTTCCTGCCAGGACCCTGCCCCAGAATGTGCATGTACTGTGTGGCTCTCCTGTTGACCCTAACCCTGGAGGAAGGACTGACTTTAGGCATGTGATGATCAACCAGGGGCTCTGTAAAGACAAAACAGTTCCCTAGAAGCAAAACATTTATTTAGTTTTTAAACAATTAAAAAAAGCCTGAGTGGGCTCTTTGCTCAGGTCTGTGTGTTCTTCTGCTCAGCTGCTTTGTCCACCACACTCACCCATGGGCTGCCCTGGAAGTAGAAGCGCAGGGGCTTTTGGGTCCACTCCCCTGCGTTGCCAATGCCCACACGGGCTGCTGCCACCACGGCTGGTCTACTGGGGCCCAGCAGACCATACTCTAGCCACATGGCCTCGTCCTGGGCCAGGTCCCGCTGGTCAAAGCTCTTGTCAATAGCCAAGGCCTGGCACAGCTTAGAGGGACCGTTACAAAGCTCACGGTCCTTGAGGGTCCGGCTAAGCGTGCCTTTCCGGAGGTTGTTGCGAAGCTGGCGCATAGTTTCCAGACCCCCAAGGGGCTCAAGTGCTCGCAGTAGGACACAAGCGCCATCCCCTGTTGGACAGATAGACAGTTTGGAAGCAGAGCCTCCCTGGCCCTTGTCTTCCTGCTCCAGTGCACCTCCAGTGTCACAGTGCTGACATGGTTGCTCACTGCCTTCTGGGTCTGCCCCTCCCTGGGTCTAGACTCCTCTGCATACCTGCATCCACAAGGCAGCTGTTCCTTCTGTAGGGACCCCTTGGCTGCCACCACAAAAGCACATGCTTTGCCTTCATCTTCTTAATAACTTTATTTTCTTATGTGGTGCTGAGAACCAAACTCGGTTCCTCATGCAGGCTAGGCAAGCCCTCTATTACTGAGCTACAACCACAGCCCCTTTCCCTTCATCTTGTATTTGGTGGCAAGTGTGAGGCCCCAGCAGCTGGTGCTCCTGGACTGGCATAACCCTGCTAGGAAGTGGGCAGTCCCAGGACGAGCCTAGATTCCTAGCCAGGCACTATGGCTCCCCATCTGTCTGCCACTCAGCAACCTGTTGGCCAAGCCTGGAAATTGGCCTGGGCACAGGATGCTAGAACGGCCGTGGCTCATGATTCAGTAGAGGGACTGTCCTCCAGCTCTCGGTACGCATGTCGGGAGATGTCCACAAGACCTCCCTTGGAGGTCTTCTCCAGCCCAGCCCTGCCCTATCAGTCCAGGCTACTTCAGGGACCCACTAAGAAGGCACAGATATCCAAATTCCTCTAGACCTGAATGTCTGGGAGGGCCCCTGTTATTACTGGTCTTGGACAATGATGACCTGGATCCAGGCCAGGACAGCTCTGACCCTCCAGTAAAGCTGCTCACCTATGGACCTTGGACTCCCAGTCTCCTGGCAGTCAGGCTTGGCCCAAGTGTGGCCAAGCTAGTACCCACTTTTGGGCCTTGGCCAGGTGGGTCTGCTCCCAGCCTCTGCTCTGCGTCAGCACTCAGGGCCAGTCCAAGTGAATGGAGCCATGCCCTGCAGCAAAGCCTGCAACCAGCAAGTGCTGGGTTCTTGTGAGCCCCATAACCAGCCAGTTTTCAAAGAGATTCAAAACAAAGCCTGGAGGTTCCAGTCCCTCTGAGTCTTATGCTACTTCCAGCTTGCTATTTGCTCACCCTCTGTGCCCACCCTCACTTTTTAATTTTTTTGGCAGCGCTAGAGATTGAACCCAGAGCTTTGTGCATGCAAGGTAAGCACTCTAACCGAGCTATATTCCCAGCCCTACCCTGAGTCACTTTTGCAGGAAGTAGGCAGACCCCTTGCTGAGCCAGAGCCACCTATAAAGGAAAAGCATCTCAGCCTCCACTCTGGCACACCTCTTTCCTGGTTCTTACACAGAATGCACTTGAGTCTCACATAACGACAGAAACACCTTTACTCTCTTCTTGCCCAGCCTCTACCACCTCACCCTGCTCTGCTGCACAGTGGCTCCAGCCTTGGCAGTCTAGCTATTCTCCTCCTCCTGAACCTGGCCCCTCTGAACTTCCATGTGCTGCCTCCACCTACACAGGTGACAACCATATCCTCAGCCACCACTCTTATCTGGATGATCCTAACCCTGTCTTCACCCATGTGGGGTCCTGCCCCCACAACCTGCACGTTCCTGGGGCATCTTGGTCACATGTTCAGAAAGGAATATCACATCCCTGCCACCATTCCACTGGCCATAGCACCAAGCACTTCTAGGCTCAGCCTTTCTCCTGAGGCCGGCCCTCCCCTCCTGAGCTTAGTTATTGCTAACAAGGAGCTCTGCAACCAGCTCTCAGGAGTAATCATGGCTCTCCAGGAAGGGCTCCCACCCTCCTGGATAACTAATCACTGAGAGCTTTCCTCCATGTCTGCTCTGGGTCAGACATGGGGCTGGTCCTGAAGTCCTTGTGTCCCCCAGTCTCCAAGGCTCTTGCACTTGACATCCTTAGCTGTAGGCTCTGGGCAGCCAAAATCCCCACGTCATTGCACTGTCCAACATACATGGCCTGAAGCATGGCATACTGTGACCCCCTACTGTCTTCCCCAAACAGTCTAGTTGTCTGGTGAGCAGTGGCTTTGACAGGATGGTGCTCTGAGTTCACCAAGGGCAGAGTCTACACCAGAGCCATACTCATAAGTGAGGGCTTCTCTCAGAGCACCAAGCCAGCAACTCCACTGTGACAACTCCACTGTGACAGAGGCTCCTGTGTGGTGAGGGCTGTCCTGTGCCTTATAGGGGTTCGGCAGCACTCCTGTTTTCAACCAGTAGATGCAGTACCATCCCCAGCTATAAAATGACCAAAAACGTCTCCAGATATTGCCTAATGTCCCCTAAGGGGCATAATTGCTCCTGGCTGAGAACAACTGATCAGACCCCACAACAGGCCACTTGATGGGCTCCTGCAATTGCTCAGCTCAGCCCAGATTGATCTCTCCTTTGCTTCCCTACAACTTGCTCTTTCCACATCTACCCCAGTGCTCTTTGCCATCAGCTTCAAGCTCTGGGATCAGTGGTAACCTCATGGAATCTGTCTGCTCTGCATTCAGGTGTGTCCCATAGCCTCTATCCCACAGGGGCCCAGTCCCATTAGCCAACCATGCCCTATCAATGCAGCCAGAGCTCCTGAATCCTGGACTTGGCCCTGGCAATGGCACTACCTTCCTCAAATGCCTGACAACCCAGTCCTCCTGGGAGTCCCCCAATTACTAGCTAAGGGGGCTGTGCCAGTCCTGCTCCCTCATTGCCAACATTACTAACCTTGGCTGGAGACATTCATGCAGAAGTACATCCCATAGATAATGTACACATACAGGGTCCCGGGTTTCAAGAACATGCCGCGGTTGCGGGTGGTCTGCCGGCCACCCCTTGAGTGGGCAGCTTCATCCTCTGGTCCCAAGTATGCCTCGGTCTCCACAATGCGGCCACGGAGCTCTGTGCCATCAGCAAGTCGCCGGACAAGGACCTGTGTGTGGGTAGTCTGCTCAGGGCCAGAAGGAATAGGGGTATACCCACCCTGACAGTCTCCAGCCTGTGCAACCTCTCACTAGCTCAGAATGTGCCAGATTCAGCCAGGCCCTCTCACCTGGCACCTGCACCGTGTCTCCTAATTAGATCCCAAAAGCCACCATTGAGACCACAAGCCCTATTAGATGACCACCATGTAGGCTGACCTTCAAGTCCTCCCTACTTCCTCTCCCATTTCCCTTCAGAGGACTATATCAGCACGAGGCTGGCCAGTGTGGAAGGCACAGGTTCCCAAGGGTATCCATACATGGCCTCCTGGGGTATTCCAGAGCCTGTGGAGTGACCTTCCAAAGCAATCACAAAAGACCCTCACACTCAGCTCCCACCAACCAGCTGTAAAGCTTTTCTGAATAGCAGGACCAGGTGCCTGCAGTTCCCTAGCCTGGACCACTGTCTTGGGAATGGCCAGCCGTTCTGCCCCTGTGCTTGAAGACCCAGACCTAGGCCAGACTCAACCAGGGTTCACAGCAGAACTGCAGGGACTAGCCACATCTACAGCAACTGCCTCATCCTTAGGTCAGAGGGACCAGTTGGAAGGCCAGCCACCTTGAACTCAGGTTAGGGTCAGCTGTGGTGCCTGAGGGTCAGTATCACAGGACAGGATGGATTGATGACTGTCCTGAAACCTAGAAATGCCCACAGGCATCCAAAACACTGGGGACAGGAGTGAGTACCTTGGGTTTGGCCTGATCATCTCCAGAGGAGAGCTTTCCAGGACTCTGAGGAGGCCTGCCCCCATGCCTCCTGGCACCCTGGGGCCCAGCTACCCTTCTGCAGGGAGCACACCTTAGTTCTCTGGTACATGTTCCTGGGGGAGGCAGCACCCTTCTCAGCTCAGAGGGTGACTTACTTCATTAGCTTTTGTTTCAGTGCTGGAGACTGAGCCAGGGCCTTGAGCACTCTTAAGCACTCTACCCCTGAGCTACATCTCCAGCCCTGAAATGAACATTTTGATAAGAGTGTGACCTTGCTGAGGGGTCTGCAAGGGCACCCACTGGGAGGTTATCGAAAAGGCTGTCCTCCCCAACCAAAGGGACAGAGAGTGAGCACCCTCTTCTCTGCTAGACATCATCCTGTCCACCAACAGACTCCAGTAGGTATGATACAGGCCTAAAAGTAAACGACATGCCAAGGACACTGGCTAGAGGTGGATGCACTCTGATGCTTGACCATCAATCCTGGGGTGCACCTGCCCCACATATTGTTTGTCATGTCATAAATGTTCAATATCTAAGTTACTTTCAGAAAGATCCTCTGGCCCTTGCAGCTGAAAGCATCTTCATGGGAACAGAATCTCATCCCTTCTCCAGTAAGCTAGGTTTTTTTTTTTTTTTAAGCATCTGGGTTTTGTTTGTTTTTGTTTTGTTTTTTGGTACCATGGATTGAACCCTGGGGTACTTAACCACTAAGCCACATCCCCAGCCCTTTATTTTTTGAGACAGGATCTTGCTAAGTTTCTTAGGGCCTTGGTAAGTTGCTGAGGCTGGCCTCAATCTTGTGATCCTCCTGCCTCAGCACAAGGATGGTCCATGAGTCTGGGATCACAGGTGTGCACCACCACACCTGAGTTTGCACCAGACTCTTGGTACATGTTCCTGGGGGAGGCAGCACCCTTCTCAGCTCAGAGGGTGACTTATTTCAGTAGCTTTTGTTTCAGTGCTGGAGACTGAGCCAGGGCCTTGAGCACTCTGGTTTTTCTTTTCTTTTTTTTTTTTTACAAGATTTTTTTTTAAATCTTTATTTATTGTATTTATTTTTATGTGGTGCTGAGGATCAAACCCAGTGCCTCACATGTGTGAGGCAAGAACTGTACTGCTGAGCTAACCCCAGCCTCAACACACTGGTTTTTCTATTAGTCACAGAAACTGGCTCTCTTGGCCATTTCAACCTAAAAGTTAAAGGACAAAGGGTAGGCCAAGGAATCTCTGGGAGAGCCAGTAAGCCAGTTCTGGGACTTTGATACCCAGGAACAATACCCAGATGGTACTCAAGACAGACCTAGCCAAGACTCCATGGCTGTGCATGTGTGGTGACAGGGTGCATGGCAGGCCACCCCAGGATGGTCCCTGCTCCCACTCCAATATGTCCATCAGAGCCCAGATCCTGAATCTACATTGAGCTATAGGGGCCACTGGGCTGCCAGAGCTGCCCCTGTGAGCCATGTGGTAGGAAGGTAGCTGTCCCAAGGCAATTTTGATGCTGGTAATCTGACAGTGGCTGCACAGTTCCCGTGAGTCTAAAATTATCAGAAATGTCATCCTGACGAGTGTTGATTGTCAGGAGACAAGGCAGGCAAGGTGGCCAGCCCCTCAAAGATACAGGGCCAACAGTGTTATAGTACCTCCAAGTGACCTACCCTGAAGGGGTCCCAAGTAGACAGGGACTAAGCGTCCATGTCCCAGGTGGGAAAGCTGGCAGTGAACTGCTACTCTCCTTGCAAGTAAAGGAAGACTGATGGTGACAGCCCTCCTCCATCTGAGGCAAACAGCCCTCCTTCTCCCAGTGACCCCAGACAACTAAGATAAGGCTCTTCAGGGACCAGGGTGGGAAAGCAGCTAACTGCGCCAGCACAAGGATGGTCCATGAGGGCCAGGTCAGGCTGTGAACAGTGGTGAGGGCCTCATGATGGCAACCTCATTAGAGACGATATCACTGTTGATATTACCTGTCCCAGAAAGGCGCGGGCCAGAGGGATGGCTGGCTGGTCAAAAAACTCTGTTCCTAGCCGGGCAGGGTGGCCCTTTGGGCTGGAGAAATAGATGCTGCGCTGGGGGCCCAGGGAAGAGGCTTGTCTCAAGTGGGGCTCCTTTGGGGAAGGCGACTGGGCTGTGTCCAGTGGGCTCTGCTGCAACTCTTTCTCTGCCATTCGCTTTTTTTGCCCCATCCTTCGGGAAAGCTGTAATGGGAAAACAAAAGTATCTGAGTAGGAGGCAACAGAAAACTATGTGGTGAAACAGGCCCTGGGAGTTCAAGGGCTCTGTCTGCCTCAGTTTTTTTCGTCTGCAAACTGTGGTACCGACCTTATGGGTTTCTCTGAGGCACAAACAATGCCAAGGCTGACATATTCAACCTCAAGTGATGACAGGCTGCTGGGTGGTAGGTGGACACTGCCCTTTGGGCCCTTCACACATGGGAGATGCACAGCCTGGTGACAAGGGCTGCAGGCCTGGGAGGGGATGTCTGAGGCTGCAGAGAAGGAGCTAGGACCCTCTTGATCCCGTTTATCATGTTGACCCCAGGGAACCTTCTGAGTTTGCTTCTGGAACCCTGCTCTTTGTACCCAACCCTAACCAGGAATTTACAGTGTATATATGCATGTGCAGGAATTTATGCATGCAATCTCAGCTATTAGGGAGGTATGGCAGGAAGACTCCAATTTGTGGGTCAGCCTGTGCAACTGAGACTTTGTCTCAAAATAAAAAGGGCTGGGGATGTATGTAGCTCATGGGTAGAGCACCCTCGGGACCAAAAAACAAAACCAAAAAACCAGCCTAGACTCAGACAGAGCTTCTTTCCCCACTGGCTGCTGATGGAGGCAAGACTCACTGTCCCAGACTTGTCTGGCCCAGGAGGCCCGAAACACACAGCTGGGTGAAAATGGGGCTGATCATCTGCCTAACCCCACCTCAAATGCTCAGCGCATGACCCCAGCCAGTCCCTAACTGCACTCTGCGTTACTGCCCAGGGTGTCAAAATAAGGAGCAAGTGGGGCGAGAGGTCCCTTCCGCCATCACATGGCCGGGAAACCTGAAGACGCATCCTCAGAGGGTCTGGGGCCTCGGGAAGCTGGAGAGGAAGACAGCAAGTGAGTGCGGGGCCTGGACGCGCCTTCCTGGGCCGCTGGTCTCCGGCGGTACCCTTGGCGCCCTGCCCCGCGAGACATCCATTATTTTTAACATCAGTGCTGACGTCCACGTCGGGCCGAGGCCGCCAGTCGGCCGTGAATGGACGCTGACGTGACCGTCTCTGCAGCCCGGCCTACTGTGCCAGCTCGCCGTGGGCTCAGCCTCCGCTTCGCTGCGGTCCTGCTCTCACCCGCTTTGGCCCGAGGCTGGCCCCGCGGCATCCGGTCACTTGGGGGCTCATGGGCGGCGGGCTCGTTCGGGAATTGGAGGCTTCATCAGGGCCCGCGAGCGCGGCCGCACTCTCAGGAGTTCCCATGGGGTTCGGCCTCGCCGCCGCCGGGAGCCTACATCCCTGGGACCCGCAGCGTGCCCGCCTCCCGCCGCCCGGAAGCGCCAGCAGCTGGGCGGGGCCGCGCCTGCGCAGTAGGAACCTGGCGGGGCGCCTGCGGAGGGCCAGAGCCCGGCCCAATGAAGACTTCGCTTCCCGCAGTCCCCAGAGGCGGCTGGGACCTCCCTGCATCTCGGCTGCCCCTGGTCGCCTACCTCCAAAGAGCCCGCCCCTACCAATAGTCATTACGCCGGGCAGCTGGACTGGGCCCTTGAGGACCGGGTCGGAGCCCCTGTTTTGGGGCTAGGTCGGCACTATGGAGAGCGCGCCGGGAGGCGGCGGCCCAGTTCTCGACCCGAACTTGCCTACCCCTACCTCGGGGCATTTGAGTGTAGTGGGCAGGAAATGGACGCCAGGGCCGGGGTCGTTACAGCCGGTCAGAGGAAGAAAAGGGGGAGCAGCGGGATCTTTGTCTCTGCAGCTGAGCTCTCACCCCTCCTAGCGCCCAGGCATGTGGACAGTAGCTCGCCCACGTCCTGGGCGGGCCGGTTGGAGAGTGGCCAGCCTCCTCAAGGGGCTGAGGCCAGGGCCACGGCTGTGGAGACCCGTGAACACCCGCCCTTCTGGGCGGCAGCTGCCCTATACACTTTTCCCCTCCGCATAACCCAGCGCCTGCTCCCCACCCTGCCTCTGGGAAGGGCAGTGCTGGACCCAGAGAGGGAACCCTCAGGGGCAGCTCCTACACCAGCATAGCCACCACTGCCCACTCTGCCCCTGTAGGGATCCTCAGGGTCTGCTGGGCCCTTATGCAGACAATATCACCACCAACACCACCCCGCCCCGACAACCCACCTCTGTCCTGTAAAAATCCTTGAGGGGCCTGTTCTGAGCTCTGATTTCTGTGACTCTGACCTTGGTACCATAGAGGCCTCAGAGCAGTTGTGTGCAGTATGAAAGGTACTGGATAGGACAAAGGGATAGACCATGTCTCTTGTGACCCTCAGGTGAACAAGGCACTTGATATCCAGCAGCTTCTCTGTTGACCAGCTCAGGGGCTGAACTCTGACCCAGGCTAAGGCTCAGCCATCCCATCCCACCACCAAGGGCCCCAACCGGGACTTCCTGTGGAAGGAGGGGCAGCCTCAGCCTGCTGCCTGCTGGAAGCCACCCAGCTGTTTGTGGCACTGCTAGCTGCTTCCGGGGGTGGGGGTGGGGGCAATGTGTTATAAATCCCTGCTATTGAGGCAAGCCTGGATGTGACTCCCACCCCCTTTCCTCCTTATCCCCTGCAGCCATTCCGCCCAAGACTCCCCCTTCCTGTGAGAACAACACCCACAGCCCTTTCCCTTTCAATGTATGAGGGAAACTGAGGCCCCAGCTAGACCCCTCTCTCCCTGATGAAAGCATGGGGATGTGGGTGTTGTAGAAATCATGGGCATTCTGGAGGATTCTCCTTTCATCCGGGATGAAAGAGAGGTTCATTCCATTTGGTGGGTAGCCTGGACTCTGCCCCAGAAGGAGGTGGGGCCTGCACCAGCATCCCACTTCTCCAGATGTTCTGGCCTGAGTGGGGGGGGGCGTATGCAGTCTCTCCCTCCCTGCCCCCTACTTCCTGGTTGTGGTGTAAGGCTCCCTCTGAAGGCTGGAAGTGGTGGGCTGGGCTTTCCCACTGTGGTTTGCCGGGCTGGCTGGCAAACTGGCCAGGAGGGAGAACCAAGAGAGAGAAAGGAGCTTGGGGCCTCCTGTCCCCACTGTGCCCTGCTGCTTTGTTGGGGAAGGCAAGGATATCAGTGAGGATGCATGGGTGTTGATGCTCTGAAAGGGTTAAGGCTGGGGTCAGTGTTGGCATGAGCTGCTCTGCCCCCTTGCCCCTCCCCCCAAAGATTGTGGAAGGGTTGGAGCTGCCTCCAGCTGTGGGGGATGTGGCTGTCAGTTCCTGTTGGCACTAAAGGCTGTAGAGAAGAGGGTTCCAGCCTCACAGTTCCAGGAGCCCAGGACACTGGCTTAGTCTTCTGTAACTGAGACTACCCAGTGAGTTCCTTTTCAGCACAGTGGCTGCCACCTTGACTGCCTTAAGTGGCCTTATGTCTGGTGGGCTTGGGGATGGGGGCAGTTCCTTGGGTAGAGAGGGCAGCCACTGGGCAGGTCAAATGGGGTTTGTGTGGGCTGCATCCTCCCTTCCTAGGAAGGGAGTACTGCCAATGATGCAAAGCCCTGAGCCCTGAGCTTATAGGACCCCCTTGCCAAGCCCAGGGGTCAAGGGGAAGGGGCAACTGCCTCAGAAATAGCTTATGACTTCAGGCCTCCTGCTAGCCTGGCCCACTTCCGCCTCCTCCCCAAATAGCCAGGCCCTGGTCCTAAGCCCATTCCTGCATCTCTGCTTCCCAGGGAGGGGCAGTTTCTTTTGATCTATTCAAGGGCCCTCCAAAGCCCAAGGGCTGGCCCCCTGGGGCGATTACTTGTGGCCTGGAGGCTGAACTGAGGATTCCTGTGTGGCTGCCAGGACTACTCTTACTGGTCAGTGTCCCCACCCGCTCATGTCCTGGAGTGAGCTCCATAAGACCTGGGTAGACAACAAGGCTGGCCCGTCACCAGAAGGCTGTCCCACAGCCTTGGGTATGTTAGGCAATTGCAGCTGATTTCCATTTCTCCAGGGTGGATCAAGGGGAAAGAGAGGGGCCAAGGACTGGGATTCCATTTAAGGAGCCTCTCCACCAGAGTATAGGTCAGTAGACCTGACATGAGGCAGAGCATATGTGTGTTCAGACACATGTCTAGGTGGCTTGAACACATACGTGTCCACCTTACTTTGCTCATGCTGTCCTTCAGGTGCCCTCACTCAGGATGCCAAGGTTGGTCAGTCAGCCAGGGGATTCCTGGACATGGATGCTGAAATAGGGATATGCCTGCAGGGCCTGCTCCTGATATGGAGTGAGAAGAGAACAGGTTTGCAAGAGTGGCTGCTGCAGCTGGGGTTGGGAAGATGAGGGGTGTTGGTATACACCTGTAATCCCAGTGGCTCTGGAAGCTGAAGGAGGACCACAAGTTCAAGACCAGGCTAGGCAACTTAATGAGAGACCACTCTGTCTCAAAATAAAAAGTGCTGAGGATGTAGCTCAATGGTAAAGATCCACTGGAGCTTGGGAACAGAGACATCTCCTGGGAATGAACACAGAGGAAAGCTCTTTACCTGTTGCTGAATGTACATTGCCTTTTGGTGCTCTCTTCCATTAAAGTGACTCTGGCTAGGGGTGTGTCTCAGTTGTGACTGGTGCTCCTGGCAGCTAGGGAGTCTTTGGGTCTCCAAGATGGGTCTGGATGGTGCCTACAGTGCCCACTACAGGAGGGGACCCACAGACACCAGATGCTCAGCTGTGGCATGTGTTGGAGGCAAGCCCAGTCCCTGGCTTTCCAGAGAGATATCATTGCTGGCCCAGCCAGCCCAGTCTGGGCATCCAGGCTTTGCAGGACCTGCTTATCCCTGGCAGGGGTCAAGAATGCTAGGAATGGAGACTGTCCTGTCTCTGAGCCTGGCATAGGAGGAAGAGTGGCACGCGCAGGCTCTGCTTATCCGTGATGCACCAGCAGTCTCTCCCCAGTGAAGGAGCTTCCTCCATCTCCCACCCCCTGAAACTTCCACTGTCTCCCTCTGTGCAAGAATTGTTTGACACCACCTGTGTTTGTAGAGGGCTCACTAAGTGGATACCACTATGCCCTTTGATGAATGGGAATACAGACAGGATTCTGCCCCTGGTTCTGGCTCTGGGGTCCACCAGTAAGTGCACCAGCACCTTTAGTCCAAGTGGTCAACTCTGTGTGTGTGTGTGTGTGTGTGTGTGTTTTCATGCTGGGGATAGAACCCAGGGCCTTGTGCATGCAAGGCAAGCACTCTACCAAAGGAGCTATATCCCCAGCTCTCAAGTGGTCAACTTTACTCTGGGAGCTGAAGGAGGATCACAAGTTCAAGACCAATCCATGCAGTTGGGCACTAGATGCAGCTTGCTGACTTTTGGTGGCAGCAACTCAGTTCCCAGAGGCCTGATACCACCTGGTCCCCAAGGATGTGGCTGGGGCAGCAATAGCCTTGTGATCATCACAGGGTCTGAAGACACATTTGTGGGTCTGAGTAACTTGTGGGAAGAAGGGAGACCTCCAAACCACTACCCATGGGAAGCTTGGACCAAACCCCTGGAATATGCTTCCCATTCTTGCTGTTGGCACAAGCTGTCTGCAGCGTCAGGAGAGAGCTTGCTGGGAAACCCCCACCAGCGGCCTCCAAGAAAAGTAGATGGGCCATTTTGTGTCTCACAGTGCAGGCATGATCTCAGTGGTGATGGTTGCAGCCCAGGCTCAGCACCTGCTGGGGTAATAGGATTTGGATCCCAGGGCCAAGGGAAGGTTTAACTGCTCTGACCAGGTGTGGTTGTGATGGACTGCATGTGCATCAGTGTGTAAACATGTTAACATGAGCATGTACAAGTACAAATGTGTGAGTGGTATGAGTATGTACTTATGAAAGTGTGTGTGTGTCTGAGTTGGTGTATGCCCGAGTCTGTGTGCGTAAACAGTGTGTGTGAATATGTGTGTCTGTAAGCAAATGAATGCAAAGAGCACTCTTGTATGACTGGCAGTGATCCGACGAAGCCTGCCTCCCATGCTAGAGATTTAACTCAGGGGCACTCTACCACTGAGCTACATTCCCAGTCCTCTTATTATTTTTTTCTTTTTTTTTAAAAAAAATTTAGTTGCAGATGGACACATGACCTTTATTTTATTTATTTATGTGCTGTTGAGGATCGAACCCAGTGCCCCACACATGGGAGGCAAGCGCTCTACCACTGAGTCACAGCCCTAGCCCTCTCTTAGTTTTTTGAGACAGGGTGTCTGTAAATTGCCAAAGCTGGTTTGGAACTCACCATCCTCCTGCCTCAGCGGCCTGAGTAGCTGGGATTATGGGCGTGTGCCACCGCGCTGGGCCAGGAATGTTTTTTCATAGTGAATGTGTGCAAGGGGAGTGAATGCTCACATGGGACTCTGACCTTGGGATAAGTGGCTTGTCAGTGCCGCCTTAGAGGGAGTTTGCAGTTCGTTTTCAAGAGATCCTAGGACCCCTTCCATCCCCCACGCGCCCTGCACGGGTGGAGGCAGAACAAACTCAGGGAATCTGGGAGAGGTCGCGGAGCCCAGGACTGATGCTGACCACCGGATCCTTCAGACTCTTCCACACTGGCGGAGGCGATGCCAAACCCAGGCCACAGGTGTCTCTCGGCAAGCGGACTCTGTGGAGAGCGCAGCCCTGTGGCCTTCCCGGAGGAGGCGTATCCGGCGGGCCGCGGGCGGCGCGCATTCCTGAGCCCTGAGTCAGCGCGGCCGCCCCTCCGGCCCGGCCCGCCCCCGGCGCGCACGCCCCTCGCTCCCTGGCATTCCCGGGCGGGCGGCCGGAGCGGCGCGCGGGCGGGCGCAGCGGGGACTCGGCGCGGGCGCCCTCCCGGCGCCTCCGGACGCCCTCGGAGGACCCCGGCCCAGCGGCGGCGGTGAGTGGCAGGCGGCGGGGCCCGAGCCGGGCCTGGACTTTTTCGGACGCGTGCCCGCCTGGGCCGCCGACTTTCTCCGCGGAGTTTTCCGAGCGCCGGCGCAGGCGGCCGGCGCACCGCAAAAATGGCCCGTGGCTGAAATGACTCGGCCCCAGCCCCTCCGGTACCAAGGGTTCGGACCGGGGACTCAGTCCCTGGGCCTCCGCCTGCGCCTCCCTTCCTCGCCACCTCCGGCGGGTGGTGTCCGAAACTCCAGCTCGGAGGGCGGGACGTCTCGGGATCGTCCCTGTCCCGGCGCGCTCCCGGGGCAGGGAGTAACAGCAGCAGCTGTGGACTGCGGCGCTCGGGGTAGGGCCCGACCCCTCCGGGCTACTTCCCAGCGCCGTCTCCCGTCTGTAAACACGCGAGCTCCAGGGCCGGCGGGGAGCTACTTCCAAAGACAGCCCCCCACCCCCCTCGTGGTGGCCAGGAGGGGCGGGCTGGGGCTGAGCCGAGACCGCTGCCGAGTTCCTGGAAGTGGGCCTTCTCCCGTCCGGGTGATAGCCGGACGGGTGCTCTGGGCGCTGCGCGGGGGCCTGGCTATGCCCCGCTGGGGGCATGTTTGTGGGTCTGGGTGGAGAATGGGCAGGGGATTCCCCACCCAGATCTGTCCTGGGCCCGAATGGTCCTGACCGGCGTTCCTTAGTGTGCAGCTTGGGTTGTGTGTCTGCCTGGGTGGGCGGGGCCTGGGCTTGGAAGCCCTAACTCGGTTCAGGGAAAGCCCCCCCCCCCCCCCTTCCTGTTGGAGCCGGGGGATTCAAGGATGAAACTGGCTTTTCAGGTTTAGCCCATTTAGAAGCCTGGGCTGTCCCTGGCCCGGATCTCCCCACCCCCATGGAGCCAGCCCCAGCCCCCTGCCCCTACCGGGAGGTGGGAGAAGACTAGGTTTCCAAGCTGAGCCCCTTGCCATCAGGGTAATTCTGAGCATGGGGCAAGGGCAAGGGAATCTGTGGTCCTAGATTGAAGGCACTGGCCCTTGGGCTCCAGGCTGGCCATACACGCTCCCATTGCACTGGCCCACTGAGGCCAGCATCGGGGAACCAGCCAGTCCTCACCCTAGGGAGCTGACCTTTTCCAGGACCTCTTAGCCACCAGGATCCGTACGTCTTCCTACCCTCTGTGGACCACCAGGGATCTCCCTCAGCATCCTTCTGACTCCAGCTGCTGCTCAGGCACTTCCAGTGTGTGGGGGGCCTCAGCCCATCCCTGTTCTCCCCAGTGTCTGACAGGATAGACTTTCTGCCCTAGGATCCCATTTCTTGGTTCCTGGATTGGCTGTGTTTAGTGGTGGCTCTCTCCTCCCTCCACCCAGGTGCCTCTGGGTGGTAGGAGGTTGCATACAGGGCCCGATAGCCCTCAAAATCTCAGGGCTGAAAACCACAGCTGTCTGTAGCTGGGCAAGCAGATAGGGACCCCCACCCTAGCTGCTGGGTAGACCTGGCCAAGGTGCTGGACTCCCTTTGGGTGCTCTGTGACCTTAGGCAGTGACTGGCCCTTCTGAGGCTCAGTTTTCTTTTCTGTAAAATGGACTTGCTGTGACAGGTTGGTGGGGTCAGCTAAGATCATGCTTGAGGCAGGTGTGCCAGGCTCCTGTTTCCTCCAGGAGCACTCCAGGCTTAGCCTGCATCCAGTGGGTCCAGCAGGGGTTTGCTGACCTGAGGGTTCCTGGGCATGAGGGAACACATGTGTAGGGTCAGTTAGGGGCACTTCTGGGAAACTCTGACTGGTGACCGGCTGCTCATCTGCCTTCCAGCCAGGCGTGTTGGACCCCTTCCCCACCAGCCAGGAGTGTGTGCTATGCTTTCACTTAACTCCTGGGATCTGGCCAAATCCCGTATTGGGGACTAGATATGTCCAGTTTAGGGGGCAGTTCATACTTGGAATCTGGTACAACCAAGTCCTTGTCCCCACTTTCTGATTGGTTGGTGTGGACGGGTACCCTAACCTCCAGGTGTGTCTGTCCTGTCAGCTCCAGTGGATCAGGACTGTGACCCCTGGGCCACATATGCTGGGTTAGCCGTGGTGCAGTGCCCTTCCCTGGGTGGCCTCTTCTTCTCCTATGTGCCACCAGGCTGCCCCTACAGATGGCTTATAGAAGGAAGCCCCTTGTTCTGTTACTGTCTGTCTGGCTGCTTGTCTGGGGTGATGGTGGCTGATAGGTGATGTGGGTAGGCAGGGAGCTCGTGTGTCTTCCTAGGGACAGGAAAAGGGTATGGTGGAGGCTGCTGGCTCCATCTCAGGCCTGCCCTGCTCCAAATGGAAACTTGTTTCTTCCACAGAAAAGGGAGGGATCACTGGAAGGATTGAAGAGCACTTTGTGGTTTGCAAAGAGCCTAGCAAGTGTTCTCCACATGGTGCCATTTACAGAGGAGGCAGAGAGGCCAGGTGACTTTCCCTTTGCTACACAGTGACAGTGGAGGAGGAGTGGGATCTAGGCTGCAGATAGCTGGAGACCCTTCTCTCAAAGGGGGATCAGGGGCCTCAGTTTAGGGGTCAGAGAGAGGTTGAGGGGGATCTTGGAGGAGCCAACTTCTTTTGGGTCCAGGCTTGGGTGAGCTAAGGACATGACTGGTTGGGTGTCTTAGGTGGGGCCTATTGTTGTAGCTGATCTTGGTAGTGGGCCATCTCTTGGGCTGGCTGTGCTTTCTGCTTCCTGTTGCCCTGTGAGTGTCCAGGGCAGGCCTGAGTGCAGAGAAGGCTGCAGCTTACACCTTAGGCTAGAGCTTCATGCTGGCTCTGGCAAACCTGCCCCAGTGTCCTTGTGCCTCTCAGCCATACCTTGCTAAATGCAGCACCTCTGAAGGGTCTGGTCCTCCAGTGGCTTCCTCCATTGCACATGCTCTGGGCCTCTCAAACTGCCAGCTGCCTGGCTGTCCTGTTCCACCTCAGAGCCCTCAGCACCAGCCTTTCTGCTGCTGATCTAGCTGCTGTTTATTGAGCACCTACTGTGTGCTGGGTACTGCCATGGCCATATTCTCAGATGGCAAAATGGATTTGTTCAAGGCTATTGGTGATGGAGACAGATGCATGGGTCAGCAGCTTGGCTCCGGCCCTTCTACTTCCTTCCTGCCTCCTGTCTCTTCTTTTTTTGGTATCAGAGATTAAATCCAGGGGCACTTAACCACTGAGCCACATCCCCAGCCCTTTTTATATTTTATTTTGAGATAGGATCTCTTTAAGTTGCTTAGGACCTCGTTGAGTTGCTGAAGCTGGCTTTGAACTCTCAATCTTCTGCCTCAGCCTCCCAAGTTGCTGGAATTATAGGCATGTGCCCGTGTGCCACTGTACCTGGCTCCTGACTCTTGCACCTCAGTCAGCAGGACTCTGATGTCCCCTGCCTATCTCCTCTGCCCTGGCAGCTGCAGCCACACTTCATCCCTCCACACCAGTCTCTGTGGAACCTGACCTTCCTCGTCTCTCAGGCTCATCTCTAGTCTTAAGCTGCTTGGTGTGCCCAAGGGGCACCCACCCCACCCTTCCTGGCTCTCTTTCACCACGGGTGCTGCTCCCCGGCACTTTCCACTTCATCCCCCATGTGCATGTGTCCAGTTCCTGATGTTGCTGAATGATTCATGCTGTGACTTCTGGAAGTTATGCCCTCCTGGCTGGGGTTCCCCCCTGCACTGAGGGGCCAGCCGAGCAGAGTCCCCTGAGGCTGTCTGGGAACAAGAGCCCACTGTGTGCCTGGAGGAGGCCTGGATAGTGGATCACTGTGGGAGGGCAGCGTGTTGCTCCTTGGCCAGTTTGGTCTGGGCCTGTTTCTCCCCCAAGCCTTGTGAATCCCACACACTTGAGGCCGAGATGGGGTACCCGGCATTTGTGGGGCAGGGTGGGTGTCCTCTCCCTGCCTGCTGGACCATATGCATTCTCCTGCATCTTTCTGCCTCCCCTCAGCACAAGAGGGGTTGTCCTGGATATTCAGATAGGGGCTGGAGCCTCCATTGTGAGCTGAGGTCTTTGGTGCTTCCTGGGGCCAAATGTGAGCCCATCTGGAGCAAGGGCTGGTGGGTCCAGTTGCCTGTGCGTGGTCCCAGTTCTTCTCCCCTCACAGCTTGTGCCCTTCTCACTCATAATTGCTCCCAACAGTCAGCTCCTCCTCCCAGGGCTGCTGAGGGTCATCTCCTTCAGGAATCCCCTGCTCTTTGGGTCTCAGTGACTGGCCCCTTCATGCTAGCCTTGCTCTGCAGTTGTCAATGTGTATACCCTGTGGTTGCTCTAGAACAGTCAGTCCTGGGCAGTGACAGGACAGAGGACTGCTCTCATGTGCATGAGCTCTGGGAGAACCAGGCCAGGGGGCTCCTGTTGGGGGATGGCAGTCTGACTGAGGATGCAGGTCCTGGAATGTGTGCATGCCTGAGATGGGAGGCACTGAGCTCAATGACAGACTTTGCTGGGGACTGTGCCTGTGGATCATCTAGTGGCAAAGGGGGCCTGCATTACTGAGTAGGTGCCAGCTGGATGCCACCTGGAGGTGCTGGGCAAACCTGGGCAGGTTCTTGGAGAGACCAGTCCCTGGTGCTCACCCATGGATTCCCAGCAGCAGCAGTAGCTCTGTTTGTACTCTTGGCCCTGCTCCTCTCTGGACCCTATAATAGTTCTCACCAGCAGCATCAGTGTTCAAGTAAGAAGATTGAAGGCATGTTGCTTTGTGTGGCAGGGCTGGAGTGGTCCTTTAGGTGAACTAAGCAGGAATGCCAAAGGTGTCTCCGTCCTGTCTGGTGTCTGGCTCCTTACCTCCTAGGCCCCATGGGCATAGCACAGCCTTGGGAGCAGGCTGACAGACTGGGAGGGTGCTGAGGCCCCTCTGTAGGCTCAGGAGCCCCTCCCTGTGCTCTGCTTGCTTTCCCAGCACATCAGAAAGTGTCTCAGATTCTGCGAGTAGTGTGCCCAAGACTCAGAGGTGGCCCCTAAGTCACTCCTTAGCCAGCAGGTGATCCTACTAGGCTGTCTATGAAAGATGGCTGTGGGATGAAGAGGAAGACATCCACCCCCGGGATGCTGACCTGGCACCAGTTGATGCCTGGCACCCAGATCTGGGCTGGACATGTGGTTCAGGTCAGATGCTGAGGGCTGGTTTGCTTTAGCTCCTAGAAGGACCTTGCCACACCCATTTCTTGGTCAGAATGGCCTGTGTCACACATGGCCTCCATCCACCAACAGGGGCTCAGCATGGGCAGGCCCAGGGATGCAGAGACAAATGCTGCCTGGCTTGAGGTGCTTAGGTCAGACAGGGAGGGACCCCTGGGTAGATGGTAGGGGGGCCCCCCCTACCTTTGCCCGCCCCCCCCCAGCCACCACCTGGGCCCAGCAGTGTATGATCAGCTCGGAGAAGGGGTTGGAATGTGAGGGATGGAGCCAGGAGGACTCCCTTCTGCTATCTGTTCTGTTCCTGGTCTGTGTAGGGCCAACAGGAGCTGCCACTGGCACCCTAGGCCTTTTTTTTTTTTTTACTGGGCAGTATAGGGCCCACCAGGGCCATATGCAGTGTCATGTGGTGGACATAGCCCTGTGGAAGCCCTGGATCTCCTGCAAACAGTTGAGAGGGAGACTCCCAAGTGGAATCCATTCCTGGAGGCAGCAGTGGGCGGTTCACACACCCAGCCACTTGCAGCTTGTTGAGGTTTGCACACTTTGAAGAGGCTAAGGAACTTGGGATTAATAAAGGAGGTATTAATAACGGAGGGCCTGCTTTCCAGACCCTCCTGGGTGCAGATCTGCAGCAATTGTCCTTTGTACAAATGATGTGGGTAATAGAGTCCCAAGGAGGCCAGGACTTGCCTATAGTTGAACCCTGGTCTCTATGCTCTGGGTCTTCCCCTATGTTGGTGGGTTAGGGGCCTCAGATACTCAGGGTTGTCAGGCATGCAGTCCCCCAACAAGTCCCTGCTCTGGCTGCCTCACTGTTGTTTTGGGGCACATGGCGGCACCTGGTGGTCATCATGGTTAATGCGTGAATATGGTTTGTACAAAACACCCAGTGCCCCAGCTGCTGCTCTGCCACCTGGGAAACCGTGACTTTCTCTGAATGTGGAGATGCCTCTGTGCAATGGATGGGATTCACTCTCTGTTCTGGGTGTAGTGTGCCTCTGACTCTGTAGTGGAAGCCATAGTTGTTAAAAGAAGGCAAGGGGTAGATAAGACAGGCTAGGGGCACACTGACCCCCTTTCAAGCCTTAGCTCCAGGTCACAGGGAACCTGGTTGTCCCTGCCATGCTCAGTCCTCATCCCCTTCAAGCTCTGAGCCACAGGGAACCTCACTGTCCCTTCCAAGCAGCTGTCATTGCTGTTTTCTGCCCATCACACATAGCATCCCTTTGGCACTTACTTCTTTAGGGTGATAATTTCCAGAGTGTAAACTCTGAGAGGGCAGGTCTTGTCTTGTGTCCCCCCAGCATGTGCCAAGCACCTCCAATTCCCTCACTCATTGGAGGTGCTGGAAGTGCTGCCTATGGACCTGGTTGTCCGAGGACTGTGAGGGGAACCAGGAAGGTGTGGACATACCAGTGCTGAGCACTAGCTGGGCTCCAGCAGCGGAGCTGTGAGCACCACCATTTGGCATATCGCTGCTTCTGCCTTCTCCGGGTCTGGGCCCAGTGGATCTTCAGGGACTTGCCAGCCTCACTACTGAGTACCTTCCCCTCTCCAGGCCTGCCACACTCCACCTGGAACCATGAGTGAGGGCCGCAGGGACAGCACAAGCAGTCTGCAGCGCAAGAAGCCACCCTGGCTGAAGCTGGACATACCGGCTGTGATGCCGCCAACAGCAGAGGAGCCCAGCTTCCTGCAGGTAGGTGCTGAGTGTCTGGGGCTATGGTTATGCCCCATCCAGACTCCTCACTGACCCTGTTGCTCAGCCCCTGAGGTGCCAGACTTTCCTGCGGAGTGTGAGTATGCCAGCTGAGACGGCCCACGTCCCTTCGCCCCACCATGAGCCCCGGCGGCCTGTGCTCCAGCGCCAGACATCTATCACACAGACCATCCGCAGGTACTGCCCTGGCCACTCCCCAGAGGGAGGCACACAGGGTCCCCTTTGGGTACTGAGGCTGGGAAGGAGCAAGGGTCTGTCTTGTCTCAGCTTTCTCTTCTGCTGTGGTCCTCCTGTCCTGGGGACTGAACTGCTGTCACCCCACTACCCTTCTCTGCTGCCCAGCACTCACTTTCTCTGTCTCCACACCCTAATGCTCTGGTCCCTCACAGCCGACAGGTGCGCTTTGGGCGAGTCCATACTCTGCCCCTCTCAGGTCCCCGGGCTGCCTGCAGGCCGCCCCCACAGCGCCAGTCCCTCTCTTGGTCCCTGCTCAGGTACTTCAGGCAGGTCATGGGTGTGTTGCTGTTTTCTGGTGTGTGCATGTTATGTGTGGCTTCTTAAGAGCTGCCAGTGTTGGCATTTCCTGGCCCTTGAGGGCAGTGCCAGCTATGCGTTGTTTGCATGTTCGAGGGCTGTGGACAGCCTGCTGGGGGTCTCCCGTGCTGCTGCCTGGGGCCAGCCTCCTTCTCTAGACTCAGGGGATGGAACCCACTTGTCCTCCTAATTCGACTATTTCCATCTAGCCCCCGGAGGGCCTGAAGGCTGGGGCAGAGCTTGCTGTCCAGGAGGATGGCCTCTGAGGCTCCTTGCCTAGGAGGGGGAGATGTAGCTGCCCCTTGCTGAGTCCCTTCCATGCTAGGGGGACAGCTGACTGGTTTGGAGTGAGCAAGGACAGTGACAGCACCCAGAAGTGGCAGCGCAAAAGCATCCGTCACTGCAGCCAGCGCTATGGGAAGCTGAAACCCCAGGTCATTCGGGAGCTGGATCTGCCTAGCCAGGACAATGTGTCGCTGACCAGCACGGAGACGCCACCCCCACTGTATGTGGGGCCATGCCAGCTGGGCATGCAGAAGGTACGCCTATGGCTATTGTCCCCTGTCCCCTCATTCTGATTCCCTCGTGGGGGCCGGGGTACAGTCTACCTGAGCTCATGGTTGGGAGAACAGTCAGGTGATCCCATGGAAGCAGGTAAGATGCTCTGGGAAGGGCCACCTGGGTGAGGTGAAGGGCCCTGGCATTATACCAGGGGCAGCCTCTGGATAGGCGAGCATACCAGGGGACCAGCAGTGCAAGGGGAGAGGAGGAGGCCCCACTAGGTGGCTGTCGGGGTGACACCCATACAGCTGCCCTGGGCCTGCAGGAGTGACAGCAGTAGCAGTGGCGCCCTCTCTGTGGGGCTTGCGTGGCTCTGGTGTGTTGAGAGCTCCTGGCACCAACCTAGCCTGACTCCACTGTGTCTTTGCCTCTGCCAGATCATAGACCCTCTGGCCCGCGGCCGGGCCTTCCGCATGGCAGATGACACTGCTGATGGCCTGAGCGCCCCGCACACTCCGGTCACACCAGGTGCTGCCTCCCTCTGCTCCTTCTCCAGCTCCCGCTCAGGTTTTAACCGGCTTCCTCGGCGGCGCAAGCGTGAATCTGTGGCCAAGATGAGCTTCAGGGCGGCTGCAGCACTGGTGAAGGTAGGCACAGGGCCATGGGTGGAGGTGGGATAGCTGAGTGGCCATTAGGTCCCAAGGTCACCTCCTTGCCCTCAGGGCCGCTCTGCTAAGGATGGCACCTTACGCCGGGCACACCGACGAAGCTTCACTCCTGCCAGTTTCCTGGAGGAGGACACAGCAGATTTCCCTGAGGAGTTAGATACATCCTTCTTTGCTCGGGTAAGAAAAGTGCGGGGCCTCACTCATGGCCTCTGTCTCTGTATCCAACCTGACCTCGAGTATTTGCTCAGGAAGGTGTCCTCCATGAGGAGCTGTCCACATACCCGGATGAGGTGTTTGAGTCCCCATCGGAGGCAGCACTCAAAGACTGGGAGAAAGCCCCAGAGCAGGCCGACCTCACGGGTGGGGCCCTGGACCGCAGTGAGCTTGAGCGCAGCCACTTGATGCTGTGAGTGCAGCTGGTGGGTGGGGTACATGGTGGGGGGGACCTCTGTCTATCAGGAGCAGCTGGACCCTAGGGCATGGTGCACCAGCATTCACTGCCTAGAGTGAGTTGCCTAGTGCAGTGGGAACCTAGCTTGGCAACTATGGTGGGGGTCCCAAGGCTAGACATGTCCCCAGTATTTTCTGCCCACTTGGGGAGTCCCAAGACCCAGTGGCTGGGTGATTCCAGCATGGAGGAGTGTGACCTATTGCTGAGGTACAGAACCTTTGCTGAATCTGGGGTCCCTTCCTGTCATACTGGGAGGGGCCTGAGGTTGCTCCTTTATTGGAAAGAAAGAGGCTAAAACTGGGACTTGACACCCACCCCCTTCATCAAAGCCAAGGCCTGTGCAGGGCAGGATAAAGACTGACTAACTCTGGTTGCGTCAGGAGGGATGGCAGCGGGTGGTGGTCTAGCCCAGGAGGTGAATGAGCTGGCTCCCTGCAGGCCCCTGGAGCGAGGCTGGCGGAAGCAGAAGGAAGGTGGCACAGCTCCGCAGCCCAAGGTACGGCTTCGACAGGAGGTGGTGAGCGCTGTGGGGCCCAGGAGGGGCCAGCGCATTGCAGTGCCAGTGCGCAAGCTCTTTGCCAGGGAGAAGCGGCCATATGGGCTGGGCATGGTGGGCCGGCTTACTAACCGCACCTACCGCAAGCGAATTGACAGCTATGTGAAGCGCCAGATCGAGGACATGGACGACCACAGGTAGGTCGGGGGATTGCAGCCCTGTGAGCAAGTCTTGGGGTTGGGATGCAGATTCCTGGGCTCTGCCTTGGGGATGTGCCCGCTGATGCTCCACCCTGCAGGCCCTTCTTCACCTACTGGCTTACCTTCGTGCACTCGCTGGTCACCATTCTAGCAGTGTGTATCTATGGCATCGCGCCTGTGGGCTTCTCGCAGCATGAAACAGTGGACTCGGTGAGCCCCTGGCACTCTCCCGGGACTCAGATGGTTGGGGGCTTGGGTCTGGACCCCCTGTGCTCCTCTCCAGGAAGAAAGAGCCCTATGGACTTGGTCTAATCCCACTTCCTGACTTTCCAGGTGCTGCGGAACCGTGGTGTCTACGAAAATGTCAAGTATGTGCAGCAAGAAAACTTCTGGATCGGTCCCAGCTCGGTGAGGACGTGGCTGGGGGCGAAGCCTGGAGTTCCTGAGGTGGGCAGGGGGCCTGGGGCTGCAACTGCACATCTCCCTTACTGTAGGAGGCCCTTATTCACCTGGGTGCCAAGTTCTCGCCCTGCATGCGCCAGGACCCACAGGTGCACAGCTTCATCAGTGCTGCTCGTGAGCGTGAGAAGCACTCGGCCTGTTGCGTGCGAAATGACCGATCTGGCTGTGTGCAGACCTCAGAGGAGGAGTGCTCGGTGCGTCCCCCACAGCTCCTTGTCTATGCTGTGTCCGCAGTTACCTTTAGACTCAGGCCCCACTGAGTTCCCTTTGACCCCCGCTCTTGGCATGTAGCATTGCCCATACGAGGCCCTTCCTGCCACTTTGATGTCTGTTCACCTTGCACTCCTCCATCCCTGGTTCCTCAACCAGGAGGTTCATTTGACTTTTGACTCGACCTTGGTTTGGTTGTACTCTTTCAGCACCTGTCTAGTCTGTGTGCAGGTATCTTAAAGTTGACCTTAATGGCAGTGCTGTAATTTTCTCCACTAAGTGATATTGTTTTAAAAAAAAAAAAGGCATTCATGTTTTTTTTTTTTTTTCAGCATCTTTTGTGGCCGTACCATAGTTTATACCAGTCCCCTGATTAAGGATGCAGAGGCTGTTTTTGAAAAGCTAATAGGAGCAAGGTGCTATAGTGTATGTCTGTAACCCCAGCTAGGCAGAAAATGGATGCAGGAGCATGGCAAGTTCAGGGCTAGCTTGGGCCATTTAGTGAGACCCGTCTCAAAATAACAAGAAGGGCTGAGGATGTGGCTCAGTGGTAAAGCACCTCTGTATTCGATCCCCATTACCTCACAAACAAACAAATATATAAAAAGCAACTGGCAATTATGCTCTTAGTGCCAGAATCTCTCGATGACTAAATCAGGCATCTGAATGATTAGGGGTGGAGTGGTGGGGACTTTGCCTGAGACTCTGGCTTCGAGCCCTCACTGCTGACTAAACTTGGCAAGGAATGGGCTCTGACCAGGGCTGACCCTGTGTTCTTACAGTCCACCCTAGCAGTGTGGGTGAAGTGGCCTGTCCATCCCAGCGCCCCAGACCTTGCTGGCCACAAGAGGCAGTTTGGCTCTGTCTGCCACCAGGACCCCAGGTCAGTCTTCCTGGCTGCCCCCTCTTCTGCCCTTGCTTTTTCCAGAAGGGTGAAGGTGTCCCCTTGTTGACTCAGATGGGAGGGTGCCAATGCCAGGGGCTCAAAGCAGACTCTGACCACATACTGGGCTCATGCAGGGTGTGTGATGAGCCCTCCTCTGAGGACCCCCATGAGTGGCCAGAAGACATCACTAAGTGGCCGGTAAGCTGGGGTGGGGAATTGCTGGGAAGTCAGCTTGTCACACCTCACCCATCAGTGATGCCAGAGGCCCCTCTGGGTGGGACCATCCCATTTTCAGACACCATGCCCCTGGCCTTTGCCCACTCTGTCCATCACCTAAGGCTGCCTCTCTGAGCATCTAGTCAGAGCAAGAGGGCTGGATAGACTTGGAAGGCCTGATGACATTCCAGTTTGACAGATGGTCCTGCTGAGGCTCAGATGTGAGGATCTGTTTGAAGTTAAGGGAGTCCCGTCTTCTACCTTGTGAGGTGTAGGGCAAGAGTTGGTGTGGGAGCTGACTTGGCTCTCCCCTGTTTATGACCCAGATCTGCACTAAAAACAGTGCCGGGAACCACACCAACCACCCTCACATGGACTGTGTCATAACAGGCCGACCCTGCTGCGTCGGCACCAAGGGCAGGTGAGCATGCAGTTGCCACAAGTTTGGGCCCAGGGCTGTGCCTTCTCCCCCACCAAGTTCCAAAACTCAAGGCTCCAACAAGGAGAAAGGGCCAATGGGAGGGTGGTGGTGCCTCTGTCCCTGGACCCTAGCAGTCTCCCTCCAAATCTGGGCCCTGACCTTCCAGGTGCGAGATCACCTCCCGGGAGTATTGTGAATTCATGAGGGGTTATTTCCACGAAGAGGCCACACTCTGCTCTCAGGTAGGCCTCAGGGCATGTCCCTCCCCTACTCCCTAGCCACTGTGAGTGCTGACTGGCCACTCTGCACAGGTGCACTGCATGGACGATGTGTGTGGCCTCCTGCCTTTCCTCAACCCTGAGGTGCCTGACCAGTTCTACCGCCTGTGGCTGTCCCTGTTCCTGCACGCTGGGCAAGTGAATCTGTGGGCTGGGTGGGAAGTCTCAGGGACTTCAGAATGGCTGGCTGAAGGTGGCAAGAAGCCACCTTCTCTGAGTGTTCCCTACTACCCACAGGATCTTGCACTGCCTAGTGTCCATCTGCTTCCAGATGACTGTGCTGCGAGACCTGGAGAAGCTGGCCGGCTGGCACCGCATAGCCATCATCTACCTGCTGAGTGGCGTCACTGGCAACCTGGCCAGTGCCATCTTCCTGCCATATAGGGCAGAGGTAAAGCTGCCTTCCAGGGTAGGGACCCTCCCTGTGTGCCTGTGGGTTCGCCCTGTGTTGAGCACTGGATGTGTCCTGCCTTTGGGAGTGGGGTAGGAAGATGAGGCCGAGCTGCTTATTCCTGCAGCTTATAGTCACCCCACTACCCACAGGTAGGCCCCGCCGGCTCTCAGTTTGGCATCCTGGCCTGCCTCTTTGTGGAGCTCTTCCAGAGCTGGCAGATCCTGGCACGGCCCTGGCGTGCCTTCTTCAAGCTGCTGGCTGTGGTGCTCTTCCTCTTTGCCTTTGGGCTGCTGCCCTGGATCGACAATTTCGCCCACATCTCAGGCTTCATCAGCGGCCTCTTCCTCTCCTTTGCCTTCCTGCCCTACATAAGCTTCGGCAAGTTTGACCTGTACCGCAAGCGCTGCCAGATCATCATCTTCCAGGTGGTCTTCCTAGGCCTGCTGGCCGGCCTGGTAGTCCTCTTCTACTTCTATCCTGTCCGCTGTGAGTGGTGCGAGTTCCTCACCTGTATCCCCTTCACTGACAAGTTCTGCGAGAAGTACGAACTGGATGCTCAGCTCCACTGAGCCAGCTGTGGGTGCTGATGGCCACAACCACCCTGAGACTCGGGGGCCTGTGGACTCTGCCTGCTCTTCAGGGACTTGCCTTCCCTGACAGACCTCCTGTGCCTTGCTCACTCCTGTTGACTTTATCTTGTTGGGCATTTATCACACTCTCCCACGATAACCTTCTAACTAGACCCTTGACGACCACCTCATGTGGCCAATAAATGGACCGGGAGCGTTTTAGCTGCCACTAAGTTGACCAGGGCTGTGTCCTTCTTCTTGGCTTCTGGCTAAGTGCTGTGGAGTAAGACCCTGCAGGTACCTGGCCTCTGACAGCACAGTTCTGCCACACAGGGAACTAAGTTTTAAGTACACCCATAGGCTGTTCCAGTTCCCAGGGAAGCCTCTCAGCCAGGAGGGTGCACTTCCTTGGAGGACCCTAGGGATGTGCTGCCACATTTCCCCACAATGGGATGGGGAAGGCATTGCTGTAGGGGACCCTGTGGGTAGAGGCCCCATCCACATCTGTGCCAGACTGCTACTGCAGGCTCTGGGATGTGGGCTCTTGCTTCCCCACAAGCAAACAAAGCTATGAAGACCATGGTTACAGGCATGTGATGTGGCCACAGGGCTTAGGTGTGGCATCTTGGATGCCAGGAGTTACAGTTACTCTCTGCCCTAAACACCCCTCTGTGATGGGACAGATCTTTCTATTATGCCTTTTTGACTATTCAAAAAATGAGGCAAACAGACAGATTTATTCTGCACATAAGGCCAGGCCCATAGCCCTGTGAGAACTGCCATGTTTTAAGGTCTTTGAGCCCAGGCCAAGTTCATGGGAAAGCAAGGAACAAAGGTTTACCCTTGTCCTGGTCCTGAGAACCCCAGGGCTCATGCTGACAGTGCAGCCAGCCCAAATCTTTTCTGATGAGAGGATGGAAGGAGGGCTCCATCCTGCTGGGAAAGGACTGACCATCAGTGAGCAGAGCTGTCCCTGTCCTAGGGTCACTTTTGCCTCAGCTTTTTGATGAAGGAAACCTCATCCCGATTCCGGATACCATAACTGAAAGACAAGGAAACAGACAGTGTCTGACCTATAGAAGGTTCACTTGTAATTCCCCCCACTCTGCCCCCCAGGCCTGTGAGGGACCAAGAAAGGAAGAGGATAAATGTGGTACTTAGCCCAAGAGGCTGTGTGGCCACCTTCCCAGACACTCCCATTGCACTGCAGGGGTGGAGCTGCCTGGAACTGCTCCTCTGCCAGCTACTCTCCTAATGGGGAGTGCCCCAAGGAAGCCAGGAACCCTGCTGATACAGTCTGGCCAGGAACCCTGATGATACAGCCCTCTGGCAGAACATAGGGTACTAGAGGGCACCAGGCAAGATGCCCCACAGCTGAAGATGTGGTCTGAACTTACTCTCGGAGCTTCTTCCTGTCCTCTGTTAGCTTCTCTCCCGCAGAGGTCAGATGGTATGTCCTCCACACATAAGACCTACAAGAGGGCACTCAGGTAAACCGTGTGCTGCCTTGAGCAGGATGAGGTGAGCTGCAGATATGACAGGCTCCAGCACTCAGCTCTAGGGCACCTAGGGCAGCTGCACTCCCTCTAGGCCTTTTTCCTGTGCAGTGCACATGTGAGGAGGTGACGTGTGAGCACTGGCCAAACACTTCACTAATGAAACTGGGGACAGTGCTAGACACATCTATAGGGCACTTGATCCATAGGAGCATGAGGGCTGACGGGACCTAGGTGAGGACTGGTAGGAGACACTGAAAAGTGAAGCATTCAATGAGGGAGACCACTTTCCAACACTGAGGTCCAGAAGTATCCACAAGTGAAGATATCTAGGTGGGGTGATATTGATGAGAGTCAAGAAGCAGATGAGGCAAGAGTCGGAGACACAGAATTGCTCCCTGTCTGAATGTGCTTGCAATAGCTTTGCAGCAAAGAGGTGGGAGTGTGCACATGTGCGGCTGAGAACTACTTCTTTGTGGAGCCCATACCAGCCCCCGGAAGCCCAAGGAAGAAGCTGCTGTTCCACTTACCAGCTGATGTGCTGAATGCCCCCTTCACGCTCCTGCCTGAGCTGCACATGCCTCTGGATGGCCTTCTTCAGGTCCAGGACAGTAGCGTTCTGCACTACAACCACAGCTGCAGCCATGGACACAGTGTGAAAAGATCCATGAGGGACAGAGCCTCAGATGACAGGAGATCCCAGAACTGTCAGGCTCTACTCTGCAGATTGGGTTTGTGGCTGCCCTAATGCCCTTGGGCATGGCCCCCAAGGTTCTCACTGACCAGTCTTGCTAACATCTTGTCCATATGTATAGGCCTAATGGGAGGAGGACGGCACTTACGCATTACTTCCCCATCCATCTTGCACACTCGAACTGTCATTGCTTGGCCATATTCTAGTGCTATCTGGGAATTGACCTCTTCCAACGTAACCTAGAGGAGACCAAAAGTGAACATGGGAATCCTGGCTCTCTACCACCCCAAAAAACAACAAAGAAAAACAAGCTGATAGTGGCCAGAAAGTGGTGTCCCATTTTATGAAGGGTAAGAAGGGGCTCTTGCCTATATTTTAGGGTTTACTTAGTTGTTCAGCACACCAACCTCATGTTTCACTCACATCTTTAGAGGAGTGAAGAAACAGGCAGGGAGAATGAATCCATATGGGGATGGGGCCTGGTAGGCAGAAGAATACTGGGCCCAATATTTCTCCTTCAGAAACCCTGAGCATTAAGTTCCAGGCTAGGGCCTCAGGACTAGGGTGAGACAGGTGTGCAAAACTTAGCAGGCACCAAAAAATGATAATGATAACAAGTGTTTTGACAGAATACCTAAGAAAGTACAAGCTGGGTTGGGGATGCTGCTGGGTGGCACAGTATGTGCCCTTCAGGCACATGGCCTGTGATTCAGTCTCCAGCACCGTGGGGTGTGGGGTGTGTGTGTGTGTGTGTGTATAGAGATAGAAGTTAATTTTAAAGATCCATGATGGGCAATTTTTTTTTTTTAAATTAGGTAGACTACTGTCTGTGCTAAAGCATATTGACGCTTGAGGCAAATGGAAAAATCAAGTAACACCGACCTAGTCTTCACGTTACTTTGTTTCCCACAGAGGTTCCTGCATGGACTTTGACTTTTTTTTTTTTTTCCTGTGATATTGAACCCAGGGCCCTGTGCCTGCAAGGCAAGCACTCTACAAACTGAGCTATATCCCCCGCCCTCAACTTTGACTTTTTAAACATATTGTGTTAAAATACCTTTTACCTTGTGAGGAAGTGTTCTTTTGCCTCGGCCTGGCCAGGCAAAGCTCACTTACACCCAGAGGTGCTGTCCTGGGCCGCCCGCGGCCGCCCACCCGCGCCCCGGGCGCTGTCCGCGCGCACCTGGATCGGGAGATCGCAGAGCAGCGGGTCTTGCACTACCATGGCGAGACCCTCCTGAAACACGTCCACAGCCTCGGAGTGCGGTAGCAGCTCCTCTTCGTCCTCATCGTCTTCCTGCTCCTCCGGCTGACGCGGGGCCTCGGCTTCCTCCAGGGTTGCCACAAGCGCGCTGGGCTCGGAGGGTCCCGTCAGTTACCGCTGGAGAGGCGGAGCGCGCATGCGCAAGCAAGGCAACTCAGCCATTGGTAAGCCGGAGGGGCGGGCAGCTGCGGTGACCAATGAGGGGTGCGAGGCCGTCTGCTGCGGGGCGGACCGGGAGCGCGCAGACACGTGACTAGTGTTGGGCTGAGGGGCGGGGCGGCTGTGGTGACCAATGGGAAATGCGAGGCCTCCTGCTTCCGGGAACGCGCAGTCGCTGAGCCCAGGTGGTGGAGTCGGAGCAATGCTGCTCTTCTGTCCGGGATGCGGAAACGGGTTGATTGTGGAGGAGGGCCAGCGCTGCCACCGCTTCGCCTGCAACACTTGCCCCTACGTGCACAACGTCACCCGCAAGGTGGGCCCTGGAGGCCGGCTCTCCCTTGGTCGCTCCCATAGCCGAGCCATTGTTTCCCGGTGGTATCGCCCTGGCCGGGCTGCGGCCTGGATCCTCGCGGGGACCTCCCTGCCACTTGTTCCGTGCGCGACGCTCACAGCCGTGTCCAGAACGGCCTGAGCAGGTCCCGGTGTTCCGGGAGCCCGCGCAGTCACCCCCCTCCCCGCTCTCACGGGCTGCCCCCTACCTGGCGTCCCCGAGGGAGAGGCCTGAGGCTCTTCCAGTTGCCTTGCTTTATTTTCCCCATGGGACTTATTAACCGTCAAATATATTTTGTAGCTTGCTCATGTGCTGTATTTGTTAATCCTGGGACACACTCTCAGCAGGGCAGGGGTTTTTCTTTGTTCCGTGTATGTTTTAATCCGAATGCCCGGAGTGGAGACTACTGCACAATTGAGCATACGGCAAGTGAATGGTGTATACTGTCTTAAGACTTGTTATTTTCCCTTGATAATCCAGCTAAAAAGTAATTTTAGGGGGTAGGGCTCGTTGAGTTCAGAGTCTACTTATTTAAAACAAATGACTCACACTGGACGAAGGGGGGAGACAGGAAGCAAACTTCGGATCTACAGGCTTAATAAGTATTTAGCGACGGGGTCAACTGGTGGAAACCTGGAGTGGCTCACTTCTGGGGCGGGCTTCAGCCTGGATTATATAGACTAAGTTTAGGGTGGGACAGGAGGGTAATTCCTGGGGTTCATTATATAGGAGTCCTGCTGATCCCTTAGGGTGGGACAGGAATGTGAATAGGGAATTTTCTGTGGCTTATTGGGATCAAATGAACATTATCGTGGGGTGTCAGTCACTTGTGATGTCCTTTTGTGTTCCTTGCACTGGCTGAGGCCTTGCACTGGCTGAGGCCTGGGATTTCAAATCACAAAAGCTTAGGGAAAATGTCCTTGGACTTATTTTTCTTATCCCTCAACTTAATCCTGACATTTCAGTAATGTGTAATACAATTCAAAGAAACAAAGTGTAGCTTGCTTTAAAAGCTGGCTGCCTGGGGGAGTGACTGGGTCACCCAGCTAAATGCTACTGGTTGACTTCCATTTAAGTTGTTGTCCCTACTTCCACATCCTCAGCTGCAGTCTTTGCAGAGGTCTCTGACAGCCCAGCCTGGAGGACAACCCAGCCATGGGAACTCCTGTTCCACTGGAGTGTATTGCTCTGTGCAGGCAAGAATTGTGTTTCATCTGGCATCCACAGAGTGCAGGGAAGGAAGTCGGAGGCACTTGAGGACTGCTGTGGTTTGATGGTCCTTGTTTATATTGTTCACTTACTGGGAGTGTGAAGGCTGTTTTTGTTTGTTTTCTAGGTAACAAACAGGAAGTATCCAAAGCTGAAAGAAGTAGATGATGTGCTTGGGGGAGCAGCTGCCTGGGAGAATGTTGACTCTACAGCAGGTGAGAGACCTTTTCCATTGCTGAGCTGTGGATAGATGTGAGGTTGCGGACTGTTCCACTCCATATTGAGTCTATGATGTCCATGTCTAAGAACGGGAAAGATAGGGCTGGGGTTGTAGCTCAGTGGCAGAGGGCTTGCCTAGCATGTGTGAGGCACTGGGTTGGATTCTCAGTACCATGTATCAATAAATAAAATAAATGTCCATTGACAATTGAAAAAAATAATAGGAAAGGTATCTTTCTTTATTAATTTGTTATTATTAAAATTTTGTCACCCCACCAAAAATATTGATACAATCCTTGACATGATACAAGCCTGGGTTGGATTCTTGGGGCAACCTCTTGTTATTGGTGAACCTCGTAGGCTTCTCCTGACCTCTCTGTGGCCAACTCATATTTGTAGGTTGTGAGCAAGAAGTGAGTTGTCCAGTGCTTGGGAAATAGGAGGCGCTCAGGGGATGGCTCTGATGGCAGCAGGAATGATGGCAATAAGAGTCTACAAAAAATTGTCTTCTTATTCTAATAGGGATTTTTAGGAAGGTGATGTCAGGGAGCATTCAAGTGCAGATTGGACAGAATTAGAAGTTTAAGACTTGATTCATGTTGGGTAGACATAGATGTGATTGGGGAAGCAGAGAGAAGGACCCTCAATAAAGCCTGTTTTGAGGGGTAACAGCTAACTCAAGGTCAGTACTGTCTTTTCACCCGTAGAACATACAAGTATGTTATGGTAAAAGTTAGCCTTGGGGGGCTGGGGTTGTGGCTCAGCGGTAGAGTGCTCGCCTTGCATGTGCGAGACCCTGGGTTCAATCCTCAGTACCACATAAAAATTAATAAATAAAATAATGGTATTGTGTCCGACTACAACTAAAAAATAAATATTTAAAAAAAAAAAAGTTAGCATTGGCCAGTCGCGGTGGTGCACGCCTGTAATCCTAGCGGCTCAGGAGGCTGAAATAGGAGAATCATGAGTTGAAAGCCAGCCTTAGCAATGGTGAGGCAAGGCACTAAGCAACTAAGTGAGACCCTGTCTCTAAATAAAATACAAAATAGGGTTGGGGATGTGGCTTAGTGGTCAAGTGCCCCTGAATTCAATTCCCAATAGCAAAAAAAAAAATGTTAGCATTGGTAGAATTTATCATTAAAAGGTGGATTATGGACCTGGACCTGATTTTAGAGAGTGTATAAGGGTGTTTTCCTGAGAGCAGGATTGTGTGGTTGGGGTGAGGCTCCGTGATAAGCACTTGGCTAGCATGTGTGTGGCCCTGGGTCCACATCCCAGCACTGGAAAACATAAACAAGAGAATAGGATCATTTTCTCCAAATTAAATCAATTCCAAGGTATCTGTGCCCCTGGGCATTTTGAAAAGGTGTGGGATGTAGTAAGATATGGCTAAGAACAGCTCCTGCCAAAATGTCCCCTGGACATAGCCATCAATGGGAAGATAAAGCATTTTCCACTGTCCTGGGGAAGCAATTCTTTAACAAGGAGAATCTGTGTGGCATGAGCCCCAAAGTGCACAGCAGCCTTAAGCCACTATCTTAGTCCCTTGGTGTTGCTGTAGAAGAATACCACAGACTGGGTAATTTATAGAAAACAGAAATTTGTCTCTTACCATTCTGGAGGCTGGAAAGTCCAAGATCAAGGTGCTGGCAGGTATAGTGTCCTCTGGAGGTCTGGCAGTAAGAATGCAGGAAGCAGAGACCCAAGGCAGCCCTGGGCAGTGAACCCCTTACTATGGGCCTCATAGCTCTTAAATTCTGTTTTCCATGAAGTCCTAGGGCTTGGATATAATTCTGCCAAGTTCTTTGCTACTTTGTAACACAGATGCCCCCCACCCCAACCCACATGTACCCCTGTTCCAACAAGATGCTACTCATTCCTTGTAAGATCCAGTCAGAATAGTCTATTTCAACTGTTGTTGGGACAGACTAGGCAAGACACTGAAGACAGCAGGAAATAGATTTATTTGGCTACAGCCAGGTTCAGAGGGCAAAGCTTTTGCTGTGATCAATCATCAATCCCCTGAACCCCAAATTCAGGCAGTTTCAGAACTTTATACCCAGTGTGTAAGGGGAGGGGCTCAGAAGTTCACAATCTGCAGAAGTTCACACAAAAGCAGCTTTTTCTTTCACTGTTCTAGCTAGGCAGGTTAACCCTTTAAGGACAGTGCCTGAGGAGGGGAGAGCTTCTCCCCTTTCTTCCCTCCCCCTGCCAGCTGTTACCAAGGAGGCCAATTAGTAACCTCTTCTCTTCTCTTTGAAATGTACACATCTCTGTGAAGCACCATCCTGGTTAAAGGATCTGTCTTTTTTATCACACTTTGCATTTGCAAACACACTTCTACAAACTGTTGTGAATATTTTTACTACACTGGATAGGTCATAAAGGTTTGTGAAAAACTAGTAAAGGGGTGATTAGCAGCTGGAGTTCTGATCTTGTGGGGCCAGGTAAAATAGAGCAACAGGAAATAGTAAACTTAACTATATTGAACTCTTTTCTAGAGATTCTTTTGCTGATATTCCTAAGATCAGTTATGGGGAAGATTTCTGGAGAAGCTTAATTAAGATTTTCTGTGGCGTAGGCGGTACCACTATACAACCAATATTCTTTTTTTTTTTGGTACCAGGGATTGAACTCAGGGGCACTTGACCACTGAGTCACATCTCAAGCTTAGGGTCTAACTTAGTTGCTTAAGCACCTTGCTATTGCTGAGGCTGGCTTTGAACTTGCAGTCCTCCTGTCTCAGCCTCCCGAGCTGCTGGGATCAAAGGTGTGTGCCATTGCACCTGGCCCACAACCAGTATTCTGTTCACAACAAGTATGCAGTCTCCAGGAAGAAGCCCCCTCCCTACAACTCTTGTTTTCTCCTGAACCCTTAATAGAAGGGTTAATAGAATCCCCTTAATGCTCCATTCAAGGCCCCACAGGCTTTTTCTAGCATTTACTTAAAAACTTCCAGCTTTAGCTGGGTGTGGTGGCTTGCACCTGTAGTGCCAGCTACTTGGTGCTTGGTTTTGTCTTCTTTTTTTTTTTTCCTTTGGTACTGGGGGTTGATCTCATGTCCCCAGCCCTTTTTTTTTTTTTTTTTTTTGTGACAAGATCTCATTGAGTTATTTTGGGCCTCTCATTCAGTTAAGGCTGGCTTTGAACTTGAGATCCTCCTACCTCAGCTTCCCCAGTTACTGAGATTACAGGCATGTGCCTCCAGGCCAAGCCAGTTCCAGCTACTTGGGAGGCTGAGACAGGATGATCACTTGAGTCTAGGCGTTCAAAGCCAACCTGGGCAACATAGTGAGACCTGTGCTGTAAATGAATAAATAAATAAAATAAAAATAAAACTATTCTGTTTTAGTAAGCTTTTTTGCTGCTGCAACCAAAAGACTGATGACAGTTTTAGAGTGGGAAAAGTTTATTTGGAGGTCATCATTTCAGAGTTCTCAGTCCATAGGTGGTCAGCTATTGTTTTGGGCTCAAGGTGAGGCAGGGAATGATGGCAGAAGAATGTGGTGGAGGAAAGAGGTCAGGACAGGCCCCCAGAAGCAGAGAGAGTGAGAGCAGAGCCAACAAAATATAAACCCTAAAGGCACACACCCAATGACCCACCTCCTATCACACCCTACCTGTCTACAGTTACCACCTGGTTAATCCCTTCAGGGGATTAATGCACTGATTAGTTAAGACTCTAATAGCTGAATTATTTAACCTCTAAACTTTCTTACATGATCTCACACATGAGCTTTTGGGGGATACCTCAAGTCTAAACCATAACACATTCCATCGTCTATTCATTGCCCAGTCTCAGGTATGTTGTTACAGTAGCACAAAATAGTCATGGTGCAAGTTAAGTCTCCAACCAGTCTTCAGCCAGATTGAGAAGAAAAGTAGGATCCAGAGAGTGGGAAGGAGGTTTTTTTCTTGGTACTGGGGATTGAACCCAGGGGTCCTTTATCAATAAGCCACAATTCCAGCCCTTTTTATTTTTTACTTTGAGGACAGGGTCCCACTAAGTTGCTGAGGGTTTTGCTGAGTTACCAAGGCTGGCTTCAAACTTGCAATCCTCTGGCCTCAGCCTCTCAAGTCACTTGGGTTGCAGGTGTGTGCCTTTGGGAGGAGTGTTTTCAAGGTCTCTCTGACTCCTCACTCTTAGTACGTTGTGGGAATGATGTCTATAGACATATTATTGGAAGGGAGGCCCGATGAGCAGGGAGGCTTCACACCTTTAACATAAATTTTTCCTCTTAAGAGGTATGTTCTTCACCAGCATCATTTTTGTATAACGGGGTTGCTTGATTCTTCTCCTTGCCAGAGCCATGTCCCAAATGCGAACATCCTCGAGCTTACTTCATGCAACTCCAGACCCGCTCTGCAGACGAGCCCATGACCACTTTCTACAAGTGCTGCAATGCTCAGTGCGGACACCGCTGGAGGGACTAGGCCCAGCTACACAGTGGACGCCCAGCGGGATACCAATCATGTGTTCTGAGGGTCTTCGCTGGTGTAATGGAAAGTTCGCCCCTTGGGATGGAAGACCAGGGTGTCAGGAAATGGAGCCCGCCTGCCAGTCAGGGAGTTGCTGTGTGTGGGGAGGAGACCCATAGAGAAGTGTGCTGGGTTTAAAGTCCTGCTCATTCGCCTTTTACACTAGGCAGATGACATTTTCTCACCACCAATGAATACTCCACTGTTTGCACAACTTAGTACTGTACATTTTCCTAAATATTTAACTGTAACCAAAACTTGTTTTGAATGTCTCATAAAAATGAAGTTTAATACTATTTTCTCAGTGTTTTAAATATTTTAAGAAATACCAAACCCCAAAGCACATTGATCTCTCCACATCAGCCCTCCTGCCTCAGTCTTCTTAGTTGCTACTGTTTCCTTTTTTTTTTTTTTTGTGGTGCTAGGGATTGAACCCAGGGCCTTGTGCATGCGAGGCAAGCACTCTACCAACTGAGCTATGTCCCCAGCCCTACACTGGACTTCTTATTTCATTTTTTAAACTTTCCTTGAATAGCTTCCTGGGGTTGCAATAAATAAATAAATAAATGTGTTAGCGCGCTTTTATAGTTTCTATGTTAATCTTTCTATTCAAAGAAAAAGGACACCTCAGACTAGCTGGAAACAAGATCTAGTTGATAGATTGAGTCTTGCTCAGGGCCCTGTCTTTATTGTTATTTATTTATTTATTTATTTTATTAGTTCCACATGACAGTACAATGATCTTGACAATTCATACATTTGAATCAAATGGGGTATAATTTCTCATTTGTCTGATTGTACAGGTTGCAGAATCACATTGGTCATACAGTCACCTATATACATACAGCAATAATAATGTCTATTTTATTCTGCTGCCCTTCCTATCCCCGCAGGGCCCTATCTTTAAATTATTTCTAAATCTTCACCCCCTACCAAATCTCTTTTTTTTATCATTTGTTTTAATTACACATGACAGTACAATGACCTTGACATATCATACATTTGAATCAGATGGGATATAACCAAATCTCTTAATAGCGAATTCTTATGAAATCATGAAACTCAAATTTCTGCCTTTGATACTTTTTTGAGAAATGATGTCATCTTTACATGGAACTGTGATTATTTTCTATTATTATAACACATTGGGCTGGGGATGTGGCTCAAGCGGTAGCTCGTTTGCCTGGCATGCGTGCGGCCCGGGTTCGATCCTCAGCACCACATGCAAAACAAAGATGTTGTATCCGCTGAGAACTAAAAAATAAATATTAAAATTCTCTCTCTCTCTCTCTCTTTAAAAAAATAAAATAAAATAACACATTGACCAGGTCCTGAGCCCATTATACCTAATTGTTTTGTTTTGTTTTTTAGTACTGGGGGGATTGAACCAGGGGTGCTCTCCCACTGAGCCATATACACAGACTTTTTATTTTTATTTTTAAGACAAGGTCTCACTAAGTTGCTGAGGCTGGCCTCAAAATTGCCATCTTCCTGCCTCAGCCTCCCAAGTTGCTAGATTACAGGTGTGTGCTACTTGACTTTGTTTATTTTTTGAGACTAGTTCTCACCATGTTGTCTGGGGTAGAATTCCTGGGCTCCAGCCAGTCTCCACCTTGGCCTTCTGAATAGCTGGGACTACAGATGCAGATGCATGCTGCTGTGCCTGGCAGATATCCTTAGTGTCTTCTGCCTGTGCTGTTAGTGTGATTTCCTTAGGCTCAAGTTCTTGTGTTTAAGGTTGTTGTTGGGAGGTGATAAGGATCAGTTGTATAGATCATGCACTTTGAAGTTAGCTTGGTGGATTGTACTTCCTCATCTGTACAATGGAGATGGTAACAGGTGATTTCCAGGTTTATAAACCTTTTTTAGTTTTTCTTTTTTGCCATACCAGGGATTGAATCCAGGGCCTTGTGCATGCTAGTAGAACATTGCAGGTTCTACTGAGTGGGTCTTGCTGACAGTGCAGATCCTCCTGCCTGCAGCTGTCATTCTCTGCCCCCCTTGCTTGGGGCTGGTTGCCGTGCCCAGCTCAGCCTCAAGGGTGTGACTCCTCAGATCAGTAATAGCATCTGTCCACTCAGCAAGAGCCCAGGGAAACGACTTCCAGCCATTCTCTTGCTTTGATGGACTGTCGTGGTTCCCATTCTTCTCTCTCAGACACCTTTGCGCTGAAAGCCGGGTAGCCTTAGACTTGCTTCCTCTGGCTTGTGTCTTCAGCTGCTGCAGCTTCCCATGGCCTCACTGAGCCACCGGCAAAATGGTCTTTCTTTGCTTGGCTGACAAACGAGCCACAGGGAAACATCACTGGCTCAAAGCCTCGTCCCCTCTCTTCACCTGTGTGAACGTGCTCTGCTGCAATGAGATCTTCTACTCAAATTTCTGAGTTTCCCTACCTTTGCTTTCCTGTGCTGGGCACATCCCTGTGATGACTGCTGTCTGGTGACGTGGACACTGCTGTCATCACACCCAAACACACTGCTTTGCCCTCTGAGTTTTATTCACTTTACTGTTGGCACTGGGGATGGAACCCAGGGGTGCTCTACCACTGAGCTACCTTCAATTTTCATTTTTAATGTGTGTGAAGAAATCCTGTTGAGTATTGAGAGTAGTTCTAATGATGATTTCGTATCTGGTAATACTAACAGCTGTAGTGTCATGCATAGTCACAGTTTTTCTTTCTTTTTTAAAATTTTTATTTTTTGTAGACGGATAGCAAGCCTTTGTTTTATTATTTTTGTATGTGGTGCTAAGGATTGAACCTAGTGCCTCACACATGCTAGGCAAGTGCTCTGCCACTGAGCCCCAGCCCCAGCCCAAGTCACAGTTTTACTTGTCAGTGCTGGGAATTGAACCCAGGCCTTTGCCCATGCCAGGAAAGCACTCTACCATTGAGCCATGTCCCCCCCCCCCCTTTTATTTTATTTTGGGGCAGGGTCATGGTAAGTTACTCAGGTGACCTTGCACTTGACAATCCTCCTGTTCAGCCTTCTGAGCTTCCTGGGTGACAAGTATGTGCCACTGCAAACAGCTCACCTTTCTTATTTTGACAAGATGGGTATGCACTGGTAATAAGCAAAACTGATATTATGTGGTGGCAGTGTGGCATTCCTTGAAGCACTCATTGGTAACTGCACCATCTGTGTGCCACGGGCCAAGCAGCATGGTGAAGTGCTGTGGAAACAGTGATGGACACTGGCCAGTGAGTGCCACTGGGCACCAGTAGGGCTCTGTTCACACCTGGGGTTCCGGGAGGATAGAGTCTGTCTCCCCAGGCAGCAGCTGCACTGGCAAAATCTGCCTGATGTAACTGTTTTGGAACTTCCAGGTGAAGCCTTGGTTGTTGACTGATGGTGATTAACTTTGGTAAGCCAAAATTTTCTCTTGTCTGCTTGAGCTCCTAGCAGCTCCCCAGCCCCCAGCCCTGATGCCGGCATCTACCACCTGTAGGGGCCAGGTTGAGCAGGAGGGCTCTGTCCTCCAGTGTTGTGATTGCTGCCTCTCAGGTTGGAGGTGCAGGCACATGCAGGCAGCCATCGTCAGCCTGCCCTACAGGCCACCCCCTTCAGCTGAAGAACTCCCAGGGGGTTTGGAGAGCAGCAATTGTGTATCCCTTCATTTTTTCTCTTTGTCAATTTTTGTAAGCAAACTTTAAAGTCTTGGACCTTCAAAACCAACCACACATGAGGGAGTTGAGGAGGTTACAACATATGCTCAGAGTAGAGCAGAGACTTAAGCACCTCAGGCTAGTGGACTCTTGGCACAACTGTTTACCCCAACAAAGAAGAGATCAGTAAACCCTCAGAGAGGGGAGAGTCTGATTTCTAATAATATGTTATTATTAGATGCAAATACCAGATTTCAGTAAGAAATCACAAAAGGTTAGTGCCGCAGTCTGGCTGGGCACAAATCAGGAGCCACTGAAGCAGGAACAAACTTTATTTTTAAACTGCAGGAAAACACTTTACACAGCTCCCGGGGAATTCTCCCAAACGCCACGAGGCTTGTCCAGGAACCCCCAGCCGGAAATATCTCTCCCGGAAATCCCTCCTCCTGCACTTCCCCAACCAATGGGAACTCTCGGGGAATCCCCGGAAATCCCCACGAGAACTCCAAAATAGTGCGAGAACTCAAAAGTTGCGGCAGAGGCGGATAGTAATGCCTCGCCTGTCAATCAATACTGTTGGCAAAATGCCAGGGGCCATACAGACTCGGCCGTGGCTCTCAGCAGGTTAGAAAGAAATAGGAAGGGATGGCCCCTTCAAAGGAAATACCAGGGGCTGGGGATGTGGCTCAAGTGGTAGCGCTCTTGCCTGGCATGCATGTGGCCCGGGTTCAATCCTCAGCACCACATACAAACAAAGATGTTGTGTCCGCCAATAACTAAAAAATAAATATTAAAATTCTCTCTCTCTCTCTCTCTCTGTCTTTAAAAAAAAAAAAAAAAGGAAATACCAACAGAAATTGTTCTTGAGAGAGACCAGCTTGTGGGCTTGACAGAAAAAGATTTTAACCACTTGACTTAACAGATGCTTGGACAACTAAGAGAAGATGTGGACAAGTCAAGAAAATGCAGGGCCAGGTCTGGTGGCCACACCTGCAATTCCAGGTATCCAGGAGGCTGAGGCAGGAAGATTGCAAGTTCAAGGCCAACCTGGGCCACTTATCAAGGCCCTGCCTCTAAACAAAAAATAGAAAGGGCTGGGGGCATAGCTCAGTGGTAGAGTGCCCCTGGGTTCCATATACACAAACAAAATGGAAATGTCAATAGACCAAACAAACAAACAACAAAACAAACAACAACAACAAACACCACAAAATCACCACAAACAAAAACAAAAAAAAAATAAATAAAAATTCTGGAGCTTAAAGTTTGATAACTGAAATGAAAATTTGCTAGAGTGACACAAAAGTAGATTTGAGCAGAGGAGAAAATCTGTGAAGTTATGCCAGTGGAAATTACTGAGTCTGAGGAACACGAAAGGATTGAAAAGTGAACAGAGAGCTCAAGGGACCTCTGTTACACTAAGTGGACCAACATGCATTCTGGGAGTCCCGGAGCGGGTGAGAGGGGTGGCAAGAATATATGAAGAGAATGAAGCTGGGCATGGTGGCACACAGAGACCCAGGTGGTGGAGGCAGCTCAGTGAGACCCTGTCTCAAAATAAATAAAAGAGGGGCTGGGGATGTGGCTCTCTGGTAAAGCACCCTCAGCACACTGCTCCCCTCCCCAACAAAAAATGACCCACCTTTGACAAAGGATGAATAAAAACATCCAAGGGGCTCAGTGAACTTGTGGATAGAACTCCGAGACCCATGGCAACACAAATAAGACCAAATATAATCAAGCTTTCACCAGGGAGAATCTTTTTTTTTTTTTTTTTGGTACTGGGAGTTGAACCCATAGCTTTGTGCACTGAGCCACATCCCCAGCCCTTTTTATTTTGAGACAGAATCTCACAGTTGTTGGCCTCAGATGTTTAATTCTCCTGCCTTAGCCTCTGGAGGAACTGGTATTATAGGTGTGTGCCACCACACCTAGCTGAAACCATCTTGAAATCAGCAGAAGTGGCTTGTATCATATGAGGGATCCTCAATACCATTTTCAGCAGACTTCTTATCAGAAATTTTGGAGGCTCAGACTGGTAAATTTGAGTTGCTTAGTCCCTTGCTGTTGTGGAGGCTGGCTTTGAACTTGATTTCCTCCGGCCTCAGCCTCTGGAGCTGCTGGGATTACAGGTGTGTACCACTGCACTTGGCAAGCTAGTTTACCTTTTAACTCCTAATTTCCCGGTGTGGCTCTTAACCCCATAAGATAGAGAGCTGACTTGTTTGTCTTATTTTCCTTATTTCCAAGGGGGTCCTGTTTCTCATGGGGGTCCCCAACTGTGTCAGTTTGCTTGCATAAAGTAGAAGGGTAGTTGCTGCTCTCTATTGGGTAGGGTGAGGGGAGAGGTGGGTGTGGCTTTGTTTAGTGGTGTGGAGCTTCCTTTGTGCACAGATGTCGAGGCCTCTGGTGGGGACAGCGTGAGTGTGAATGCTGAAAAGTGGCCAAGATGCCAAATTTTATGTTGTGTGTATTTTAAAATACAGTAAGCACATTTATTAAAAAAAAAAAAAAAACCCTCTAGCCAGGTGTGGTGGTGCACACCTGTAACCTATCTACTTGGGAGACTGAGGTAGGAGGATCACAAGTTCAGGGCCAGCCTGGGAAACCACAAGACCTTGTCTCAAAAGCAACAAAACAAACACCAAAAGGCTCCACAACTCCGTGGACACTGAATCTTGAATTTCATCTGATTTTTATGTGTTAATGCAGTTCATAAAGAATTCCAACCATTTACAAGTGTATGAAGCAGAATGGGGGTGTAGCTCAGTAGAAGGCCCTGGGTTCAGTCCCACTACTGAAAAAAGAAGCATTAATCTTTCTAAATTCACAGGTTTAAAAAAATCATAGGCTGGACTTGACTGGTGTGGTTTGCTGACCCTGTTCTACCTCCTGTAGTCCAATCAGCATGCGACCCTGGCAACATGCCTCTCCCTCATTTGGTGACTTGTTTCCATGGTGACTCCGGCCAGGTGCTCCTCTTCATAACTGTGGCTTCCTTGTCTGTCTGTGGATGTTGTTTTCTGGGTACCTTCATGTGCTGTGGAAGAGGGTGGGCGATCAGGGGTGTGCCATTCGTGCATTTTCTAGGGGAAGAAGTACTGACCTCACGCCTGTATCCACTGGTGAAGATGTACTTTTGTGCTGTCTTGCACACTCTCTCCTTCTCTTTCTCTCTCTCTCTCCCCCTCCCTCTCCCTCTCCATCGTCTCTCTCTCTCTCCCTCTCTCTTCCCCTCTTTCCTTCCTGTGGACACTGTCTGAGCTACTCTCTTCTGCCACACCCATCCATCATGATGTCCTGCCTTGCCTCAGACCCAGAGCTGTGGAGTTGGCCTACCTGTTGTGGACTGAACCTCTGAAATCAAGAGAGTTCATACATAAAGGGAAAAAAAGAGAAACTCAGGAGAAAATGGCAGTTGTTAGTTGTGGGAGCAAATGTAAACTCTACTGTAGCATCACCAGAAAACTAAAGGAGTTAGCTTTGGAATCCCCCGGGGAATGTGAGCACACCTCCAAGACCAGAGTCTGCCTCCTGGAAAGCACTGTGTTCACCGGCTCTGAGTCTCCGCTCCCCATCTTCACACTTCACTGTGCGTGGTAGCCTATACCTTGCAGTGGGATAAGTAGAGGAGCTTGACCTCTGGGAGAATGACACATCTCCTTTATATTATAGAATTATTGCAAGTGACCATGTTCATTTATATAATCAACTAATCTCAGATCAACCAACTTTGAAACAGGCTGTTGGCTCCTGACCTCTTTTCTTAGAACATTTTAGAAAAATTCTAAATATAAATTCTAATTATAAATTTCCAGCCCCTTCCAGATGTAAAACTCTCTTAAAAGCTTTTTGACAGTTTTCTAATCCAGGAATGTCTTTCTCAAGGATCTGGGAGCCATTGCGGAAGTGTAATTGTCAAGGAAGACAGTACCTCATCCCCCAGTCTCTATGTCAGGACAGGAGCTTGACTTCAGAAGTGCCCGTGCTCCAGGTGTAAAGATGGGAGAACACACTTTCTTTTGGTAAGGCCAATTAGCAAACCTGGTGGCCTCAACCTCCTCCCGCTTAGTTCTCAAAAACTCCCCAGCACTTTGTTTTTGTGAAGTGGGGCTTATTAGACGGAGTTCTGGGCCTGTCTCCTATTGCAATAGTCTTGAACAAAGTCTCTTTTGTGTTTAAAAAAATGTATTTTTGTGGAATCTACTATATATTTGTATCATATAAGCAAGGCATTAGCAGGATAAAGATGCTCCCAAAAATCTAAAAAAAACCAGAAGTAGATAAATATGATATATCTCTGGTCAGTCGTTGCTAAGCTGTTTCATGACTTGAGCCTTTGGTTCTATCTCTTCAGAGAGCTGCTGCACAGTACACACACAGCACACATGTGTGCATGAACACTCTCATACACATGTACACACTGAAATATGATCTTATGTGGCACAACAAAGAACATATAGTCAATATGTACATGAAAAGATGCTTCTCTTAACTAATTATCAAGGAAGTACAAAATTTAAAAAAACATTGAAATATCTTTGCCTATCAGACCAGCACAGATTAAAAAGACTGATAATGTTTGCTGTAAACAAGGGTTATGAGAGTTCTCACAGTGCTGGTGCGAGTGGAAGTTGGTGCCCTGTTTTTGTAGGGCCACTTGGGGTATCTATGAGTGTTTCTAAATGTCAACCTTGAGGCCCCCTGATTCCACTGTTAGCAAACATTTTTATGGAAGTACTCCTTCTGTTGATTAGAGATCCATGCCTAGAATTGTGCATCACCTTCATGTAAAATACTGTATGTAATGGTACAAAAGTCCATTTAAGGAACTATTAAACCATGACATATACTGCCATTCAATGCATGAGGAAGATTTGCCTGTGACAACCTAGAAAGAGGTTGCAAATAGCCAGAAGTACAAGGAAGCCACTTGCCAATAGCACAGTCTGAGTCTGTTAAGAATATGTGCTTATTTGAATGAGCTTAAAAGGTGTCTGGAAGGATTTGGGCTAAATTGCTGGCAAGGGCCACCTCTGGGCAGGCTAAGTAGGAATCTCCCATTTCAGTTAGTCCCTCTGTGGGGTTTGTTTTCTTTGACTGAGTTTGCTTTACCTTTATGTTTCGCACCCACCCTGCCCCTGCTGCTCACAGCTGGTCTTCTTGGTGGAAGAACTGCACCTCTGGTTCTAGAAGGAAAAACCTGGGAGGGGTGAGGGCCCTACTCTGCTGTCAGGGTCCTTGCTTCCTCTGCTAGTTCGGTGCAACTTGACAGTGGTGCTCTGGTTCTCGAGAGAAGCACGGTGGACTCCCATCTGCCAGTCAGGAGACAGATCACTAACACCCAGGTTTGGCAACTCAGTGTCACAGGGCCTGTGGTAAGCAGTGACAGGCGTCTCTCAGCTCCATGAGGGTTACTCTGCTTTGTGCCGTGGTTTAAGATGTGGGTGGCCTGTGTCAGCCTGTCATGAGGCCACGTCACTGCCGCTGTGGTTATCTCCTGGATCAGGTGAGGGGCTTTGCTGCACATCAAGGACTGTCACAGCAGGTTGCCTCTGGGCTGGTGATGCTGAGACTCAATGGCACTGGGCAGATGCATTTGGGAAGGTGAGTCTGTTTTCTGGGTTCCCCAACCTCTGACCGTAGCATGAACTTCAGGAAACAGAGAGAGACAAGTGGTCCTCTATCCCTGGGCCCAGGGAACCACCGTGGCATTTGGGAGCTTCTTCCCAATTTTTCGTCCTCTGGTGCTCTGGCCTTAGCATATCTGAGACTGTAGAATTTGCAGTGCTGACCATAGAATCATACACTGCAATTTCCAGGCCTTCAGGGGGCATGGGTACCATTGTGGTCTGTGTAGTCATGCTCCAGCTGGACAGGGTAAGGGTGCTTCTGATTATGGAAGAAACTTCTTCTGTGACTGAGTTGACCTTTGTGGGCATGAGAGCAAATGGTATTGTCATGGCCATGAGGTGTAAGTGAGGCCCTGGGGCAGGTAAAGCCCCTCCGAGCTCCCAGGCCTCTGGGGGCTTCAGGGCAGAGGGGGAGCTGGGAGGCAGCAGGTGCAGGTGGGATTCCAGGAGGGTCAGCTCAGCTAGGCAGGCAGAATGGAAGAGGGTGCTTTCCTGAGGAAGCAATGACCTCTGCATCCCCTGGGGCTCTGGGCTAGCTGTTCTCGTGAGGGGCTTGAGGAAATGGGCCTGTTGTTTTGGGCTCCCCTCTGGCCGTGTGAGGTCAGTGGAAACCCTCCTGGTGTGAGTTCAAATTCCGTTCCATTGTTCCCTTCATGGATGACCAGGGTGGCCTCTGTAGTAAGGTGGGGGAGCATTTGTGAAGAAGATAGCAGAAGTCTGCAGGCCACCCTGGAGCCCGGTCCCTACTGGGACTCCACAGAGCAGTGAGCTTCACCTGCAGGGGGACTGCTGGACTGGTGAGGGGGAGTGCTGGAAGAGGGTTGCCCCCCACTGAGGCAGCAGGAGTAGTGGGCATAGTTCCCCAGGCCCTGAGGAGAACCTCATCAGCTCCTGCACTGTGCCCTGGCACACTCTGTCTGGGGAGATAGATTGGGGGCTGGAGGTGAGCTGCGGAGAGCACTGAGATGGGGAAGAAGCCAGGCCCAGGGCATAGAGTGAAGGGGGCCAGGCGGTAGGCTTGTGCTCACCCTTGCAGGCTCTCTGACCCCTCCCCTCCACCCCCGTGCTCCTTGGGCACTGTCGTTGCCCTTTCCCCCCAATCCTGGGTCTGTGCCCTTATCCACCCAGCATCTCTGGTCCAGCCCTCTTCTCTCCTGAACTTCAGCTTGGTGTGCCCTCAGACCCCTGACCCCCATGCATCCTCCCTGCCAGAAAATGTGTGGCAAGATGCTTCTAGGAACCCCTCCCTGATTCCTGACCTTCTCTGCGTCTCCCTGTACCTCCTTCCTCCAGTACTGGGTGTTGAACCTAGGAGTGTTTTACCACTGAGCTACATCCCCAGCCTTTTAAATTTATTGCTTTGAGACAGGTCTTTCTAAGTTGCTGAAGCTGGCCTCAAATTCACAATCCTCCCGCTTCAAACTTGAGTCACTGATATTACAAGTGTGAGCCCCTCTTGTCTGTTATCTTTGTCCTCAAGCAGCTGGCCTGCCCACACTGTCCCTTCTGCTCCCTATGTATACCCAGACCCATCAGGATCACCAACCTGTGCCCAACAGCTTTGGGAGTTCCCCTGTGCCTGAGAAGGCCATATCCTGTGTGACCCAAAGAGGGAGTTCTCTCCTGCTCCCATTTTCAGCCCTATTTCCTGGCACAGCCTCCATGCACCCCAGGGTGCAGCTGCTTCTGGCAGCTAGAATCTGCATTTCTCTCTTCACCTCCAGCAGAGAGAAGACAGTGCTGGACAAGGGTTTATTTAAATAGCAACCTCCATCCATCTGCCTCCACATCCTCTAGCTTTAGATGTGGGCAAGAGATACAGGATCTCATGTCTTCCCCCATTAAGATAAAAACCAGGGCTGGGGTGTGGCTCAGTGTAGAGCACTCTCCTGGCCCTGGGTTCATTCCCAGAACCACACGTACACATGTACACACACACACACAAAATATATAATAGGTTTTGTGTGACAGTAAGTGAATACAGTGACTGGTCCCCAGTGGAGCCAATTTGGAGCATGTCCTACAAGGCACTAAGGAGTCCAAAGCCTCCTGGACATAAAGCCTCCTGGACATCCCCCATGATGGTGGCTTGCTCTGGCATGGGAGGAATAGTGGGGCCTGAGGGCCAATATGGATACCATATATGCAGGGCCTATATGGATACCCTCCCCTGGGGCTGGCAGACCCCATGGTCAAAGTCAGGGTTCCAGCTACAGGGCATCCCACAAATTCATGTATCCCAGAAATCCAGGATAGGTAGGCCATCTGGGCCAGATGTGGACCCGTGGGCTTCGTGTTGTGTTTGCAGACCTGATGGGGAAGGCCATACTAGTCCCTGGTGTCAGCCAGGGTGTCAGGAAGCACCTCTGTCTGGTGATGCAGACTCTGGCTTCCCCTCTTGTTCTCACGCCATCCTGTGACCTTCTGTGTGAGACTTCCCTGGAGCCAGCCTGGCACCTCTTCGAGGACCAAGGGGTACTATGCTGACTGGCTGGCCCAGGGTTTGCCTCCCTCTGTAATATCTCATCCCATGTCTGCAGTGACTTAAAGGGAGATCTGTGATGCCCTGAGGCTTCACCCCCGTTGTGTGGTTCTCAGTGGGTATGTACTGATGGACTCACACATTGCCCTCAGGCAGCTTCAGGCTGTGTGGGAGCTAGGAGGACCCTTACTAAGAACAGAGCTGCCATGTGCTACATGTGGGGCAAGTCCCTGGTCTCTCTGGGCCTCAGTTTCCCCAGGTTGCTGCTGGTGGCACCTAGCTCTCTGTCACTCCTCTTGTTTGCATCCTGCCCACTATTCTTCCCACCTGGTCTATAGAGGGGGACTGTGGAGCTGAGAGATACCTGATGGCTTGCTTTCCAGCCACCTGCTCCTGGGCCAACCTGTGGCTGGGCTGGGTGGGTGCCTCTCCTGGAACAGAGTCTCCACAGGGGTCTGGGCCAGCTCTTAGCAGGAAGTGGCTGCTGTGATGAGCTTTTACCAGGCCTTGGTGCCTTCCCACCCTGAATGGACTGACAGTGCCAGGAAGTATCACAGGAGGGGACAGACCCTGCCTGCCATGCTAGGCAAGTGCTCTACCACTGATCTACATCCCCAGCTTCCAGACATTACCACGGAGAACTTGCCTTTCATGCTGCTGCTGGTAGTGCCAGGCTACATACTCCTTTCCAGGGAAGATTGGATCTTATCAGTGGTTTGTCCTCGGGGTGCTAAGGTGGGTAGGTGCCTGCTGAGGGATGAGGGCTTCTGGGGGGTAAGCACGCTCTGATCTGTGTGCATGTCTGCTTCCTTTTTCTTCCTTATCACTAATCGGGCTTGTGTAACCCAGCTGGCCCTGCTTCCTGCTTAGGGGCTATCAGCGAGCCATCTGTAGCTGCAAATGGGGTGATAGGGCGTCAGCAGCTTCCCCACAGCCAGGAGCTTCCTGATCCCTCTGTCTGTAGTCAATCTCTGGCTCCCCCAGGGATCCTCAGCAAAGGGGCTTGTCCTTCTTGGGGTGTAGGACGCCTGGGAATAGAGAGATGATGGGCATTTTGGCAAGTGCCATCTGTTGCATAGACACCTACTGCCATCCTCAACCATGTTACTGAGGCAGAGCTACATCAGGTCTTCATTTAAGGCAGCAAAAGGCAGTGCGGCTAGCTACGCATGATTGAAGGCTAATGTGTGCCCCTGGGTCAAGGCCCTTCCCCTCCTTGACATCTGCTTTCGTGTTAGGAACCCAACAGCCTTTCTCATGATTGTCAAAACCAAAGTACAAAGTGCAGTTTCCACAGCTGGCATAGCATGTGACACCCAGGAGCTCCATGGGCCTGACAGTTTTCCCCAATCCTGACTGCCCTTCAGTGTGGGCCTGGGCCTGGCTAGGGGGAAGGACAGGCAGAGGATGGTGGTCTCAGAGAGGGCCTTGTAGGCATACATGGAGATGCTGCTCTCAGACTCCAGGAAGCTGTGTCTTGCACATGGAAGCCACAGTCCTTGGTTGGGTCAAGTGACCCTTCTGAGCTGCGGATTCTTACCGGTGAAGATTGGACAGGGATGCCTGGTTTCTTTCATTGGAAATGGTGATGGTGAAGGTGATATCCCATTCAGAGCCTCTGCTAAGTGGAATCTCAGGGAACTTCCCACCCAGAGAGGCATAGGCCTCTCAGTCTAGTCCCTTGCAGGTTGGACCTTGGAGAGTGAGGCCCTGATTCGAGATCTGGGCACATGGCTCCTATTCTGTACCTGTGCCTGCTGGGGAGTTTCTGTCCCTGAGGAGGGAGGAGGTGAGTATTGGGCACTTGTGTCTGTGTGGGGCAGCTGGATGGAGAGCTAGGGGCTGGAAGTGGGGGCATCCCTGGGAGAAGAATGGACCCAGATTGCTAGGACCTGTCCTCTGGGGTCCCATTGACCCTAGGCTTCCTGTGCCCTCGTCTTGGTCCTGACTTCCCTATGTACATGGACTGAGCCCATTACCCCCAGGCCCCCCAGACCTGCCTTTGACAGATTCTCCTTGGTCATTCTCTGGAGACTGCCTTGTTAGGGTTCAGCTGTCAGGCCCTCTCTTGCCCCTGCCTCAGCTCTGCCCAGAAGCACCTGGTACAGGCTCCAATGGTCTCATCCCCAGGGCCATGGGCTGGAACCTTCACCTGCCTCACCAACAACATCCTCAGGATCGATTGCCACTGGTCTGCCCCTGACCTGGGTCCTGGCTCTGGCCCCTGGCTCCTCTTCACTAGGTGAGGGGAAGGGTGGTGGGAGTGCAGCCCCCCTGGAAGCAGCTTGCCCTGGTGCTGATGTATGGTCTTTCCAGCAACCAGGCACCTGGCAGCAAGCACAAGTGCATCTTCCAGGGCAGTGCCTGCACCCTGGAGCTGCCCCCTGAGGAGGTGCTCTTGCCCTCTGACAACTTCACCATCACTCTCCACCGCTGTGTCTCTGGGAAGGAGCAGGTCAGCCTGGTGGACCCACAGTACCTGCCCCGGAGACATGGTGAGCAGGGGTACCTTCCCAGGGCCAGCCTACTGCTTGGTGGGTGCGGGCAGGGACCTCAGCCTGTGACCCCTGTGGTCTTGAGTCCTTGCCAAGGGAGACCTGGGGTTGGAAGCAGGTGACCCTGGGAGGGGATGGCCATGTGCTACTTACTGCAGGGCCAGGGTTTGGGCAGAGGATGAAGCTGCAGGGCCAGCTGGGGTGGGGGCTGAGTTGGGTTCACATCACTAGAAATGCACTCCAGTCAGAGCAGGAAGGAGTCCAGCAGCAGAGTGTGAAGGAAAGGGGAGCAGCATTGGGAAACCTCCTTGCTACAGGGGCTAGGATAGTTGTTCTGTCCCTGTTTTCCAGTGACTTCCCTGGTCTGAAGGGGCCTTCACCATGCATCACGGGAATCTTAGTGCCCTAGATCTTGGCATGCTGAAGACCCCACATATCCATTCTGTTTCAGTTAAGCTGGACCCTCCCTCTGACCTGCACAGCAACATCAGCTCTGGCTCCTGTGTCCTCACCTGGACCATCAGCCCTGCCCTGGAGCCAATGACCACACTTCTCAGCTATGAGCTGGCCCTCAAGAGGCAGGAAGAGGCCTGGGAGGTAATGCTTTGGCTTGCTCCCCTGGGTCTTTTCTTCCCCAGAGCGGCTGCCATGAATGGTGAGGAGGAAAGGGAGCCAGAGTCAGGTGTGTGTGTATGCGCATCCTCCCCATGCACACAAGTATGCCAGTGTATGTGTGTATGTGTACACACAGTAGGGCGTGAGCATGCCTGTGCGTGGATGTGTTTGTGTGTTTGTATGTGATTTGTACATGAGTGTGCCTGTGCTTTGTGTCTACATGTGTGAGTGTGTATTGGGGTGTCTGAGTGTGTGAGTGTGAAATGTGCCTGTAGATGTGTGTGTGCCTGCATTTTGTGAACAGGGGTGTGTCTGTGTATGAGTGTGCACATGTGTGTGTGTGAGTGGTCTGCTGTGTGCACTCTCCAGCTAGACCCAGCCCCACACCTGGTACCTGCTCACTCTCCCTGGCTCTGCAGCAGGCCCGGCACAAGGACCGCATTGTGGGGGTGACCTGGCTCATCCTTGAAGCCATCGAGTTGGATCCTGGATCTACCTATGAGGCTAGGTTGCGTGTGCGGATGGCCGTGCTGGAGGACGATGTGATTGAAGAGGAGCGTCATGAGGGCCAGTGGAGTGAGTGGAGCCAATCTGTGTGCTTCCCCTCACCCCAGCGAGGAGGTGGGTCCACATGGCGGCTGCTCATCCACAGCTTGGCCTCCACTCTTCTGACCATCCCACCCCTTTACTTTTCACCCCAAGGCCCCTTCCCCTGCAGTCTGAGATATGCAAAGGGAAACACACCCTGGGCTCCTAGGAGCCTGCATCTAGTGGCTACCATTGGGAGTGAGTGTGACCTGGAACTCTATGCCAGATGGGGCTCAGTCTCCTTAGTGAGGGTAAGGCTGACCCTTGTGCATAGTGCTGCTAGGAAGGCTCAATGACCTGACCACCAGCTGTGTGGCAGATGGAGGGGTGGCCGAGAGTGAGACTCACCCCAGGGACTTCAGCAGGCTTTGCACTAACCTCCAAGGCCATCCCAAATTCTTTCCTCTTTGGCCCAGGGAACTGATAGGGGCCCTTTGTCAGGTGGGCTTGGGGGAACCTCTCCTTTCTTGCCCACAGGCCTCCTGGTCCCATCCTGGGGCTGGCTAGACAGCACTTTTGTTGCTGTACCTGTCTTTCTCCTTCTGACTGGCCTGACCTACCTCCTGTTCAAGCTGTCACCCAGGTAGGTGGCTACGCTACTGTGTGTGCGTGAGCCTATACACTTGACTATCAGTGCATGCACACACAATGTCTTATCATGTACACGTGAGCGTGTATATGTGAATGTCTTAGTGTATGCATGTTTAGTGTGTGTGCATGTGTGTGGGCATATCAGTCTGTGCATGTGTAGGTATGTGGTGTCTGGGACATAAGGCCAACCCCCCTGCTCCTTTTCTTCCCTCTCCATTGTCTGGTCCTGAATGGAGTTGGGTTTTCAAGTGTCCATACTGGGCCATTGTTGGTGTATCCCCAAGTTGACAGGGGAGAGAAGGGAAGGGGGAGTTGTGGTAAACCTGAACATGTGATATGCTTGGTCCCCACCAACTGTGGAGAGACCCAGAGTTCCTGGGACTCAGGAACCTGAGGTCCTTGTCTCCTGGCACTGGGGATGTTGCTTGGTTTGGTCATCCATTCACATGTTGTATTGAAGTGCTATTTTGGGCAACTGGGGTGCACAGGACCCTGTTCTCATCCCTGACAGACACCTCAGAGAGCAAGATAAGCCCCCACACCTTATGTACCACATGTCAGGTTTCGAGGTCACAGGAGCCCTATCTGGGACCGAGGAGGAGACTGTCCAGCTGCAGACAAATGATGGAGAGAACAAGAGGGTTGGACACAGGGCAGGAGGGTATGGGGAGGGTGCCAGCTTCTCCTTAGAACACTGGAAGAGAGCGGCATGTGATGCCACACCATTTGGTTCAGGTGGTTAGAATGGACCACTGATGTACAGGTGATTTGACTTGAGCGAGGGTGAGGAGACAGAACACCTCAGAAGGAGTTGCCAGGGTCTTAGGCAGAGAAGATGGGATTTGAGTGGTGATCCCTGAGGTGAACTCCAGGGGCTAGGCCCTGGGAGGTCAGGGAGGTTGAGCTGGCCCTGTGGGGTTGAAACCTTGCATGGCCTCCTTTTGAGGGAGTGTGGGTCCTGGGCAGGCAGCTGGGTGATCAGGTGGATTGGGAGCTGGGCTTATCTGCCAGCAGCACACATGTAGTTCCTGGAGCTACTGGCTCTGAGGGCTGAGGGCAGGACTGGCCACTTCCAGGCACTGACTCTGTGGCTGCAGCTCACCTGGAAAAGACATATGCCTTGATATAAATCAGTTCTATGGGGCATTAGCCAGAGAGGTCACAGCCTGCCATTTGTGTTTTGCCCTGAGGGTTTGTCCATAGGGTGGGTGGGTTGGTTTGTTCTTGAGAATGAATCTTGCTATGTTGCCAAAGCTGATCTTGAACTCTTGGGCTCAAGCAACTCTCCTGCCTCAGCCTCCTGAGTAGCTGGTACTACAGAAGTGAACCATCATGCCCAGTCCTCTGAGGAGCAAGAGGGAGGGAGGGGCAGCAGCCTGGGTGAGGCAGGTTGACGTCTTCTGGCTGGACGAGAGCTCCGTCTCTGCAGTGACCTCAGACTTTCTGGAGTGTGGCCTTGGGAGGTGCCTGTACTAGGGTCTCTGCAGGCTCTGACTGTCCCTTCCTGGCCTCAGGGTGAAGAAAACCTTCCACCAGAACGTGCCTTCACCAGCAGTGTTCTTCCAGCCCCTCTACACTGTGCACAACGGGAACTTCCAGGTGTGTGCAGAGGGCACTGCAGAGCATGGGAGCAGATATGGCTCCAAGGTTTGACCTGAGCAGGTGTGGGCTTGGATGGGGGCTGGTCTGGTCTTTTTTTTTGTATAGTTTGTGGGTCCAAATTGACACACTGTCTCAAATGGTAATAATTTAACTGTATTTTCACTGCTGATTTCTTTTTGTTCCCTGGCCTCCAGTTCTATTCTTTCTTTCTTTTTTTTTTTTTTTTTGTAATGATGTTTTAAAAAATAATTCTTTTTTATTTGTTTTTATGCTATGCTAATGATCAAATCCAGTGCTTTACACATGCTAGGCAAGCACTTTGCCACTGAGCCATAGCCCTAGCTCCAGTTCCATTCTTCTTTGTTTTAAATAGTTTTTAGTTGCAGATGGACACAATACCTTTATCTTTATGTGGTGCTCAAGATCAAACCCAGGGCTTCACACATGCTAGGTGAACGCTGTACCACTGAGTCACCACCCCAGCCCCCAGTTCCATTCTTGATGGGAAAATTAAACTTTCATTTCTCTGCTCTGCTACTGAGGGAAATATTCAGTTCAAGGTGCATATTATGGGCTGTCTGCACCCACCCCATCTCATTCCTTCTTCTCACCTCCTCTTCCCCAAAGGTTTTTGTCCTGTGGCTATGGGGAAGGGTCTTTGGCTTGTACTACTGTCCTGGCCCTAATAGGACCCCTGACTTCTTCTTTGGTGGCCACTGTGAAGTGTCTAATACCTTATGGGCTCTTGGGTATCTCCCTGGCACCATTGCACATGAGTGCACCCTGTATTTCCCTATTGTGGGCCTGGGAGGGAGAGCTTCAGATCACTTTTGTAGCCCCCTACCTCTGTTGGGGTTGACAGTTCATGCTTCCTGAGAGGAGGTCGGGAGAGGAAAATCTCCCATGGTGGTCTCTGTCTTTCCCCTCTCAGTGCTGAGTTCTTCCCTAAGGTCCAGGCCAAGCTGACCCTGCTCTTCCCCAGGATCTTGCTCCACCCTGTGGCCAGGGATGTCCCCTTCACATGGTCTCCAGCTTATTATGCAAAAACATCCTTTGTTCTCTCAATAGGGAGACTAGTTTTCTGTTGTCCAAAAGTATAAGTTGTAGCTCAAAACTGGGCACTTGGCTCTGGAGGGAGTTCCACTCTTCCCCAAGCCAGTGGATGTGACTGTCAAGAGCCCAGGCAGCTGTCCTATCAAGAGGACAGGCTGAGCAGGCAGAAGCAGTTGGCCCTTGGGCTATGTCATCCCAGTTATAGGCACTGACCCCTTTTCTGCAGAACCACGGCAGCTGCCAGGCGTTATTCAGACTTCAGGGATGGGGTGCAGGTACAGGTATGGTGCTATAGGTCAGCTCTCCAGGAAGCAGATGGAGGGTGTAGTGTGTGGTGCATTTGGTGGAGGCTTTGGTTCCACTGAGGGAACAGATTCATTTTGGAGGTAAGGGCTTCCAGTGGTTCCAGAGAGGGTCCTGACTACATCTCTTGCCTTGTGTGTAAGTGGGGTTCTTTGGGGTGCCCAGGCTTTGTAGCTGCTGGAAGACCCTGGCAGAGTGCTCTCAGAGGTTAGCTTTGTCCTTAGCACCTGTCATCAACTTTACCCTGGTTCAGGCTGCCGTGAGTGCAGGGCTTAAGGCTGGGGAGTACTGAGGGAGCACACAAGGTCCTGTGCTGATGCCAGGCTGGCACATGGGGAAAGATGGAATGTTCTGGGCACAGGTGCTCTTGGCCTATGGTATGGAAGGCAAGAGAGTTTCCTGGAGAAGGAGAAAGGCTGGGCCTGCCCAGGGTAAAGTAGTTGCCCCAAAGTGAGCTCTGAACCTGCTGCTTAAGCCCTTCCCTCCTCCCTGTGCTCTGTTCCAGACCTGGATAGGGACCCATGGAGCCAGCCCACAGCTGACTCAGGACTATGTCAACACCCTGCAAGGAGCCTCAGAGTCCAGCATCTGGGAGGCCATCACACTGCTCACCTATGGCCTGGCACGCTCCAGGCAGTCCTCAAGCCTGGAGGAGCAGGAGGGCACTGGTCCTGGTCTCTCAGAAGCCCTGAGCTCAGTGAGTGTGCAGCCAGCAGGATGTGTGGAGTTGGGGGAACAGTCAGCCTACCTGCCACAGGAGGACTGGGCCTTTGTGTCCCTCACCAGGCCAGCTCCCCCAGACTCCCAGGGCAGAGGCAGTGACTACTGTGCCTTGGCCTGCTACAGGGGGTGTCAGCCCTCAGCCCTCTCAGGAAACACACAGAGTACGTGGCCCATCCCAGCTTCAGCCTGTGGCCCTTCCTGCAGCCAACAGGGTGCAGAGTCCCAGCAGGGAGACACCTGTGAGGGAGCTGGTCATGGTCAGAGGCACGGACTACAGGAGGAGCTGCCTTCTACTCTGGACATGCTGCAGGCTCAGTCCTGAAAATTCTAGAACTGGACTGCGTTGCATCATGTCCATTTTGGCAAAAATGGACTAAAGTCCCTGGAGCTGACCCTTGGCTCAACTGGACCTCCTGGGAAGGGGCACCTGTGTATGGCCAGAGCCTGGATGGAAGCAGGAAGCCCTTCTCAGCCTCTGTGCTCCTGTGGGGAGGGGCCTCACCCTCAGCATCCTGACAGCCAGCCCGTCCCTTCCCTCCCTCCTTCAGGCTTTGTCCCAGTCTTCCCTCAGAAGAGGGTTGTGGACCCAAGCTGTTCTACCCTCACTCCCGTAAAGGGCCAGCTGGGCCCAGTGGACACCGGTGAGACACCATGACCACGTGGAGCATCCTCTTCTATGCCTTCTTGAGACACCTTCCCTGATGAGATTAAAAGGGACATCTTGGCTATTTCAAATTGCAAGGGGGGCAGCTGGAGGAGGTGGGAGGGGTGGTTTGTCCAGCCCTATGCTTTCTGGGCTTCAGGACTTTGGGGATAATGTTTTTAACACATGAAATCTGGAAGGCAAACATTCTGACCGTGGTGCCATGCTTTCAGATCAAGGCATGGGATGGCAGGCTCCATTTCAGCTTAAATGCCCAAAATTATGTTGTGGAATAATCAGAACAGTGAATTTTAGAGGTTCTGCATCAGGACTAGCCTGTGGCACAGACTGAACAAGCTAACAGAATCCAAGCTCAGGAGGCAGTTGATGCCTGTGAAAAGAGATAAACAGAAGTTGCTTGGGGAAATGAAGGTATGGTACGAGGTCTTCCAAGCTGATCAGAGGTGGTTCCAGGAGCTGCCTCTAGGTTCTACCTGGTAGGTATGGTCCTATGGGGCTCCTGGGGTTGCCTCCAGGTCTGGCTGTCCTTCCCCAGGAGGCTTCTGTGGGCAAAGATGCAGACTTGGGTTTGTCCCTGCATTCTCCTGAGTTTATCCTCTGCATCTACAGGTGTCTCCATATAGAACCCTCTTTGCCTCACTGTGAGGCACAAAGACAAGGGGAGTGCAGGTGGCTCAGGTGTGGGCCAGAGCAGAGGCCTGGGGGAGCTCAGAGTCCCCAGGCCTCCATGACATGGATGCTGTGCAGTTCTGTTATTGACCCACCTATTGAGGTACATCCTAATTCCTTAAAGTTCTTGACCATTGTGAACACGACTGCTGTGTGCCACTGCATGCTGTATTTAGACATAGGTTTTCAAGGCAGTTGTCTGAATTCTTAGTATCATGAGTGTTGAGTCCTATGGTGAGAAACTGCCAAACTGTTTCATAGTGGCCAACTTCTGTGCCCTCCCCCAGAATGCATGAGCCCCTGTTGTTCACATCCTCCACAGTGGAGACTGCATGGCAGTGCCCTCTTGCTGTTTTTGTCATTTTCTCTCATGGCAAGTGGAGCTCAACATCATTTTCCATGCTTTGCCATCTGCATGACATCATCGTCTCCTCCTCCTCCTCCTCCACCTTCTTCTTTTAATATTTTTAACTGTAGATGAACATGGTATTTTTTTTTTTTTTTTTAGTGCAGTGCTGAGAATTGAACGAGAATTGAACTCAGTTCCTCCCACATGCTAGGCAAGTGTTCTACCACTGAGCCACAACCCCAGCCCTGCATATCTTCTTTGGTGAGATCTCTATTCCAATCTGTATCTCTTTGTAATTGGAGGGTTTATTTTCTTATTGTTGCTTTTTTTTTTTTTTGGCACTGGGGGTTAAACCCAGTACCAGGGGAACTTGACTACTGAGCTGAATCCCTAGCCTTTTTAATTAAAAAAAATTTTTTTTGTAGTTATAGATGGGTAACATGCCTTTATTTTTTATTTTATTTTTATGTGGTGCTGAGGATTGAACCCAGTGCCTCACACATGTGAGGCAAGCACTCTGCCACTGAGCTATAGCCCCAGCCCATTTTTTTTTTAGAATTTTGAGACAGGGTCTTGCTAAGTAGCCCACACTAGCCAATTCAGCCTCCCAAGTTGCTGGAATTACAGGTGTGCACACTGAGCCCGGCATGTTTGAGTTTTGATACACCAACTTTTCTACCTTTTCCAAGTACTTTGACACTGAGATAAAGGAGTCAGGTGAACCATACGAGCATGTGTTTGGGCTCTCTGTCCATCTCCACTGGAGTCTATCTCTTCCTTCACCAGTGTCACATTCTCTTCACGGCGTCAGCTTTTTGACTGGTTCTGGCATCCAGATGTGGAGTTTGTCAAGCTTGTCCTCTTGCAGTCAGCGTCACCTATTCTGGGTTCAGAAGCAGTTTTCTGGGAATTTGGTATTGCACTGAATCTACAGATCAAGCTTGGGAGACTTTCATCTGAGCTATATTGAGTCAGCCAAGTCTGAACGAAGAATATATGTGCACTGAAGGATTTCTGAAAGAATAATTGTACTTTAAATGAGCTGTTAATTTTTTTTCACTTGTTTTCTTTCTGTTGGTCACCTTGCATCATTTCTGTCACTGCACTTCAAATTTGCTAACTCTTTCTTTTTCTTTTATCAGTTTGGTATCTGGAATATTCCCCAAAGGCTTGTGCATTGCAGGTATGGTCCCCAGCTGGAGGCGATGTAGGAGGTGGTGGGAAGTGTTGGAGGTACAGCCAGGTGGGAGGAAAGAGATCACTGGGGGCGTGTCCTTCAGGGGATGTTTTTTCCACAGACACTTCCTCTCTCCTTCTCTGCTTCTTGATGCTGTGAGGAGAGTGGCTTTGCTCAATCACATGCTCCCACACGATGTTCTGCCTCACCACAGGCCAAGAGCCAGGAACTAGGAGGGAAGCCTCTGAAACTGAGTCAGTCTGAAGCCAGATTTAAAGATAGGTAGTTGGTGTAGTTAGGTAAATCAGGTCTAATATTGAGTCCAATAAAGAAAATGGAGACCATATAAAATATGGAGTCCATAAAGAAAATGGAGTTCGATCTGAGTGGGAGGGAACCAGAACAACACCTGGGGAATTTAAATGTTAAAGTCCCCAAGGCCCCCTCCCCGCCTCCCCCTCCCCCTGTCCCCTCCCCCTCCCTCCTCCCTCCTCCCTCCCTCCCAGTCCTAAAGAACTGTTAATGAAGAAGCTCCCAGCAATCAAACCACCCTAGGTCCTCCCCCAAGATCACTCCTCCCTGCCTAATAGTCCACCTGTTTCTCACCTTTTGGCCTTCCCACCAGCATCCCCCTTCACATGTAAGATAGAGGGAAATAAAGGACAGGAATGTGGGAGGACAAAAGTAGACCTTAGATTTAAAAGAGGAAAGACCTCTCTTTCCACGGATTCTGTCTTTTGGTCCCCTTCTTTCTCCCGGTTGGGGGGGAGTTAAGTCTTTTCTGCTGTCCTTTAATAAAGCCTTCCACCTCAGCGTGCTTCTCTGGTGTTGAGAAACTGATGTGACTCCATTTTTAAAAATAAATAAATAACAGCAGCTTCTACCTCAAGGCCTGTCCTAAGGAAGGGGGCATGACCCTTGTCCTTGGAAAAATCCACAGAGCACTCCTAAGCACATACCCACCCTGCTGAGTTGTTTGTCTGTAAATAACAGGAGAGATCTGCAGTGCCAGGTGTCCCTGACTCAGGCTAGGTGAGGACCCATAGCAACCCCCCTAGCAACCTCCAATCAACATGAGGGGAAAATACCTGGAATGCCAGATGACCCCCCAGTAGTTTGTGGTGGTTGATAACATGTTGGGAAACCATGTACACCCCTCGTGGCCTAAACCAATCAGTTCAAAGGAATCCCCCTCTTGTACTAACCAATCACCCCTACCCACCTTGTTCCCGCCATTGAATGTGCTAATCAATGTTAAGAGTTGTTGTTTGACTTTCCTGAGGTATGGGATGATTTGCTGTGTGATGTAGTGATGCATAGAGTATCCCCCCAAAACCTATAAAATCTCACTGAACAAAGGACCAGGACTCACTCCCTGGGACCACTGTGTCAGGAACGGTTGTGAGTCCAGGCTAGAGCTTGTAATAAAGATTCTTGTGTGATTGTGAAGCCAGATTTCAAATTAGGTAGTCAGTGTAGTTAGGTAAATCGGGTCTAATATCGAGTGAAATCTAAAATGGAGGCCATGCTGACAATGATTCTGGGAAACGCAGGACAACTCATGGAATGTTAATGAAGTCCCAGAAAGGCCCTAGGCCAAAGTCCACCCCAAAGAAATGTTTATGGAACCCAGGAACAGCCCCCAACAGATTTGGAGATAGCCCATCCCAGAGAAGTGATAAGCCCATCCCAAAAAGTGATAATTAAGTCTTTCCTGCCCGTTTGGCCCACCTGTGTCCTAACCCTTCCCCCTAGCATTCCATCACCAAACCTATAAAAAGGGGAGACAACTGCACTTCCACGGATTCCACCTCTTAGGTCCCCTTCTTCCTCCGGGAGAAGTCTTTTCTGCTGTCCTTTAATAAACTTCTAATTTCTACTCTGACCTTGCCTCGGCGTGTGCTTTTCTGGTGTTATTCTTCAACATCGGGGAAGCAAGGACTCTCACCGGCCAACAGCGGTAACAATTGCATTGGATTCAGCTCCTGGAGGTCTATTGGGGTCCCACGAATCTCGCATAACAGTGTTATACTTCAGCATTTGGGGAAGCAACGACTCATCTCACAGCACCTATTATATTAGTTAGAGATGGTATTATATGAATATTACATTAAGATTAAGGGACACAGCATCTATTATTAGCTTGAGATATGGTAGCTGTCAGGTCCATGGTGGTGACTTAGGAACAAATCACCAAGGAACCCGCGCATTGGAAAGAAACACCAATCACGCACTGATGGAACCGCCTTTCAATCAGCAGGGTCTCCTGGCCAATCCTGGGTCTTTGCCAGCTCCCTCCCACCCCAACTCCAATAGGACCGGGGACTCTGAAAGTCCCTTTTTCCTGCCCTAAGCCCAATAAAAATTCCAGTCCAGTCCAGCCCCAGCGGGCTTCTCCTTAGACTCACTCTGTTGGTCTGAGGGTTCCACCCGGGAGCAAAATCTCAAAAAAGCCTTGTTCAGCAGCCTTTTAAAATCTTTAGGTTGAGGCTGGCCTTACACATTTATTTAATTTATATGTGGTGCTGAGGATCAAACCCAGGGCCTCACACGTGTTAGACAAGCGCTCTACCGCTGAGCCCACAACCCCAGCCCACTCCGTTTTCTTTATTAGACTTGATATTAGACCTAAATTACCTAACTATGCTAACTACCTATTGATAAACCCAGCAATTCCCTCTTAAGTTTGGGAGCCATCTTGCCACATCGGCATAACAAGTTAATTTCGGCTTTACTATAAATTATTGCAATTTCTAAACTTGCTTGGAATGCCTGCCTGTTCCTTGAACTTACCCATGCCTGGCTTTCCCTGACCAGATAGCAACCCTCTCTGAAACTTTAGTGGCGCCTCATAAATCCTGGCTTTCCTTGGCCAGATAACAACCCTCTCTGAAACTCTAGTAGCGCCTCATAAATTCTGACATTGGGATCTAAATTTACTCCCTAAATGCTGGACCATTAATTTACTATCTGCCTTTGTGTTATGCTTTTCAAAATTCTGTTATCTGTAAGTTCTCAAGACACCCCCCCCCCTTTTTGCAACTTTCTGTGCTATAAAGCTGCCCTCCTAGAGAGCTGCGGGGCTGTCTTCTATTCCCACCGGTTTCGGGAGAGACAGCCCAGGCGGGTCAGAGTTACAAGCTTGTTTTATTTTATTTAAATTGGAGTTGGTGGTCTTTTCTTTGCATCGTGGTTTAACACCTATCTTTAAGTCTGGCTTCAGTGACAGCTGACCAAACCAATCTCCAGCTAAAATGGTGCCATTTATGTCTCCTACTCCAATGGACCAAGTAGATGATTTTGTATCAACAGAGTCTGCACTGGGGCGGGACTTCAAGGAATGTCAGCACAATTTTTTAATATTTGCACTTCATTAAGTGTGGAGTCTCAGTTTGATCTGAAAGCACATGCATGTATAGCACTGGGAAGAGACTTGGAGGACACTGTGACTTGGTGAGGAGCCTGCTATGGCTGGTAAAGCACGTACAGACAGAGGCCCTGGTTTGCCCAGGACTGCTGCAGCAAATTGGGATTCTGTTCATCACCAAGCTTGTTATATGAGGCAGGGCCAGCCTTTGATCCCTACAGTTGTTGTCATGAAATGACATCTTTCCTTGCCT